ATTTGTTATTCCTTAATTATTTTATTAATAATTTAATAAAGCTGTGGACGAATTATTTCCAACAGTATAACCTGTGTCCGTGTTTTAATGGGGGTTTGGGTAAGGTTAGCGCATATGCCGGCAAATCCGACTGTGCGCCTGTCATGTGCTTGTCCTTCTAGTGGATCTTGTGTATAAAAGTGTGCCTTGTTCTCAATAAACCGGTTCTTTTTCACTTTTCACTAAATCTCGGCTAGTGTTTGCGTGAGACAGCTATAATCACTCCAGGTATCCAGCGCTCATAGAGAGGGACCCCTTGACAGAGACGCTTAAGCCGAGTGCTGAGCGCCGCCACATCTTCCAATTTAAATAAAAAAATAATTGTTTTTCTTGTGATGGTATCCCCATCTTCGTGAATTATTTTGATAATATCCTCAGCTGATAAACACATTGTGCATGTTTCAGGATCTCCAGATCTGCTCTCGGTATGCAATCAAGAAATCTCTCTGAGATGCTGAGGACAAATCACACATCAGTAAAAGAGTTTTTCCTCTTGGGGTTCGAGCTTCAGAATTTAAAGGTCCCTCTATTCTTGTTCTTCCTCCTGCTTTACACTGTGACGGTGACTGGTAACATCCTAGTAATAGCCCTGGTTTATTTCATTCCCACGCTTCATTCTCCCATGTATTTCTTTCTGAGCCACCTCTCCTGGACCGACATCTTCCTCACTACGAATGTGATTCCAAACCTGCTATGCCTTATCCTGAATGAAGGGGGCGCCATATCTTTGGTGGCTTGTTTGACCCAGCTGCAATGTATTGGTGGTTCGATGGTTGTAGAGTGTCTACTCCTCGCTGTGATGTCATATGACCGATATTTGGCTATCTGCTACCCTCTCCGGTATAACTCAATCATGGACCGCAAGTTCTGCCTTCACCTGGTGTCCTGGCCTTGGGTCTTTGGCATTATGGTTGCACTCACCATAGTTGGTCTTGTCAGTCGGCTACAATTTTGTGATTCGAACATGATTAATCACTTTTTCTGTGATGTCACTCCCCTTCTAAAACTGTCATGTTCTGATATATTTTTCATACAAACCGGGATATTCATTGCGTCCTCCTCTATGACTCTTTTACCGTTTGTATTCATTATCTCCACTTATATCAGCATATTTTGGACAATATTTAGAATATCTTCATCGAACGAGAGACATAAAACATTCTCCACGTGCAGCTCTCACCTGGCGGTTGTGAGTATGTATTATGGGTCCCTGTTTGCTCTCTATGTGATACCCGACAATGGAAACTCAGTTACTTTATATAAATACCTGTCGCTGCTGTATACGCAAGTAACTCCGTTCTTCAATCCGGTTATATATAGCTTAAGAAATAAAACCATCAGAACAGCTCTACTGAAAATGATCCAAACGACAATCAGAACATTCCCTTAATACCTTGACAACCAAAATCCAGTACAAACGTTTTTATATTCGTGCATTTTACAGAATGAGATTTAGTCCGTAAACCCTCATTTATGCTCTACCTATGATTACTAACCTGTAGAAGAACCAGTTCTCTGTGTCAGAAGTCACTAGTCACTGATATAATGTCTGAAAGTGTGCTAAAAAATGTCAGCTCGGTTTCTAACGAGTAAAAGAGAAAATGAATTTTAAGGAGAAAGTAGCTGAATTGGAAGAATGTTTCCAATTTGACAATTTTGTCCTTTTTGGAATTTCTGACTTTAATTAATAATCCAGTCACAATTTCAAAATTAGATCCCTTGTGGACCTATAAGTATATCTGTTACACTTTATATGGTCCCAAAATGATAAACGTAAACTGCGCTAGCCTGGATATAATGTTTTGATAGACGTGTTCTGGCAGCTATTTCGGATACAGACATTATTCCACTTTATGGAATGCCATACATTTGCAATGTTTGCCAATAATAGTGACGTCACGGCTAAATTGCATTGCATTCATTATATAAGAGCAGAAATGTGCCATTATATTATTGAACTCCAGAATTCCAAGGTCTTCAATATGTTTATTTGTTTAGACGGTAGATTTCTTTCATAACTTGTTAACTCAATTTCCAATTCTCTCTTATCACACTGATCACCCCACTGAACAAATAAAATATATTTTTCATATTCTGAATAATTATCTGTATATTATTTGTATCGTTAATAATTATTTAACCTGCGGGTACCATGGGATCTCAAATTAGGACCCAGTGCGATGTCTGTCTGTACTGGGAGCTGACACCATCCCACGCTGGGTATTTTAACTCTATATAGCGCACAGAAATAGTCACTCTCCTATCTGGTTAGCACAAAGAAATTAGATCCTATTAACACGAGAAAACATTTATATTACTTTATTTTTCTGCATGTTTCTTCATAAACAGAAAATGACAGTAAGTATATATACATTTTACTTCTATGGACGCTTCCAATTGCTGCAAATACAACCAATTCTCAGAGATAAAAAAAAAAATGATAATTATTAATACAAACACAAAAAAATACAAATAGTGATCAAAGAGGCACTTCAAAAGTGCATTTCACGTGTGTGGGAGCCTGGAGTGTCCCTTTAATAATATAAACCCACCCAGTATAACTAACTGTAACCTAACCTACACAGTGCATCTAACGTGTGTGGGAGCCTGGAGTGTCCCTTTAATAATATAAACCCACCCAGTATAACTAACTGTAACCTAACCTACACAGTGCACCTAACGTGTGTGGGAGCCTGGAGTGTCCCTTTAATAATATAAACCCACCCAGTATAACTAACTGTAACCTAACCTACACAGTGCATCTAACGTGTGTGGGAGCCTGGAGTGTTCCTTTAATAATATAAACCCACCCAGTATAACTAACTGTAACCTAACCTACACAGTGCACCTAACGTGTGTGGGAACCTGGAGTGTCCCTTTAATAATATAAACCCACCCAGTATAACTGTAACCTAACCTACACAGTGCATCTCACGTGTGTGGGAGCCTGGAGTGTCCCTTTCATAGTATAAACCCACCCAGTATAACTGTAACCTAACCTACACAGTGCACCTAACGTGTGTGGGAGCCTGGAGTGTCCCTTTAATAATATAAACCCACCCAGTATAACTAACTGTAACCTAACCTACACAGTGCACCTAGCATGTGTGGGAGCCTGGAGTGTCCCTTTAATAATATAAACCCACCGAGTATAACTAACTGTAACCTAACCTACACAGTGCATCTAATGTGTGGGAGCCTGGAGTGTCCCTTTAATAATATAAACCCACCCATTATAACTAACTGTAATCTAACGTTTACAGTGCACGTAATTTTTTTAAAATAATTTTTCTCTTAAATAATGGTATTTCTTGTAAAGCCCATCCTTTTTATCTCAACGTCTATCCTATTTCTTTGGACAACTTAGACGACAAAATAACGTCCCGACCTAAAACCTAATGCAAATTATTCGCAAAAGTGGAAGTATCAGAGGGAAGAAACGGAATGACGAACCCTTAAGAAAATCTCTCCCACAACAACTGCATTGCCGTACAATTAGAGCTCGAGCCCTTTAAACACTTCAGGCAGTTTGGGGAAACTAATGTGCACTTGTGTCACTTGCCATTATTATTATTATTGGCATTTATATAGCGCCAACAGATTCCGTAGCGCTTTACAATATTATGAGAGGGTGGATTTAACTATAAATAGGACAAATACAAAAAACTTACAGGAACCTATTGTTGAAGAGGAACCTGCTCAAACGAGCTTACAGTCTATAGAAGGTGGGGTGTAAAACACATTAGGACAGGGAATAGCGATCAAATAAGGTGGGAGTGAAGCAGAGCTGGAGGAGAGAGTAAAGCACTGCCCTATAGGAGAGAGCAGGAGACAGGTATGTAAGGTAGAGGTTACTCTGGGAGGCCATAAGCTTTCCTAAAGAGATGGGTTTTAAAGCACTTCTTAAAGGATTGAAGACTAGGGGAGAGACTGATGGCGGTAGGCAGGCTATTCCATAGGAAGGGAGCTGCCCGCGAGAAGTCCTGCAAGCGTGAGTTGGCCGTACGGGTGCGAGCAGCGGACAGGAGAAGGTCACAGGCAGAGCGGAGAGACCGAGAAGGGGCATACCTATGGTTCAGTAAAGAGATATAAGAGGGGCTAGAATTGTTCAGTGCTTTATAGGTGTGAATTAGTACCTTTAATTGACTCCTATAGGATACAGGAAGCCAATGTAAGGACTGACAGAGGGGTGAGGTGTGAGAGGACCGACTACAGAAAAAAATCAGTCTGGCAGCAGCATTCATTATGGACTGTAGCGGGGCAATACGGCTTTTGGGAAGACCAATTAGGAGAGAGTTACAATAATCCATGTAGAAAATTACTAGAGCATGGACAAGCTCCTTGGTAGCATCTTGCGTAAGAAAGGGGCGGATATGGGCTATGTTTTTAAGATGGAATTTACAGGATTTGGCAATAGACTGGATGTGAGGCCATGAGAACATTAGGCGTTCCCCATAGCAAAGCATAGACTCCCCATGGGGTTTGTCTTGACGCTGGATGTCCTCATGCAACACGTGCATGGCAGACAGCCATTAGAGGTGGATTTAACCTCAATGTGATTATTGTTATTAAAGGGACACTGCACTCAGACCAGTTCAATGAGATGAAGTGGTGATGGTGCCCATGGTGTCTCGTTAACGTTTCAATGGGTCGTGACTTTATTGGTGGATTGTAAACGGTGAAACGTGTCGGGGAGTGACGCAGGGACTATGATTCAATGTCCAACACAAAGCATAGGTTTCTGGTGGAGGAATTTCATGATTTTTATATGAATTTCATTTAAAAACAAAAATCTATTTCCTTTGATGAATTATTATGATAAAATAGATTTGAGGTACTAGTTCTCACTTTATTGAATAGCCAGTGTGTAATCCAGGTACACTGTCACTTTAATGCAAATGTCCTGCTACAAGCTCCGCCCACCCTGTACGGCGCATGCGCTCAACGAGATTCCACCCACAGAGCGAACCAGCCAACCATCCTGGGCGCGTTCTCAGCTTGTTTACTCGGCTCACACCCTGTCTCCAGTGTTTAGCGCTCTGCGTGGTCTCAGGATGTAAGTGCGGCTCACTGTCTCTAATGTGTAGCGCTCGCTGTTTCTCCCAGGTTAGTAAATCTCGCTGTATGAGGCTGGCAAGGGGGATTAGTCCAGGGGCCCAATAAGTAAAGGAGCTTGGTCATTAACACCTTGTGTGCTGATGGACCTGAACCTCCATACTGCGCTACTGCATGTGGAGTGCTTTATAATAGTCCTCATACTGCGCTACTGCATGTGGAGTGCTTTATAATAGTCATCATACTGCGCTACTGCATGTGGAGTGCTTTATAATAGTCATCATACTACGTTACTGCATGTGGAGTGCTTTATAATATTCATCATACTGCGCTACTGCATGTGGAGTGCTTTATAATATTCATCATACTGCGCTACTGCATGTGGAGTGCTTTATAATAGTCATCATACTACGTTACTGCATGTGGAGTGCTTTATAATATTCATCATACTGCGCTACTGCATGTGGAGTGCTTTATAATAGTCCTCATACTGCGCTACTGCATGTGGAGTGCTTTATAATAGTCCTCATACTGCGCTACTGCATGTGGAGTGCTTTATAATATTCATCATACTGCGCTACTGCATGTGGAGTGCTTTATAATAGTCATCATACTACGTTACTGCATGTGGAGTGCTTTATAATAGCGCTACTGCATGTGGAGTGCTTTATAATATTCATCATACTGCGCTACTGCATGTGGAGTGCTTTATAATAGTCATCATACTGCGCTACTGCATGTGGAGTGCTTTATAATAGTCATCATACTGCGCTACTGCATGTGGAGTGCTTTATAATAGTCCTCATACTGCGCTACTGCATGTGGAGTGCTTTATAATAGTCCTCATACTGCGCTACTGCATGTGGAGTGCTTTATAATATTCATCATACTGCGCTACTGCATGTGGAGTGCTTTATAATAGTCATCATACTGCGCTACTGCATGTGGAGTGCTTTATAATAGTCATCATACTGCGCTACTGCATGTGGAGTGCTTTATAATATTCATCATACTGCGCTACTGCATGTGGAGTGCTTTATAATATTCATCATACTGCGCTACTGCATGTGGAGTGCTTTATAATAGTCATCATACTGCGCTACTGCATGTGGAGTGCTTTATAATAGTCATCATACTGCGCTACTGCATGTGGAGTGCTTTATAATAGTCCTCATGCTGCGCTACTGCATGTGGAGTGCTTTATAATAGTCATCATACTGCGCTACTGCATGTGGAGTGCTTTATAATAGTCATCATACTGCGCTACTGCATGTGGAGTGCTTTATAATAAGTTCCTCTGTCTCTCCGCAGTATGAGCCTGCTGAGCTCTCTCCCTCCACGTCACGTGTATCCAGAAATTAAAAGTAAAAAGATGATGAAAAGAAGTCACAAAGAAAAGTACAGATTAAAGTGTCTGCGGCTAAAACGAGTTGCCAAAGCGATGATATTTGTGAGTATTTATTATACGATAATTATCAGTCACCTCTGATGTAAATAGTTTTCTATCTTAATTCCACGAAAGCAGGTTAGTAATGGTTTTCTTTATTTTTTTTTAATCCCGTTTAAAATATCCTCCTAAATTCTATGTACTTGTAGCAAATTAATATACTAACGGCAAGCTCTATAAAAAGACAAAGATGCTGAGCTGGGAATCTTTTTCCAAATCTGACATATTTTATTTTAGTGAAAACCCATAACCTATATTTTGTATTGTGCGTTATTTGACTGTAATTGAGCAGTTTTAATAAATTGCCCTTGCTCCATTTTCTTGATAACCGCCGTGTGTTTCTTAACTGATGGCTGAGGTCAACAAACACTCAACCAATAGTTAAATCATCACAGGAAACACATTAAAGATAAACTGAATTGTTTTCCTGGCGCCCTAGCTCCCTATAGTGCCCCCCTCCGTTGTGAATATGGCGAGTCTGTTAGGTGATCCCACCAGTGAATTGTATGAGTGCTGGTGCCTCCTGGTGGCCTTCACCCATATGTCATAAAATGGATCTTTTTACCATGTTTTCTACTGCCATCATGTGGGCAGTGTTTGTTATAACATCCAAAAAAATTTTCTGCTAAATTCAAGGTGGATTTACCTGCAGCATGTGTGTTGAACCGAATTGGCCATGCGATTATTCTTTAATTTAACACATTACGGTACTTTGGCGATATTGCTTGGTTATTGTATGAGCACAGTGTTCAGTATTTCTCGGTCGGGAAGCAGTCTCTGTATAGTGTAGTTTAAAGGAATACTCCAGACACACAAAGCACTTCGGCTTGCTGGAGTATGTCATTTATTTTTTTTGACACATTATTAAAAATAAAATTCGGTACTTTTGTAAAACAGACACTCAGACAGCCAGGGATGTTTTCACAAAGCTAATGGAAGTGATGGGTGTGCTGGTTTAGAGCGTGCCTGCCTGCCTGCCTGCAGAGATGTGGGTTAATTATTATAGCTCTCTGTAAGCGTCCAGAGACGTTGGTTAATTATTATAGCTCGCTGTAAGCATCCAGAGACGTGGGTTAATTATTATAGCTCGTTGTAAGCGTCCAGAGACGTGGGTTAATTATTATAGCTCGCTGTAAGCGTCCAGAGACGTGGGTTAATTATTATAGCTCGTTGTAAGCGTCCAGAGACGTGGGTTAATTATTATAGCTCACTGTAAGCGTCCAGAGACGTGGGTTAATTATTATAGCTCGCTGTAAGCGTGCAGAGACGTGGGTTAATTATTATAGCTCGTTGTAAGCGTCCAGAGACGTGGGTTAATTATTATAGCTCGCTGTAAGCATCCAGAGACGTGGCTTGATTATGGCTCCCTGTAAGCGTCCAGAGACGTGGCTTAATTATTATAGTTCGCTGTAAGCGTCCAGAGACGTGGGTTAATTATTATAGCTCGTTGTAAGCGTCCAGAGACGTGGGTTAATTATTATAGCTCGCTGTAAGCGTCCAGAGACGTGGGTTAATTATTATAGCTCGTTGTAAGCGTCCAGAGACGTGGGTTAATTATTATAGCTCGCTGTAAGCATCCAGAGACGTGGCTTGATTATGGCTCCCTGTAAGCGTCCAGAGACGAGGCTTAATTATTATAGTTCGCTGTAAGCGTCCAGAGACGTGGGTTAATTATTATAGCTCGCTGTAAGCATCCAGAGATGTGGGTTAATTATTATAGCTCGCTGTAAGCATCCAGAGACGTGGGTTAATTATTATAGCTCGCTGTCAGCATCCAGAGACGTGGGTTAATTATTATAGCTCGCTGTCAGCATCCAGAGACGTGGGTTAATTATTATAGCTCGCTGTAAGCGTCCAGAGACGTGGGTTAATTATTATAGCTCGCTGTAAGCGTCCAGAGACGTGGGTTAATTATTATAGCTCGCTGTAAGCGTCCAGAGACGTGGGTTAATTATTATAGCTCGCTGTAAGCGTCCAGAGAACATGCAATGTATTTAACATTTGTAATCTATATTTAGACCGGTGAATACTACAGCCTTTTCTCTGGCCAAGTCATCCAATCCCTGATGTTCCCTCCAGCCATATATAGTAATATTTTTGCTTTCTGTTTCTATATGATGTTCGGAACTTTGTGAAAAATATATTCTTCTTTTTCTTTTTAAAAGGAAAACGCATCTCTTTCGGATGAAATTGCTCGAGTTGAAAGTAAATTCATCAAAGCGAAGGACGAAAGACGGTAACTATTATTTTGTGTTTAAGACTTATGTATCACATTGATTATTCTGGTGAATCTTTGTTTGAGCAATATCAGCCTCATTCACGGAACCGATTTAGTATGAGAACTCCCATGATGTTTAGCCAGCACATCGGTTGGTGCTTCATCATTGGAATCATTTTCTGTAAAACAATCATTAATAGCACCGTAAACTGTATTTCCTATGGTGCTCTAACAGTAAGGCTGACTGAGCTTCATGGGGCATGTAGTCCTTAGCCGCTTCCTTGCAAATAGTGTGACGGACCGCCTGGCACCCCAACCAGGTACCTCCGTCAAGCGCTGCTTCCTGGTACTAACAAGTACCATAAGCACTGCGCTGGAACACCATAACTACTGCAAACCCAATGAACGGTCGCAGCTTGGTTGGGATCTCGCCGTCTCCTACCCACCCTGGACCTATGACCAGGATCCAGCTTCCAGTGGGTAGACCTCTCTCAGTCCAGAGAGCATAGCAGGAACAAGCTCTTACAAGAGCTTAGTGATTTATACTCAGGGGAGTATAGTTATTATAGCAATCCCCCAGAGTGTAGTTCTAGGGATCGATCGATATTGATTTTTTTAGAGCCGATACCGATAATCTGTGAACTTTCAGGCCGATAGCCGATAACATGCTGATATTCTGAACATTTATCATTTTGAAAAAATAAACATTTTCTAAAGGTAAATGCACAAAATATACATGCCACATGTAGTGCATGCAATGTGTTTATACAGGGGAGCAGTGTGTATTTGTGTAGTGTGTATATAATTAATGCAGGGTGTGTTTGTGTAGTGTGTATAGTTAATGAATTGACTGTTTGTGTAGTGTGTATAGTTAATGAAGTGACTGTTTGTGTAGTGTGTGTATATAATGAATGCAGAATGTGTGTGTTTGTGTAGTGTTTACATCCCCGGATAGCCCTGATCTGGGTGAACAACATATCCAAAAATCACCCAGATCAGAGCAGGGGTTTGAAGGTTTCATGGAAGTCTCTTTTTGACTGGCCGCAAGCATGGTTTCATGCCCAAAACAGTTCCAGAGAATCAGGGCTTGTGGCCGGTCTAGTTCGGTAGTTTGCAAACGAACGGAGTCTATAGTCTTACCCTGGAGCTTGTTCCCTTAATCCAGATGAATGATCTCACCAAACAGTGCCCTTCTAAGCTGAATATAAACAAACGCAGGCGATGATGGAAGTTCAGCAGTGTTCGGGAGTTTCTTTATCCGATTTCAGTTCCATGAGTTTCATGCGAACAAGATGGCCGCCACCCCGTGGTTGTTCGCGGCCACCCAGTCGAACAATTAGAACACTGCGGTGAGAAACGTTCCAAGCTGTTAATAGGTGTTAACAAGCTCCAGGGTGGTCTCTGTTCGTGCGGTTGTTTGCTAAACGAACCATATAGTCCCAATTGCACGAACAGAGCCTGTTTGGAGTATATTAGCCAGTTCTATTGTAGGGGCCATAGTCACAGGGTTGGAGGCTGGCAAACAGGCCCCTCCAAAAACTTGTGGCAAACTCACAGAAAAAGGGGAGTTTGTCACAGATAGCAATCACTGTTAGCTTGTGTGGATTTCCAATGCAGGGCACATTCCCAGTAAATGCTACAGAATGTGTTTGAGCTGTTACCCGGGTGATTGTGTCCTTGTAAAAATGTCTGTTAATCGTCACACTCCGTGTCCAGCTGGGCTTTTTTTCTCATTTTCATTTGATTTTCTTGTAGGTTTTTAATAAAGCGACTTCTGCAGCTTCAAGCTTTAGGGGAAGACGATCCCTTGGGATCTCATAACTCCAGTTTGTCGCTTAGTTACAACATGCCTGATCTGACCGGAGTAAGCGAGGGCAGCGCTGAGATATGTCCGTCAACTGGTGACGAAGCTTTGGGTAAAAAACTAAAGAAAGACAAAAGAGAAAAAGGAAGAGACACGAAGTCTGAAGGTTGGTGGTGGTATGTAACATGGCAGCGATGTGCGTTCTGTGTGCAGAATACATGATCCACTACTAAAATATTTCAAGTATTAACTCATAATATATATTTTTCAAAATTAAAAACAAAAAAATATATAAATTATTGATTGGGTTAAAAAAAACAAAAAAAAAAACATGAAAAATAATTGGAAAATAGAAAGTAATGAAAATAAAAGTGAAAACTTTATTTGATTATTAAAATAAAAATTATAATTTAGTTTAAAAAAAATATGCATCAATTTCTAAAACCGATACAGAACGAACAAATCTTTCCAGTATAAAACTGCTGAGAACGTTAAGCCACTAAACCCTTAGTTCTAGGCTCTCTATTACATTATTGCAATGAAAGATGGGGGGGTGAGGGGGGAGGGAAATTCATTTTGTTTCCCATGAATTAAAAAGAGGCTGGAATATGAAATTGATCCAGCTTTCTGTGTTTCATTTTATAAATTTATTCTGGCTCTTTTCTACGTGGAGGGTATATTCTAATAAAATATATTTTATATATGTGAATAATACACGTTTTAGGATACGGATCAATAAAGATCAGGAATGGATCAGCGCTAGCAGGCCACAGAAACTGTAAATCTAAAAAATGGCAGCACACCTATAGACCATGGGGTTCCCTTACACCCCACAATGTAAACGTAAAAAAGAAAGAAAGAAGGTTGCGCCTGCATTATATTGGAATATATGTAAGATATATATATATATATATATATATATATATATATATATATATATATATATATATATAAAAATATAGAAAGTATAAAAACAGGAAAGAGAGGTGTGTGTATATATCCGATAAAATGCTAAATAATATAACATAAAATAGTATAAAATCACAAATGTCCAAATAAGACAGTCTAACAGTCAGAAAGGAGATTCTTTACAAGGCAGCAAACTGATAGTAGTGATGTCACAGAATAGGACTTGGAATCCTGTGGAGCATATGGAAGAAAGTAGAGAAGAAAAACTCCAATGGAGGAGTATGTATATACAATATTTTTGGAGGTTATATGAGGTGAAATATTACTCACATTTTACAGAGCTAAAATCCAGCTCTGGTTTATAAGGCGTAAAGTGGTATAATCCCCACTCAAGGATATGTGTAGTTCTCCAAGCTTTCAATCGTGTGTAGCAACAGGGATTCCAACCAAAAAAATAAAAGATTGCAGAATATAGTGCTCACTGTAACTATAAGACCAGTTGTGAATATAAAATATAAGAGTATACTCACAATTTACCGAGCAGGCTCGCTGCTCGGTGTGTAGTGAATAGGTGGTATAATCCCCACCTGGGATTATTTGGTTTTAAGAGACAGCAGGGGTGATGTCAGGCATAAACAAAAACTGGCAAAGCTGGAAATGTGTAAAGCTCAACGAAGACTGAAAATGTCTGGCTCAGACTGGCACAATGCTATCTTGTCATTTCTGAGTATTCTCCAGGAAGACAGATTTCATTGAATTGAAACTTACTTGGTTTTGCAATGAATTGGTTTAATTACTTTCTTACCTTTCCAGATAGTTTCCACTTATTACCGGCGTGATCTAGCCCGTTAACCTGTTATTAATACACTTTTGTCCTTTCCGTAGCTGTGAAGAAATCTACAAAAAAGACGCGAGCTCCCGAAGGCAGCTGTAAAAAATGGGTCCAACCCATTCCACTCGATTCGTGTGGACGGCCCGTGTTCCCGATCACTCTGGAAGGTCTGACCGTTTATAGTCTCGGCGAGGTGACGTTTCATTTTGTGTAACAGTTTACTACATTTAAAAGGATATTCCAGGCACAGATTATAATCCTCTTTTTATTAAACCCAACAATAAATGAGCATTGTCAAAAACACAACTAATGGGGGAGGGGGTAACCCCTAACTTAATCTGAAAACATAGAACCACAAAAAAAGTTGGAGAGTTTGCATGGAATTCATGAGAAAAGAATCGAGCAGATAAAGTAAATAGAAAAGCAATTCTTGTTTAAAACGTAACTTTTATAGTTTCGCTATTAAAAGCCTGACTAGTATTATTACCAAGGACACACATGTTGCTACTAAGAAAAATATATAAAGTCCCCCAAAAATAGTCGATTACCATCTAAATGGTGGTTTCAATGGAAATCCTACAAACCGCTCTCAAGCAGTGTCTTATATCTTAAAGGACCACTATAGGCACCCAGACCACTTCAGCTTAATGAAGTGGTCTGGGTGCCTGGTCCAGCTAGGGTTAACCCTTTTTTTTTAAATAAAAATAGCAGTTTCAGAGAAACCGCTATGTTTATAATATGGTTAATCCAGCCTCTAGAGTCTCTAGTGGCTGTCTCATTGACAGCCGCTAGAGGCGCTTGCGTGCTTCTCACTGTGAAAATCACAGTGAGAAGACGCCAGCGTCCATAGGAAAGCATTGTAAATGATTTCCTATGAACTGGCTGAATGCGCGTGCGGCTCCTGCCGCACATGCGCATTCAGCCGATGACGTCGCTAGGAAGGAGGAGGAAAGCTCCCCGCCCGGCGCTGGAGAAAGGTAAGATTTTAAGCCCTTCCTCTCTCCAGAGCCCAGCGATGGGGGCACCCTCAGGGCACTATAGTGCCAGGAAAACGAGTATGTTTTCCTGGCACTATAGTGGTCCTTTAAAGCAGCGAAAAAAACCCTTCAATGAAATAATACGTTATTGCTTGTAAATGCTATTAAAGGACCACTCTAGGCACCCAGACCACTTCAGCTTAATGAAGTGGTCTGGGTGCCAGGTCCTTCTAGGGTTAACCCATTCTTTCATAATTATAGCAGTTTCAGAGAAACTGCTATAATTATGAATGGGTTAAGCCTTCCCCCTAATCCTCTAGTGGCTGTCTCATTGACAGCCGCTAGAGGCGCTTGCGTGCTTCTCACTGTGATTTTCACAGTGAGAGTACGCCAGCGTCCATAGGAAAGCATTGTAAATGCTTTCCTATGAGACCGGCTGAATGCGCGCGCAGCTCTTGCCGCGCGTGCGCATTCAGCCGGCGGGGCGTAACGGAGGCGGAGAGGAGGAGGAGAGCTCTCCGCCCAGCGCTGGAAAAAGGTAAGTTTTTACCCCTTTCCCCTTCCAGAGCCGGGCGGGAGGGGGTCCCTGAGGGTGGGGGCACCCTCAGGGCACTATAGTGCCAGGAAAACGAGTATGTTTTCCTGGCACTATAGTGGTCCTTTAATTCATAGAGAATCTGTTTTGACATTTTTATCTTCCAAGTGATTGTTTAAACATGCTGGCATTTATATATACACATTCATTCGCCTGTGTTTACATAGGTCTTTTCTATTAATACCATTTGCCGGCAGTAACTTATTAGTATATCAATATATTATATATAAACAAGAATTGTTTTTGTTTTTTTTCTATTTATTTTTTCCACTCAATTCTTTTCTCACTAATCCCATGCAAACACTCCAGCTCCTCTTTTTTTTTTTTTTTCTTCAAACATTGCGCTGAAAATACTTAAATATACAAATCTGTCAAAATGTATACATCAGTGGTATCCTGCGAGTACCCCCTGGCGTTACCTCGGCAGCAGCAGAGAGCAGTTTGAAGAGTAAGAAAACCCCCGTTCTCTGCAAGGAAGCGTTCTATAAATCAGTTGTTTTGTGTATTATCTTTGGGGTTATCCTTCACAATGCTGGCAGTCGTACAGGTTTTGGTATTTGTGTTATTGTGGACTCTTGTGCACTCTGTGCTGTACCCAAAGTATACAGTTTCTTATTGATCAGTATCGACCAGTTCTAGATTTTACTAATATTTTTTTTTTTTATTATTGTGTTGTTTTTGTGTAATTGATGTGGGCATTTTGTTGTGTATTGTTTTTCTTTACTGTAAGGTAACTGCCATTAGTATTAATATTCCTAGTTACTAATAGAGTAGTTTTATTATTATTGTTATGGGAGTAGATTTATACTCATGAAAATTCTCGAATGACCGTACAATCTGTTCCCTCCACAGATTGTTTCTGATCGACCCGGATTCCATGATAAAGCTGCCATTTATCCCGTCGGCTTCTGTAGCACAAGAGTGCATGTCAGTATGAGAAACCCAGACCAGCAGTGTCTTTATACTTGTCAAATAAAAGATGGTGGCACAGGACCACAGGTAGGTACACTGCAGTTTTATTATTTATGGCAATCGGGCAACTCTAGATAATTATTACAACTTTAACACACTGTAGGTGTTACCCATTTGTAAGAAGGTTTGAGCACACCACTTTATTTTTGGTTTTCTGTCCTACTTTCTAAGGGATGATTACACTGTTTATATTGGGTTTGTGGAGCCCCTGTTAGCACACCTTGTCTGAGGGTAACTATCTGCTTCTGGGACCTGGCTGACAGCAAGTATTTATAGAATGTATTCATTAAACTGGGAAGAACTGACAATTAACATGGGGATTGTACATTTAATAGCCAAGCTGGAAACATCGCAGATATATTGAATATTTTTACCTTAAATTTGAAATTCTGTTGACAGTTTTCTGTGATTTCTGGTTTGTTTAGAGGAAGCCTATTGGACTAGCAATATAAACCTGTGTTCCTAATGCTATTGTGTCTTTGTCCCAGGTTAGATTAAGGCCCCCTCCTTAATACAATAAAATTGGTAAAAATAAAGGGTTTAATCTCCTTTTTCCAGCACCAAGTTTCCATTAGCACTGTTCATCTCTCCTCCTACAGCGACATCAAGGAGACATGGCGAGCTCTGTGCTCAGATCCCCTGCTTCTGATAGGAAAGCATGGAATCCATTGCTATCTTATAAACTGTGATGATGTCACATGACTGACTGCTATTCGGTCAGTGTAGAGGAAGCGGCTCTAGTGGTTGTCAGCATGACCGCCTTAAATGACTTGTTTAACCCTTGGAATTCTACAATGCTCTTTCTGCAATACAGCAATGTTTTACTTTGAAGGGTTCAATGCATAGAGAATGAAGTGCCTTTAGTGTCCCTTTAATAACCTTACTGATCCCTGGAACTGTTTGCCAGTGAATATCTCATTCTGAGAACTCGTTAAACAAAAGAATCCATTTTAAATTCCCGGTAGAAGCAGAACAATATCTAAATAACAATAAATGAAAACTGGATATTTGACATTAAACTCTTTAAAGTGCAAACAAATTGTGCAAGAGCTCCCACCACCTTATCAAAGCGAATGGTCCGTGAGATCTGTGAGATCTGAGGATTCCGATAATAGGGAAGATTTTTCAATGTGTTATTTTGCTGAATTATTGATACTTGCTTTATAACTTTAACATCCAAGTAGAGAATCTCCCAGTTCCCTTGGATTTGATGTTTTCAATGCTTTCCTTTATATTGAGTGCAAGCGTACAATCTGTAAGCCTTTTACATTTGGCGTGGATGGTTTGTGTCACTGGTTCATTTTCTGTAACTTCCTTATGCAGCCAACATGAAGTCATGTTCTTTTATCATTTTGTTTTTGCAGTTTGAGATCGTTCCTGAAGACGATCCGCAGAGTTCAATCGCGGCGAGTTCTGCGCACGAATGTCATTCTATCCTATTAAATACAATCGCAACAGCACGGTATGGAAATGTTTTGCGGCTATAGAGAGCTTTTTACTGTTTTATGGTTTTTGCTTTTTTTTTTTTTGCTCACAACTCGGTTTGGATTTGCCTTTTCATATTACATTCAGGTATAGGTATAAGTTTTGTGAAATATCCAGCAAGTGTTTAGGACTTTCGTATTACATTCGCTAACGGTGATGTCAGGGGCTTGGCTGTTGATTCTTTTAAATGAGCAGTGAAACTGTTATATAAACTTGGTTAATTGAAATGGGCTGTTTTTCTGCAACAGTCGCCAAGATGCCAGATAATGGCTCTTTCATGGCAGCTGCAGATCACTGCCATTCGCACATCCCAGGAGCTTGTGTTGCCACTGTAGTAATAGCGTTGTCCTTTGTCTTCAGGTGGTACTTTGAAAATGGATGTTCCACAGATAAGAATATTTATTTAATTTTTTTCTTTCTTTTTTTCCTCCAGGGGAAAGCGGACCTCCACGCCAAGCTCTGATCACGCTGGGGCGTATTTCTTTGGATTTACACATCCCACCATTCAAAATTTAGTCCAGAGTTGTCCGGGAGCTCGCAAATGTTTAAGGTAAAATACTGTTTCTTTTTAAATTCATAAATTGTAGCATCGCCATTATATGTGACTAGATGTAATTTCTTCTCTTCTCACGTAGCTACATTCTATACACCTTTGTTACACCTGTTGTCTGTTTTGCACGCAGTCAGTCAGCCTTGTGCGTACTGTGTGAGCCCATGTTACAGCACCGAGGTTTGTTTAAAATATCGCACTGCTAAGACAAACAGTAGAATAAAATGACAACAGGGTTTTATTGCAGCTCTGTGCAGTGTAACTGAAACAAAACTACTAAATTATATGGTGTTTCACATCTGTGAGTGAGCAAATTCACCATAAAGCTCAACAAATGAAAGTTTGTTTTAAAGCAGCCGTTACGGTATCTCACCATAAACATGCAAATCTAAATACTTTCTAAAAAGAAAACTTACAGGACAGGTGTGCAACTTTTAATTAAACATTGATTTTTTTTTTAGATTTTTTTTTTTTAAAGTTTTATTTTTGCAGTGCAAAAGGGTTTGACAAAAATGCATGTGGTACCCCAAAGGCATTCCACTTGCTCGTTCACATTAGGGTGTTTGTTAGGGCTTGCACATATTTTTTAAAGTAATGGTTACGGTTGCAGGCATTGGTGGCATGAAAAAACAGGTTATGGGATCTCGGCAGTTCGCTGCAGTCATGCTAGGCTAAACATTCAATATCCATATAGCAGCGTTGGTTACGCCTGGGTTCGTGGCTTAATATGCTTAGTACATGTCGAGATATAACAAAAGCAGTGCTGAAGATAATTATAGGTTGTAGGCAGGCATGACCCGTGCATGGGCTAATCTGGTAATAACATGAATTATACAGGTGTCTAGCGCTAACTATACCAGCAGTATCATGCAGGTAGACTGTTGCTTAGAAGATTAAAATATAAACATCAAGGATATTCCAGTATGTAGCGCTTCCCTGTCTGTACAATATAATGCTTACCCTTTAAACAACTAGTATGGTCACAGGCTTACCTACAAGCTTATGTGAGCGTGTGCCTTCGTTTATGAACTAGACATGGTGACAGGCTTATGTAGGTGCACTGTCTAAGCTCAGGAAGATATTCGCTGGAAGCAAAATATAACTCGTTATACCAAGAAACATGGTACCTGCGATGCAAGGTATAAGGCATGCATAATATTAAGCTCAGTGTCCACAAGTGTGTCCAGCCGCTCAGTGAGTCCCACGGTCTTGCTGTTATGGCATGTAGGGGCTAGCATTATGACAGTTCACAGGGCCCCCATCAGGTTCTCTTTCACCCGATGCCCTCTTTGTATAGGTGGTGTGTGTCCGGCGCTGGGTTTCTGTGCCCTGCTGCTGTGCGGGTGTCAGTGAGGGTGTCCCTCCTGCCCCAGGCTGGCTTGCAGGCCTGCATCTTCTTGCCACAAACTCCGCTGCCGCGGGGTTCCGGGTTTACTCCACGTGTGGGAGTGACGGAGGAGTTGGTCTTTTTCCGTCGCTTGTGCTGTGTATTCCTCCGCCAGTGTGGACGATGCTTGTGGGCTCTTTGGCCTGCAGCCCGGGTGGGCTAGGTTGCGTGTGGATGAGTAGGTGAGGCGATGTTGTGCCCAAGGGCATTCCCTTCACTCCCCGCCATCCGCGGTTCCGCTCATCCTTCGTCGGTGGTGCAGGTGTCATCGGTCCGGCTGCTTGTTGCCGCTTCATGAGTGTGTCCCAGAAGCGGTTCAGTATCGCCTCTAGGCTCCGTAGGGGTGCATTCTGTGGATTTGGTGCTGGTTTCGTGTTCGCCATGTGGGTCGCGTTGCCGGCCGCCATTTTAGTTACTCTCTGTGAGGGCCTGCAGTTTAGCATGTCAGGGTCAGGCTTGGCCTGTCTTCTCGGCTGGTTGCTATAGGAGTCGAGTGAGGACTGGGATGACCCCCACCGGTCCAGAGGGGGGGAAGGAGGCGAGTGCATATAGGGGTTTGTAATTGGCTTTTTTTTTGTTTGTTTATAATGCATTTGATTTTTTTGAGAAAATGTTACATTTTATCTCATGAACGCCATGTTGGGTTTAGAGTGTTACCTGATCAACTGCCGCTCACCCTAACTTGCTCCTTGCTTTAGGTTCACACAGAGCAGAGGCAGCAGTTGGTCGGATAACATTGGAGTCTGACCTAGCATGGCCTATCAACCATATAAAAAAAAAAAAAAAAAGGAATATGCTCAAACTAAATCAATCTACATAATTTACAAACACTATCATTAAGTTTTATTAAATGTGATAAACTTTTAAAGTGAAAAGAGACATTACTGCAGTAAACTCTGTATTTCTGACCTTGCACGGGATGTTTCTTTAAGATATGGCAATGCTTGGACAGGTTTTATTGCACATTTTGTTCTCTCCAGCTACCAGTGGGTGAAATTTGAAGTCTGCAAATCGGGGGATGGACATATCCCACAGGAATCGTGCGAAAATAGGTCATCTGTACAAATACAGGCTTTTCAAAGACAGTCGTTTGAAGAAATGAAAAATGATAATGTCTTATCAGGTAAAGAAAAAAACAGTTTGTTACATTGTTTAAAAATAACTGTTCCCTTTGGAAATTCTGGCACGATATTAGACACGGTACACATGAATCTTTAAAGGGAGCTTTCTTTTTGAGTTACTGATGGTACAGTGTGAGTTTTTCATTGCGGTAAATGTCATTGAATTGGGGGGATCTGTTCTGCCGTATTTTCTATATATGCATTAGAATTATGATCCTGGTTGGAAGCAGGGTCTGACTGCCATGGAGGAGAGACGTGTTTTGCTTGAGCTAATTTCCTATGCTGACAATTAATGCAGTTTTAAGCCACACCAAATTTGATTTAAAACTTGCCCAGCGGGCGGAGCCTGCACACTGAACGAACCAGACGCCATTCTGGCTGGCTCCCAAAAAAGATTCGAAACCCACTGAAAATCGCTTTACCAAAAGCCCATCCAGCCTTTTCGAGGTGATATCTGCATTGAGCAACGAACCCTGCACCACCCGATACCACTCAATGCCATTTTTCTCGGCACCCAACCAGCCCAAACGGAGGCGAAAAATCGGGGCCTACCCCGCGCTGACCATACCAAGCCTGGAAGCACTGCTGACTAGACCCACAGAGAGGGGAACAGGCTCGGAACCTGCACCCACGACATCCCTCCCTCTAACCAACAGGCCAGCGATGGGAAGAGGCTCCCAAAAGCCTAATACGGCAGCAGACACCAGGGACATTGGAGCCATGCTGCAAAGGCCTACACAGGCAAAGCCCGCTCCCGCGGAAGGCCCGCGAAATGCCCCGCAGGCCCACCCGCCTGAACAACACACGCTAGAGGAGCCCCCGGACCTCCTAACAACACCAGCAACACCCCTGGACCCCCCCATGGACTCGACCCCTACCACCAAATGCGATCTAAAGATCTTACTGGCGGAGATCCAGAAATCACTGGCAGTTGAACTTGCTCCCATCAGAACGGAGGTAACAGCCATCAAAGACCAGGTGAAAGCCTCAGAGGAGAGCGTATCTGACCTACAGGGCCACCTGTCCACCCTACAAGACTCAGTAAATCGGGTCTGGACCTTGCAAAGAACCCTGACAACCCAAGTAACTGCCATAGAAGACAGGCAACGCCGCACTCACATAAAGATAAGGGGAATACCCACGGCAATCTCAGGGGAGGAATTACCCCACTACATAAGACGCTTACTGGCAACCATACTACCTCACGCCGTGGCCAAAAAGCTGTCCATAGAGGGGGTATACCGCCTGCCCAGCAACACCAAACTGCCACCCAAAAGTGCTCGGGACGTTATTCTCCGATGCCTCACAGTTCCTGACAAAATTCAAATCATGTCGGCACTCAGGGGAAGAACACCTCTGACCTTCGAGGACGCATCTCTTACATTTTTTCAGGACCTAACAAAAGGCACACTCATGTGGCGAAAAACCCTTGGTCCGGTCACGAGGCACCTGCAAACAGCAGGAATGACTTACAGATGGGGGACAGGAAGATCCCTGACGGTGCAACACAACGGAGCCACACACTCCATCTCATCAATGGAAGAAGCACCCACCTTTCTCCTAGCACTGGGACTGCAGACCACAGTCACTGGCCACACCTCAGAGACATGGGACCCTGAACATGTTGTACCCTTTGTCCCAAGAGCCCAAAGCGCCCAGGCAGCCGTAACATGACTGAGCAGACGGGGCCAGAGCCTCTCGGGCTGGGGGTCCACACAGCCAAAGGAGGCACACATCTTTTACAGACAAGGGACCTGAAAGTTATAGAGACGCTACAGTTATGCTTAGATACCGCAAGGTTTTCTTCTTGACTACTTATGCAAATCTTTTTTCTTTTCTTTTTGTTGCCGCTTGCTTTAGGCTAATCCATGATGTTCAATGTTTTAGTAGCACCTGGGAGACCTAAACCCAACTTGTTATACCGCTCAAGGGCAGTTAGAACCACTGACCCAGCAGGGCAAATACCCACTTCCGTTCCCCCCGCCACCCCCTTGGTTAGGGGTACTCCACTCAATGCATAGCAGTGAATTACTCTCAGAGCTCCCGACTCGGCACGCACGCATGCTAAATCCTGATGTAGCTCAACACACACATATATGCCAGGGCACACTCCACTCACCTTTTTTTACCACTCAGCGGATATATGATATTTCATGTACTAAGTAGGGAACAATCTTGCTTGTAATCAGACACATATTAGACCCTCCTGATACTTCGCTTAGAATATACCTGTTTTAAAAAAAAAAAATGTGCAATGTTTCTCTCCTGTAACGCATGTATACTACACTTAACTAAATTGTCAATGTACAACGTTTGACTTAAGAAATACACGGAAAAATAAAGAACTAAAAAAACAAACAAAAAAAAAACTTGCCCAGCGACTTGACCAACCTTAAGTATTCTGGAGATCTGGCAGAAGCTCATCTGCTAATCATGCAGCCTAGAGCACACTGGGTGGGGTAAGTGGCTGATCTCCCAGACTGGGGCTGCTTGACAGCTTTCAGCGACGTTCAGGTGCCCTGTTACCCCGCCCACCCTCCACCCATTTGGACAGGTGGGTTGATCACTTTCCACCCCTGGAAGGCTATACTGATCTACTGAAGGCATGAGGTGAAGCCACAGAGCCCGAGGAACTATGTAGTGACTCACCTTACGTGGCTGACGCCACATGGCACCCCGACATCATGGAGGTGAAAACTTGATATATTGTCCATATTGGACAGGATTTTCCACAATTTCTGGCAGAAACTGGAGAAGGGGCACCAAGCCACCTTTCAGCAGCCGAACAGCCACTCCCCTCGACAGCTGACCCCTCACCCGCAGCAGAAGACCAAAGCTCCAATGGAGAAAAGGTCCCCAAAATGGCGGCGCTGCGGGAAGCAACACTCACTTCAGCACAAAGTGGCACAAAGGAGAGCGCTGGGGGCTCTTATGGTGTCCAAGGCTCAACTATTGCGGCTCACGGCTAGATTACGCGCTGCGAGGATTACCAATCCTGCCCTTTATATGGAGCAACCTGTAGTATATTTTCCTGCTGAAGGACAGTGCTCTGCAAGTGGAGGGCATTTTATGTAGGGGACTCCCAGCCTGGATGCTAAAAGGCACATAACCACTCAGCCTTTCTCCTTTTGGGGTGTATTATCTTGTATGTATGATTTCTTAACACTCTGTGCATTCTACACGATTTCTAGGGGTCTTACTCAGACAAATGAATCGTTGTTACAAAACAATTTCTATTACTAGTTCCTCAGTTGTGACCAATCTTATGTGCACAGCCAGTATACTAATACCACAACAATTTACTCAATCTGCTCTGTGCTAATCCTATCATTGCTCTCTCATAAAAAATGTGCTGCTGACATGTTAATTTGTTGTCATTTATAAAGTGTATAATCTGCAACTTTTTTTTTGTCATCTTCTAGCACAACAAAAAAAGAATTATAAAAAATAAAAAAGGAATTCTAATCGTCATCATGTATTGATTTTAATCTATGCCATAGAACAGTCTCACATTAATTACACATTAAAAAAATTGCTTGAGTTTAGTGGGGAAAAAAAACTACACATAGCCAATTAGTCACGGTTTGGGTTTTGAAATATTCTCAGAGAAGGCAGTACTTTTATATGAACCGTTTCGCTATATACACCTAAATCCTGCACAACTCTGTTCAGGAAGGGGTTAAACGTGTTTCTTGCTGTTGATGGTTATATTTACATTCCAGCAAATCGGAAGGGAAACTGCCGAAAGGGACCCTCATGTTTCATGAGTTGAAACATTTAATTAAAGAAGCACTCTAAGTACCATAACTACTTTCAGGTTAATTAAGTGGTTATGGTGCTAGCATATCATCCATGCTTAATTCTGATTTATTTATTTCATCGTTTGACACCAGGGTGTTAAAGTACCCTCTCAGACTCCCAGAAATTACACTTCTCTTCTCTCAGCACACAATGGTCCCGATTTTAAATGGAGATTTAGAGATTGAGATACAATTATTTAAGGTAAATTACATCTGTTTGAAAGTGAACCCAGTTTTTTTTTTCATGCAGGCTCTGTCAATCATAGCCGGGGAGGTGTGGCTAGGGCTGCATAAACAGAAACAAAGTGATTTAACTCCTAAATTATAGTGAATTGAGCAGTGAAATTGCAGGGGAATGATCTATACACTAAAACTGCTTTATTTAGCTAAAGTAATTTAGGGGACTATAGTGTTCCTTTAACTATATTTAGGAAGGCCAGGGTGGCCTGACCCTAACGTGTTCCTTAAATGTTTGGCTGAGCTTTTCAATGATTTTAATATGAACAATTTTGTGATATTTTTACATATATATATTATTTTGTTTGATATTTTAATATTAAAATGTATCAATTTAAAAGTTTATCTAAAACTATGAAATCATTTTATTGAGACCTTGGTGTTACTGTGAGAGGGACTGCAAAGTGAAAGCGTGCTCTTTCTCAGCAGTGATTGGTTCTGGGCGTGTGGGCAGGTCTGCAGGCAGCACCAATCACAGCAGAGACAGAGCATGCTATTCTGGGGAGCATAGCCTGCAACCCCACACACCAACTCATTGATACGAGCGGGAATCTCCAACTCTGATTGGCAGGGTTTTTAATTTGAGCATTAAACTCCAAGACTTGTATTGATACAATGAAAAGGTAACCTAGCACCATGCCCTCAAAGCAGAAGTGGTCATGGTGCCTATTGTTTATCTTTGTTGCTACCAAAACGCTGAATATGTTGTATTTATGGTCATATTACTATTTTTTTATGTTTTCATTTGTAAAATTTAGAATTGTTTATTAAAAAAAAATAATGATAAATTATATTCCAAAAAATGCAATATTGAGATAAAATATTTCTGTTTTTTATTACATTTCAAGCAAGAACATTAGATCTTCCAGAAATTCCCTCATCACATGACTATATATCCTCTTACCGGGAAATCTTCTTCTCGCATTCACAACTGGCGTCTGACCTGCAGCGCATGAAATCCCCATCCAATCAGTACAGCTCTTCTCGGTCTTCAGAGTAAATGCTTTAGAAATCACATTATTTATTCAATGGCATTAATTGATGCTGTCTGTATTTATCAGTACTGTTTGTTGCTTTGTTTTTTATTGAACATATTATTTTTTTATTTGTTTTTGCGCAATATCCCATGTTCAATTAAAATCCAGATTTACTTTTTTTTCCTTTCTCCTCTCACTGCTCTACCCTCTGATTATGGCTATACCCCTCTGCTATACCCCTTCTCACTGCTATACCCCCTTTCACTACTCCATCCTCCTCTTGCTATCTCCTCTGCTTACCGCTGTATCCCCTCAGTGCTGTTCTCCCAGATTCCTGATACACACTGACCATTATTAAGAGATACACTGCTGATTGTGTTGATGTCAGATGTAAAAACCCAGAACTCCATTTCTCTGCAATGAGCCACTGCTGGTCCCAAAAACATTGGAAACTAACGGCTCCCTAAGAAACAGACTAAGACTTAATCCTTTTTAAAAGCTCTAGGAATTTGCATCCTAATCTGAAGGGTTTATTATTAATTTACGGTGCAGCATGTTTATTAATTCAGCATTTATTGAATTAGAGTCCCCTGCAGCTCCATAAAGACCTTTATACATCCTAGTGTATTCGCAATGTAGTGGATGGGAAGTGATTTATTTATCAGACCAGCAAAGTTGAGATCTCTACAGCCGGTCAGTCTCTACCATTCTGCAGAGTTATTCATTTGGGGGTCAGTCGGTCTCTACCACACTGCCGAGTAATTTACTGGGGGTTCATTCAGTCTCTGCCACACTGCAGAGTAATTCACTGGGGGTTCTGTCAGTCTCTACCACTCTGCAGAGTAATTCACTGGCGGTTCTGTCAGTCTCTACCACTCTGCAAAATAATTAATTGGGGGTTCAATCAGTCTCTACCATGCCACTGAGTAATCCATTGTAGGTAAAGCCAAGGATGTCACATAGAGTTTAGGCCCTTATTTTGTTTTTCCTGACCTGTCCATTTTGTTGAAATCTGAGCCAGATTGATAATTTCACCAATTTGATTATAATAAAACTCTTATTCAGAATACTCTGTAATCTATTGAAGACTGTGCTTTATTTTACATTATTATGTATATATTTTTGGCCTTCATTCTCTGTGCATTAACATCTTTTCATCTGTTTGATTTTGGTCTGAATTTTCAAGTCGTCTGTCCATTCGCTGTCACAGTTCAGTAACGTTTTCAAACACCAGTAAGTCTGTTCTATACCGTGATATGTTTTAATAAATATCTCATCATACATAAGGGCACCTGTTAATAGGATTGAAGAACAATATCATTTAATTGTGTGTAGCCATTTAAAAGGGTGTAAGTGGAAGATACTGATCTTGTCCAGGAATTCTCTTGGAAGGACGTTCTTTCTCCGATAGAGTAAAAGGTTTCTTTAAATTTTCTATTTCTTTTCTTGCAGTTTACCCATTTCTAAAAAAAAAAAGAGTGAAATTTTTTTTAAATAAATGAAACCTAATTGGAGCAGATTTTTCAAAATTTTAGACTGAAGGAGCAAAGACTTTCTTTTCACACTGATCATTATAACATATTAAAGGGACACTTTAGTCATCAAAACAACTTAAGCTTAATGAAACCATTTTAATGTATAGATCATGCCCCTGCAGTCTCAATGCTCAATTATCTGCCATTTAGGAGTTAAATCACTTTATTAACCCTAGTCACACCTCCCTGCGTGTGACTTGCACAGCCTTCATAAACACTTCCTGTAAAGAGTCATCTAATGTTTATCCTTCCTTTATTGCAAGTTCTATTTAATTTAGATTTTCTTATCCCCTGCCATGTTAAAAGCTTGCTAGAACCTGCAAGAGTCTCCTGTATGTGATTAAAGTTAAATTTACAGAGAAAGAGATACAATTGTTTAAGGTAAATTACATCTGATTGAAAGTGCAACCAGTTTTTGTTTTTTTTCCAATCAGAGCCAGGGGAGGTGTGGCAAGGGCTGCATAAACAAAAACAAAGTGATTTAACTCCTAAATGGCAATGAATTGAGGAGTGCAACTGGAGCCCACTCTGAAGGCATGTGGCCATAGGTTGCCAGGGGGTGGGGGAGCTCCGGTCAGCAGCAATGTAGAGTAGGCACCTGACTGCCCAAAACTGCGCATACTCTGCTTTCGTATCGGGAGGACCTGGAAGCAGGGGGAGGGATTTGGTAAGCAGCTCTCCGGTCCTCCCGCGAGCAGGCTGTGTGGAGCATTGCCGAGCGTTCCCATGGCAACGCTCCACAAAGCATTGTGTGGGAGGACAGGAGAGCTGCAGCCAGTCACATACTTACCACCAGGGCTGGCTGTGTCCCTTCCTCCTTCACCAAAGGTAAGAATAAGGGAAGGCACCCATGACACACACAGCGCTCCTCCCCCCACCCACACTGTGCACCCGTAAACATACACTGCACCCCTTAATGTGTGTGTGTTTATTAAGCAGTCTGTATGTATTCAGCAGACTGTGTGTGTGTGTGGGTATGTATTCAGCAGTCTGTTTGTATTTAGAGGTCTGTGTGTCCGTGTGTATGTATTCAGCAGTCTGTGTATTTAAAAGTCTATGTGTCCGAGTGTATGTATTCAGCAGTCTGTGTATTTAAAAGTCTGTGTCCGAGTGTATGTATTCAGCAGTTGGTGTGAATGTGTTCAGCAGTCTGTGACCGTATTCAGCAGTTTGATTGTATGTATTGCATTTGTTGGAGATACTCATAAAGATAAGTTTAATTTTATCTATAATTTATATCATTATTTATAATTTGTATCATTAAACTCTGTTTTGTTAAAACAAAAAATGTTAATTAGTTCGGACAAATGTACGAGTTGTTTTTTCTAAACTTAAACCTCAGTATTCAGGTTTAATTGCTGTGTTGGCACTTTGAGGACTTTGAGGATAAACAAAAAATTGGCATGTATTGCGGTCTGGGCACTCGGGCTCAAAAAGCTTCGCCATCACTGAACTAGACACTAAAACGGCTTCATTAAACTAAAGTTGTTTAGGTGACTGTAGAGTTCCAGGGAGGAAATGGAACCCTAATTATATAAATTACATTGTTATAATTTCATTACACCTGTACAGCAATCTATCCAGAATCTCTGGCTTATCCTAGGTTTACTTTCAGCGGATTATCCGAGGTATCAGATAAATGTTAAACGAGGGGTTAGATACCCAATCTTACCATAGCATTCCTTTTTTGAGGTCTGTGATTGGTTGATATCAGAGTTGGCATCACATAATTGGTTGTTCTGCGTGGTGGCGTTTTCGATGTCCATGCCAACCAGTAATGTCATGAAGTCCACCACCGTATCGATGTTCTGATTGTTTTTTGTTGTGTTTTTTAGCGTACACAAAACGCTTAGCCGGCTAAAGGACTTGAGTTCAGAAATATTGGCCCGAAGGAAGACAATAATGATGTTCAAATCATTAATGGGGCACCCCAGCATCTTCTTGCTAAGGAGGTCAAACGCGGGGAGCATCTCGTATACATTTAGAAGCTGTTTATCCCAGTAGCAGAGTTTACTCATGTTATATATTATAATCGGCACTAGTAAGATGTACACCACAGCGTTGGCGACACTGACTATTTGAAATATTGACAAAGATACAAATTTACAGTTTACAAATTCAGAGCTGGAGGTCTCTCTTCTCAGAAAGCCTTCTTTGATGTGACAGTTGAATTCATCTTGATAAAAAACGGTGAGATGAAAGATGGCCAGGTAGGCGCAAGTAAAGAGAATGATGACAAGGAGGAGGATGTTACGCAGGAGATACGCAAACACCAGTTGATGGGATTTCTGTTTGCATGTCAGATATCTCTCCAACAGCGGGAATTCAAAATATCGAACATGACGAGCGCTGGAAGACAATAACGGAACATTAATTAGAAGATTGTCACCCACAAACTATATGCAATAGAATTCTGTCAAACCATGTTATGTGCGCTGGTTATAAACAATGAATATTTCCAAACTGGGGAAAATTATTATTTCATAAATGGTGAAATGTTTCCATTAGTTTTCACCAGATTTTAAGTCATTTTATAAAAATAAATCAGTTCAAAGCACTTAAACAGTTTAGAGAAACCAAACACCCATGATTACATTAATTATATTAAAACTGTATATATGGCTACACCAGGCAGCCATATTGTGCCACGTAATGCAGCCATATTGTTTTATGTCAGGCAGCCATATTGTTTTCAGGAAGCCATATTGTGCTACGTCATGCATGAATATACACGTACGTGTTCAGAGAGGACTCTCAAGCAACCGTTACATTATAATAATTCTACCATTTTCCTGTATTTGCGCTTCTTTACGGCCAGACATTTTGTACCTTTTAAGCTCCTCCCAGAAGAGAAGCGAGTCTGTGCACGTTCTGTGGGTTTTTACTAAGTGCTGGACCAGCTTGATGGAGCGATTGTAGGATTTGTCAAGTTCATCCACAATAAAAGACAGATCTGAGTACAACAAAGACCTCGAAACATACTTCCAAAGTGCGACGGGTACGTACATGGCGACCGAAACCAGCAGCAGTATATAGGGGTACACCTGGAAGCAAAGCAAACTGGCAGTGAAACAAAAAACTGTTCTCATTTCTAATTTGTCTGAATTATTATAATATAAATATAAAACTCATACAGTGTGCAGTGCGGTTTTCATATGAATTTAATCCCATCAGTTGTATACGTCTGGCTGGGTAAACGGGAGTCAATTATCTTCTATCCAATGACTACACCATGAAGATCTTTAACCCCTTAAGGACCAAACTTCTGAAATAAAAGGGAATCATGACATGTCACACACGTCATGTGTCCTTAAGGGGTTAAACTGATACCAATCAATATTTAAAGGGACAGTCTGTAGGCACCCAGACCCAGCTCTTTGAAGTGGTCTGGGTGCAATGTCCCAGGTCACAACCCTACAGTGGTAATTATTGCAGTTTCTGAGAAGGTTAAGTCCTGTTTTGTAGACAGCTACTAGAGGGACGTACGGGTGCTTAGACGACTTTTAGTCATCTAAACGACACTGGACGTCCTCATGCTCTGCGTGAGGACCTTCAGCGTCACCGGAATCCCCAAAAGAAAGCATTGAATAATGCTTTCCTCTAGGGGAACCCTAATGTGAGCCGCCATGCATGGGCATTAGGTCTCCCCTGTCGGCTGAGGTGGGTGGGAAGGAGTGTGTGCGGAGCCTGACACTGGATTCAGGTAAGTGACTGAAGGGGTTTTCAGCGACGTGGGGTGGGGGGGGCGGAAGGAGGGGGACACTGCAGGATTCTACAGTGCTTTCCTGGCACTAGAGAATCCCTTTAATCCCAAACTAAAGCTAGTCCAGAGGCAACAGTACTGTGGAGCGCCACCACTCATGTGCAGGCTGTAAATGGTATTGCGCTCTGACACTCCAAGCACCATAACCACTAAGAGGTCAAGATACAAAGAAATCTTGTGCTACCACTCTGGTTTGTATCGAACATTTTAGGGAAAAATTGAGCCAACAGAAGCCCAACCACAGGTCCATAACAGACTCTGCTTCATGTGTTCAGTGTGTACTTTTAGAATGTAAACAAAGTGATCTATAATAAAATAATGGAAGCGAGGGACATATTTGCTACAGAATTGTTCATTGTGTTTGACTGATCGTAAACTCTGAATGTTTTACACCAAACTGCCATGACCTACCCTTTAATATCGACTTACAATTCGCTGTTTAGTGAGTAAACCCCTGTATTTTACAACATGCCACAGTTATTATACAAGTTCTTTTTACTCAAACAGCAATGAAACATATAATTTCCTTCTAACTGTATCATTTTAACGTGACCTCAAATTACAGGGAGAATTCTGCTATAAAAACATAAAGATGCAATTGATGCCAATTATTGTGTAAGAGAAATCATTTAAAAATAGAGTTCTCGGGGTCTGGCTTATTAATCGCGTTAAGAAAGCAGGTGTGCAAAGAGCGTTTTATAGAGTTACCTTATGAACCCAAAGTGATCGCACTTCTGGATTTCGTCCAGCGGTGAAATCGTGATGTCGCAGTGAATGCCAGCAGTGTTTGTCCACATACTGAACGTGCTTCTCTGAAAAGTTACTGGGAGGAAAACAGATAACCTGGGACCCTAAAAAACAAAACAATGTTACTGCCAGCCCCGTGCAGATCGCATTAAACGGAACGTGGCAGTGGCGGAATAAACGAGGAATCGCTCAGCCAGCCATTAAAGGGACGTTATCGGCACATTATATATTGAGGGTAATTCCAGTAACAGTGTTACAAGGAAAACAACATCAGAGCAATAAAAAAATAAATAAAGGTAAATTTATCAAACATAGTACAGATAACCAAACTACTTAGCCATATATTTTAAATGCTTTCTATACACAATGGACTAAACACAAACAAAATAATAGAACTTCAAATCTTTAAACATTTGTGCGTGCGTTTGGTTTCCAGGTTTTGTAGTGAACTCTCTCCAAACCAGGAAGTGTCTTGGCCAATCAACACCTTTTAAATTTCTGCCCATCAGTTTAACAATTGTTAGATGTCAGTGAGTCTATTCAACTCATTGGGTGATACCAGCTCAGCTGTATATTTAGAACAAATTAGTGGAACTCGAAGCATAGATGATTTGGACAGTTTTAGCAGTTCAGCTACTGTTGCCTTTTTTACTTTAAATTCTCTGCAGATCTATTTATAGTTAAAGGGACAGTGTAGGCACCCAGAACACTTCAGCTCATTGAAGTGGTCTAGGCGCAATGTCCCATTTCCCTTAACCCTGCAGTGGTTAAGTGCATGAGGACCTCCACCATCAGATTTTGTTCACCATAAGAAAGCATTGAATAATGGGGAAATCCTAAATCGAGCCGCGCATGCGCATTAGGTCTCCCCCGCCGGCTGACATCGGCTGGGGAGGGACGTGGGCGGAGACTGAACCAGCAGTGAGGGACATAGGCGCTGGATTCAGGTAAGTGACTGAAGGGGTTTAACCTCTACAATGCCGCGGGAAGGGGGCACGGCAGGAGCCTATAGTGCCAGGAAAACTGTTTTGTTTTCCTGGCACTATAGAATCCCTTTAATAACCCAGGTGCCTAGCTCGTTAGACTGGGAATGTGCCTAATTCCATCAGATGAATTGTATCTACACTGGAATCATAGGGTCAGATCACACTTAAAGGGATACTGTAGTGCTATTTATACAAAGTTGTATTTCTATCACTAGAGTACCGTCGGCTGATAGGGTTAAAAACACTTTTGTCACTTCCTTGATTCCAATGCCGATATCCCTCAACGCTGATCAGGCTCCACATCCGCACCCCCACAGATGTCAGCTGGCGGAGGACCTAAGGCGCATGTGCGACGAACACTGTGATCACGTTAGGACAGTAAAGATGAATTTATGCTTTCCAATGAGATTTTAGCTAACTCTGGATGTGCTCGTGCAAAGCGTGAGGACGTCCAGCGTCAGTTGGCGGACCAAAGGTCCGATAAGGGGCTGGAAGCTCTGGGAGACAGCCAATAAAAGTGGTGTTAGCCATGCAAGGTAATTATGCAGTTTCTCAGACACTGCAATAACTAGAATTGCAGGATTAAGGGGACAGGGGCACTCACCCAGACCTCTTTAATGAGATGAAGTGGTCGTGGGGGACTATATTGTCCCTTTAAAGCAGCACTTTCACCCCCCCCTGCAAAAAGAGTATTTCATAAAGGTGAAATCTTCATACTGACTGTGTTGAAATTCCAACCCAGTCAAGAGATATAGTGAGACAACGTAGGGGCTGCTCTTTCCTACGCCTGACACTGGGCAGAGTGACCGCCATCTAGAAGCGTCAATTCCCCCAGCGGAAAAGGACCGGCCAGAAGAAGAGGTGGTGCGGCGAAGAATAAGTTCAGGTAAATAAATCTCACCTTTATCTGCTACCCAGCTACCGGACTCCCAGCAGTGATGTCATCGTTGGGGTGTTTGCAAACGATGCAAGTCCCCAAACGGTGACAGAGAATCGTTACTCTGCACAATACTCCTTACTCCACATAATACTTGTTACTCAACAGAATACTCGTTACTCTACATAATACTCCTTACTCTACAGAATACTCGTTACTCAAATAATACTTATTTCTCAACACCATACTCGTTACTTTGCATAATACTTACTGGATGCAATGCCCGTTACTCCACATAATACTTATTATGACTGGATGCAATGCCCGTTACTCTACATAATACTCATTATTACTGGATGTAATGCCCGTTACCATTACTCTACATAATAATCATTATTACTGGATGTAATGCCCGTTACTCTACATAATACTCATTATTACTGGATGCAATGCCCGTTACTCCACATAATACTCATTATTACTGGATGTAATGCCTGTTACTCCACATAATACTCATTATTACTGGATGTAATGCCTGTTACTCTACATAATACTCATTATTACTGGATGTAATGCCCGTTACTCCACATAATACTCATTATTACTGGATGTAATGCCCGTTACTCTACATAATACTCATTATTACTCGATGCAATGCCTGTTACTCTACATAATACTTATTATTACTGGATGCAATGCCTGTTACTCTACATTATACTCATTATTACTGGATGCAATTCCCACTACTCCACATACTACTCATTATTACTGGATGTAATGCCCGTTACTCTACATAATACTCATTATTACTGGATACAATGCCCATTACCATTACTCTACATAATAATCATTATTACTGGATGTAATGCCCGTTACTCTACATAATACTCATTATTACTGGATGCAATGCCCGTTACTCCACATAATACTCATTATTACTGGATGTAATGCCTGTTACTCCACATAATACTCATTATTACTGGATGTAATGCCTGTTACTCTACATAATACTCATTATTACTGGATGTAATGCCCGTTACTCTACATAATACTCATTATTACTGAATGCAATGCCCGTTACTCCACGTAATACTCATTATTACTGGGTGTAATGCCCGTTACTCTACATAATACTCATTATTACTCGATGCAATGCCCGTTACTCTACATAATACTTATTATTACTGGATGCAATGCCTGTTACTCTACATTATACTCATTATTACTGGATGCAATTCCCACTACTCCACATAATACTCATTATTACTGGATGTAATGCCCGTTACTCTACATAATACTCATTATTACTGGATGCAATGCCCGTTACTCCACATAATACTCATTATTACTGGATGCAATGCCCGTTACTCTACATAATACTCATTATTATTGGATGCAATGCCTGTTACTCTACATAATACTCATTATTACTGGATGCAATGCCCACTACTCCACATAATACTCATTATTACTGGATGCAATGCTCGTTACTCTACATAATACTCATTATTACTGGATGCAATGCCCGTTACTCCACATAATACTCATTATTACTGGATGTAATGCCCGTTACTCTACATAATACTCATTATTACTGGATGTAATGCCCGTTACTCTACATAATACTCATTATTACTGGATGTAATGCCCATTCATCTACAAAATGTTTTTTTCTTAAACTGGATGTAAGTACAAAGTGTCTTTATCTGTGTATTTGTATTCACTTTTGTATCACACAGCTATGTTACAATGCTGCCGCCCATCCCATGTGTTCCCTATTAAGGGTTAATAAGCATGTAGGAGTGTATATAAAAAATACCCCTTTCTGTCTCATTAGAGATATCTTTACCAGAAGCTCAAGGAAGCAAGGTGAATGGTTAGTGTAGGACCCACCTGAGAGGTCTGCCTGGATGTGGCAGGTGGGCATTCCCTCTCATGGCCATTGTAGTAGTTAAATAACCTCCATTAATTTAAATACACATAGGGATTTGTGCTAGTGCGCAGGTAACTCTTTTTTTCTCTTTGGTTTTTATTGTATGTATTGGGGCTGATGTGTACTATGATCATTGCTGCTGCCCAGGAGTGATGGGAGTTTGGACGCAGGACTTATTTTTGTATATAAATATAGATCTAACTGTAACTATCAATAGAAATATAGATAAAATATAACTATCGATATACATATAATTGTAACTATAGATATAAATATAGACAGCTAGAGTTAACTAATGAAAAATTTCCCCTCTGCTTCTTTGTTCTAAAATTTGCAATTGTTTTGTCTGTTCTGGTTTAGTGAATAATCCTCTGTATTACAGAACTTACCGTTAGAAATCTCTCGAGCGAATGCCAGTGAGACAAGTAGAAGGGGGAGTCCGATGGAAACCAGTTTAATGATTCGGTCCAGGGGTAATTCTAGGCGAAGCCGTTTCTTATTTGGGGGGCCGGTGTCGTGTAGCAAAGCATCCGAGAGCATGTACTCCGCCGCAGTGTTTGCAATGGACGACATGGTGTTCTTGAAATCCCCAAACTACTAATACAATCTAACGCCCAAAGCAGGGAGCCGACTTCTCTCACAGCAGCAATGGATTCCGGTCACCCCGACAGCTGGATTATGTACCCCTCACTCAGCCAATGGAGTAACTCCCTAAACTACCAGCTTCAAATTTAAATAATAAAGGACTTTTTCAGTTTAACCATAAAGCTCTTTATATATTAAAATTGCAGGACTGTGCGTAAGCTGTGCAAAAATAGATACAAATCGTGTCATTTATCCACGCTACATAATTTACCGACCACAAAGTCACTAACATAAAGTTTGAGCTGAACCGTAAATTAAAGATAGAAGGTGTGGTTCCAGCTGCCCCAAAATACTTTTATAAGAAACATTACAATTATAGGGTGTGTTTCTCTATTTAAAGAGAGTGCTTGTTTAATACTCCTTTTAATTATGTATGTGAATAAACCCCCCAAAGGTTCCCATTTAAATGGCTGGCGTGTTCGGACGGCCTGGCCAGCAGCTGTGTGTTCTCGCTGGAAACAACTTGTATATTTACAGTTTTCACAGCTGGGATGTGATTTATACGAAGGGAGGCCCAGTCTGTGCTAGAGGTATTTATTACTTATTTTAGGTTTATTTAACACGTCGTCTAAAATAGGATTAGAAAACGGCAATAATTATCTAAATATGTAGAAACTTTTCTTAATACACATCATACTGGTCATTGTCCACAATGACCGTGAAATGCAGAATCTAAACCACAACCACAAATCCGGGGTGTCCGAACATAAAGAGCCCGTGTGAAAAAACAAACAAACCCGTCCCCCCCCAATACATCAGTTGAGTTATATTAAATCACAGAGCTCTCGAAGTTGCATAGTTATCTACACATAAAAAAAAAAAAAATTAAGTTCAGTCTTTCACAAATCTTTTTAAGCTGTTGATCCCAGTCAAGGTGAAAATAAAACAATTTGAAACGATTTATATGCCACAAAAAAAAGGGAAACAATGACATGCCTCCCAACCATCCCAAATGTCCTGATTTGTGGGTTTTATCCCAATTTCCATGTATCAAGGACGTGCTCGCACTGTGTTCAGAGCACTAGGACCTTGCAAGGAGACTGAAACCGCACCCCCGGCGTCTCCTGCTCCCACGGGCCGGCCTGACTGATTAACGGACAAATACGGGTAAATGTGGGTAAATACGGTGTCACAGATCTCCCCCCGCAGGGGAGTATTGTGGGTAATTACGGTGTCACAGATCTCCCCCCGCAGGGGAGTATTGTGGGTAAATACGGTGTCACAGATCTCCCCCCGCAGGGGAGTATTGTGGGTAATTACAGTGTCACATATCTCCCCCCGCAGGGGAGTATTGTGGGTAAATATGGTGTCACAACTGGCCAACCTGCTAATAATGTGGGCAGAGACGCCCTCTATGTGGGAAGTCTGCCCGCTTTTGGGCAGACAATGATGCAATCGCGCCACTGACCAAACCCCTTTACTCCCCTCCTAACGGCGTCCAGATTTTGGGCGATAAATTTCTCTTTGGATCAACAAACAGTTTCCATACACACCAATTATATCCTTGAATATTCTGTTTATTCAAAAAAAAAAACAAAGTCTTTTTTTACAATTATTTATAGAATCTGCTAAGACAACCTCTTTAGACAGAGAATTCCATATGTTTAGTGTTCTTACTGTAAAGAACCCATTCCTCTGCCGTAAGTGACATCGCCTTTCTTCCAGTCTGAATGGGCGATTCTTCTTGTCTGTTGTATATTCCTGCTAATGAACAGGTTAGCACATAGCGGCTTGTACTGACTCTGTATAGATTTGTCTATTGCTATAATATATCCACTCTCATGTGTCTTTCTTTTGAAAACAAATGCAGTTTTCTTTATTTTTTATGTATGACAAAGTTAAAGGGGCACCATTATTGGCCGCACACAGGAAGCATTGAATATTCATGGAACAGCATCCGTCTCCCACATTGTGTAATACCCCTCTTCATCCTTATTAGGATGGCCAACTAGTGAAAGGTTTTGTAATAAACTAATATTTGTTTAACCCTGTAAATACTGTGTGGGGTGTGTAATGCCATATATACACAACGCATGACACATTAACCATCACAAAACAAATACCAGTAAATCTTTTAGCATTTAACAAACACAGCCACTGGGATTTTTAAAACACTTGCTTTATATTGCAGATTCTTAGAACCTCCGTGGGAGCAGTGTATGCTGTCCGGAGAAGCTGACAGTCTAATTGGATCAGAGTCATGTGACACCACAGCAACCCACAGCCTATTTCTAAAAGGATAATTATAACGTTATTACCATATAAAACTCTCACATGGGACTCTGGATCACATGGTTTAATCGGACAAGTTGCAACCAGAAATCACTGAAATGATGGCGGTAATAAAACCTTTATGGTTTCGTCACCAAGTTATAAAATAAACTAAAAAGTTTAGTGTGTAATTATTTATCCCCTGTTTGTAGAATGTTATTTCTGAAGAAACTGTAAAGTGCTCTGGATAAGAACGCTATTTAAGAACTTTTAACTTTTTCCTCAGATTTGAAAAACAAACAAAAAAAACAAAAAAACATTCTGCAACTTTTTTCAGTGTGAATAACTAATTAAACCCAATGTTTTAACCTGGAGATTAATGATTTATTAATATAAAGGATAAACACAGAACTGGTGAGACCATTTAATTTCGGAAACAAACCAGGCTTTAAATGGCACAGATTGTCTTTATATAATATTACACCATTTACAAAAATAAATTTCTTCAATATAGATTCCGTGTGATCAAATTACAATATGTACAAACAAACATTTACATCATGCTTGTCCCTGGTAAATCATACAAATTCCATTTACACAAATCTGAAGGTGAATTTAGTCAAATTTCATTAACTTCCATAAGGACAAAGAGGACATTAAGCATTGTCAAAAAAAAAAGTTAAATGCTAATTTAATCTTGCTGAATATACTTTATGAATAAAGGTGCAGGCAGTCTCCCATTGCTGCTATAAATGGGACAGTCTTTGTATTCACACGGCCAGTCGGTCCAGGCATAGCGAATCCCAGAAATCTGCGCACATTGTTTAAACGATACGGTAACAACACGGGGCAACGTCGACATTAAGGCAGCCGGAGCCCAGTAAACGGAGTCCTCGCCATGATCATTCATAGTATTCTTACATAACACCTGCAAAATACATTTCATTTTAATATATACATTGGGATTGCTTAGATTTTTTATTTTGAAAAAAAATAAAAAATATGCGCAAAAAGGTTTCATTTTAAATTGATTAAATATTTGAACTTAACTTGCATCACTGGAGTGATGATAATTGTTTGGAGATAGAGAGAGAGAGATATATAGATCAGTTTATAGATAAAGAGAATTTAACATGTATTTAGTCAGATTTATTAGTCGTTGTCTGATATATAAGCTTTGTCATTTCCACAGAGGTAGGGATGTCTGTAGACAAAAAGACACTATACCGTCTACAGCTTTATATTCCCCAAAAATTGCTATAAATAGATGATCAAATAAGTGTAAAATTGATATTATGTCAATTTACATAAAAATTAAATTGTCTGCAAAGCAATCTGTTACAAAATTGCAACTTTATAATGTGTTTACATTCTAGCCATGCATTCCTTGTTTTAAATAAATATTATGCTAATCTTTTTTTCCAAACAAAAAGTGCTCAGTAGTGAAGGGGTTAATGAATAAACCCAACTGAAGTAAATCTGGGGCAAGTGACGAAGGAAGTTGAATATTTAGACCAAAAGGCAAGCTCAACAGAATTTGAAAATCTCCCTCACTCAGCTACTTTGGCCTAAATATGTAACTTTCCTAGTCCGCTGAATGCCGCTTAGTAAATAATAACAAAGAACTCCCTGTACATTTTGGAAATTAAATCAATCCCCTCCTCATTTCACAGGAAATATTTACCTCAAATAAACTCTGGTTTGAAGGAGTTACTAAGATTTCCTGATCGTATGTGATATTGATGTATGAAGCGGAATAATCCACATCCATTTTCTCTGGAAACGGCCCTCTAAAAGAAATCTTGTCACCGTAAGCAATAGCTCTCGCCCCCAAATACAGTCTGTATGCCACGGTTTGCTTATCCCGCGGGTGAATACTGAAAGAAAGAGGAAGACAACCTGTGTGACGTGTTTTTTCAGCAGACATCACGTAGAAACGCTCGGAACAGGAACGACAATACCTTACCAGCCATATGGAGAGCGTTCGTCCCCCAGATCCATCGCGACAGCCATGAAAGTGTTGACCATTTTTGGGTTGGGCGCAAAGCCATAGTCAGCGGTTTGATGCCATCGTATGATCGGGAAGTTATCTAGCTCTTTGCTCTTTTGATTTGTGGATAACTAGAAAATATACATTAGGTTACATACTTCTATAAACCAATAAAAATATAGATTAACACGGAATTAAAAACAGAAAAAGAAAAAAAAAATGTTGATGTTCATAAAAGCTTCAAAGTGGCAAGATCTGTGATGTGTGTTCTGCAGTATGGGTAAATGGTAACTTGTACAAACAGAGTAAAAATACTTTAGATTAAAGGTTTTTTATTCCTCACCCGGTATCTGGTTTCCATGAATGATGAGAGAACTTTGTTATCTTTACTAATTACGCGTGAAACCCTAAATAAAACACAATGACGATCCTCGCTGCGCCAATTACCTGAACAAATCCAAATGGAAAGTGTTGATCGGTTTGTCCGCTGGAACCTTCGTGGAAGGACTGTCTCCAATCTTCGATCATAGCGGGGAACGTGCAGTTATAGAGATCTGTGTCCGTCGCCGTGTTCTGCTCCCCTAAAAATAACAAACACTTTCTATTCAGCAAATGTTTCTAGAAAACGATCTGTAAGTAAGCCATGAAGAACACAGGAGAGTATTAACCCCTCACCCATTAGACTGCGTGCCCTCACCTTGGTACCAGATGGCTCCTTTAATAGTCATATTGAGTAAAGGATGGATCATGGCGTTCCACAGGACGGAAAACGTACATGGCCCAGCGTAATAAAACCTACAGGCATATTATTAATCATTAACATTTTACGTATTCAAATATCCTGAAATACCACCTCATAAATCATAACACCTCACACTGAAACAATCACCTTTGCTCAACGCACACAGCAATCAGTCTCTTGGACACAGTGTTCCGGGAACCTTAAATAATAATTTATGGGTGATGCAGGTCATTGACGCTTCAATGGTTTCAAAGAGGTGTTGCTAAAATCCAATCTGCTAACATAGCAAGCTCTCAGGTAGGAATGTATGGTGAATCTAATATTTTACATGATTACATCAACATATTCCGCAGCGTGGTACAATACGTACATTCTGGACCTATCCAATATAATCATTTGGGAAATTTGTGCAGAAAAAAATAAAATCACAGACAAAGCTTAAAATATTAAAATGAAAGAATATCCAGAAATTCTGTGCACATTTACTCGTCCATCGTGCATTCAGGTGGCTTCAGGCCACATTTGGACAGCGCTCGTTTTGAGGACCAGGCTTCTACGGGCGTTCCTCCCCACACAGACTCCACCAATCCGATTGGATATTTCAGTCTGCGATGTAAGTGACGGCCAAACAGCCAGCAGACCGCCGAGAAATAGGTGAAGTTTCCATTTCCAAGGTTTTCTAGTTTATAAAAGAAACAAAATAAACAAAACAAACCACCACAACAGGCTTCACAATAAAATAAATTAACACGAGAAGAGACACCTAACAATTATATATTAATTGTAAAATGAAGACATGCTTTTAATGGTTTGGAAATCACTGTATTTCACAGATTTCGGCGGTTTGGCCACTGAGACTTGTAGGAGGGGACAGCGATTCCAAATCAGGACTTTATAATGGAAACCATGACACAAGAGAACTGTGATTTCTTTATATGTCCCTATAATTAGATCTCCGGCACAAAATAGCTTTTAGCTTGTAATTTTTTTAGGTTTCAAAATTAATCATAAAATATCCAGAATTGCAATAAACTCAATCAGTTTGAAGTAAATAGCTCAAATCAGCCAATAATCTTTAGCGTGTTTTCCCGAAGTGTTTCTTTTTTTACTTTACCCCTAGATTTGACCCCGCAGGGGAGGATTGTGGGTAAATACGGTGTCACAGATCTCCCCCCACAGGGGAGTATTGTGGATAATTACGGTGTCACAGATCTCCCCCCGCAGGGGAGTATTGTGGGTAATTACGGTGTCACAGATCTCCCCCCGCAGGGGAGTATTGGGAGTAATTACGGTGTCACAGATCTCCCCCCGCAAGGGAGTATTGGGAGTAATTACGGTGTCACAGATCTCCCCCCGCAGGGGAGTATTGTGGGTAATTACGGTTTTACAGATCTCCCCCCGCAGGGGAGTATTGTGGGTAATTACGGTGCCACAGATCTCCCCCCGCAGGGGAGGATTGGGGGTAATTACGGTGTCACAGATCTCCCCCCGCAGGGGAGGATTGGGGGTAATTTGTTTTTCTGTTGCTGTTCCCCATACACAGATACATTTTTAATAAAACGTGGCATTGGTACAGATTGATCTATGTAGGGTCACTTACCAGGGGTTGGCAAAGACCACTGTAAATCCACCTTGGCGAGATCTTCCAGCTCCGTAGGTGAGGTTTCCAGCGCTGCTGTAAAGAGTCGAACATTGGGGTAATGAACCGCTTTCTTTAATTCTTTGCTGGCATTAAATATCTGTTAACAAAAAATGTGTTCAAAGATTATCTGATCAATATAATAAACAAAATGGGAACAAATCATCTGTAATCAACTTCTACAAATAGGAAATAGAGCAGGGGGAAGAGACACACGGGGGGCTGGGGAGGAAAAGAGAGACAAAGGGAGACTCTATGGGGGGGGAAGGGCGAGGAAATAAGATACATGTTGGGCCAGGAACAGGGGCGGACTGGGAAAAAACTTCAGCCAGGGCATTTTTTAATCACAACGGCCCACTGAGATCGAGCGGTGCCAGATAGGGTGTTTTTTTCACCCCCAATGACATGCACACTGTGGCGGAACCAACCTCGCCACTGTGCACTGGAGAAGCCTGGTTGCTCACCTGCTCCCTTTAGACTATGGCCCCTGTTCTTTTACCCTGCAGAAAGGCTGGTTTGTGCCTTTCTGCGGACTGTTTAAGCCATGCTACCCCAGATAGCTATGCCATGGAGCCCAGCCGTATACTGAAAGACTGTATGAAAGACTTTGGCTCCATGGCGATTGAACTGTATGTATGTGATGTGAGCGCCATCCGGTAATAATGTGCGATCAGATCTAAGCTATCTGGGGATAGGTAGAATGTCTGTATTTTATGTAATAAAGGTAACCTTGTGTATTTTATTGTATTTTACTGTCTTTTTAATGGAGTTTTGCCTCTGTCCTTGTAAATAATTGGATTACTTCTCAATTATCTCCAGGATAGAAGACTCTGTGGAACTGGTTTTGGGCAGAAAAGCCATGCTTCATTTGGTCACAAATGAATTCGATCTATCTTTTGAACCAATGGACCAATTTGGATGATTTTGACATATGTTTGTATTTGGAGTATGCTGATTCATTTATGTGAATGTGATGCATACTTTCAAAGTTATGAATAATGTGGAAAAACTGTATTCCTCTGCCTGTGATAATTATATCACCCATTGTGTTCAGTAATCATTTCACAGGAAGAGGGGAGGATTTTGTGTGGGAGTGTCTGTGTGTATTGTACGGATTGATTGGTTGTTCTGTAAAACCCTGTGGGCAGTACTATGTTTGTGGATTGGGAATAAAAGAGGCTGTATGTGCCAGTACAGTCTGATTCTGCTTGACCCTCAAACGAAGTGTTGTCTCGTTATTGAGGGACTTGGATTGTATGCTGACTGTTAGGAGGATATTTCCAGTGTTCATGTGTTTCCAGTTCGGGAGATCGGTGCTTACAGTAGCTGTCGGTGTATCTGGAAAGGGGAATATTGCCTAAACGGTTTTTAACCTCTGGTGAGCAAAACGGTCCGTTACACACACCTCATCTTAAAGTGAGCATGTTAATTCAATGCTCTTCCAGGGCAGATCATGCACAAAGCGCTGTTGAAGAGCTCTAGCATGAGACAAGGGCCCTGTATTCTGCACAGCGCAAGCAAATATAATAACTTGCTTGCGCTGTCTTTGCTTGAAATTTGTCTCTGGTGTCTCCATAAATGGGATACCAGAGGACAAAAGGACCAGCAAAGCACATAGTGCATGTGTTTGGAGCCTGTTTGTAGAGTGAGCTGATTGTGGTGTGGTCTTGTGTTAATAGGTTGGTTGTGTTTGTGATGTAATGTAATGTATGTGTGTCTAGGGGGCATGATGTGTATAGGGAATGTAGCGAGTGTGTGCATACTGGCTGTAGTGTGTGTAGGGGTTGTAGAGAGTGTGTTTGTAGGGAATGTAGTATGTCTTTGCTTACAAGGAATCTAGTGTATACATAGGGGATCCAGAGTGTGTATGTCAGAGTGTGTGTGTGTATGTAGGAGATCTAGTGAGTGTGAGAGAGTGTGTGTGTGTGTGTATAGAGGATTCAGAGTGTATATAGGGATGTAGTGTGTGTAGATGATCCAGAGTTGGGTAAGGGATCTAGTGTATGTCTGGAATGTAATGTGTTTAGGGGTGCAGTGTTTGTGAGGGGTTCTGTAGTATATATACATATATGTTTGGAAGTATTGTGTGTGAGTGGTGCAGTGTATATGTGTGAGATGCACAGTTTGTGTGTGAATGGTGTAGTGAGGTGTGCGGTGTGTGAAAAAGGGAGCAGTGTGTGAGAGAGGATGCGGTTTGTGAATGTTTGGAGGGATCGTGTGTTGGGGGAGTCAGGTTAATATATATATATATATATGCCTTTTTTTTTTTTTAAACAAAAAAAAAAAAAACACAAGCATTGTATCCCACCAACCCTTCTCACCTTTAGCCTGGGAGGGGGGGGGACCGTGCTGCCATCCCTGGTGGTCCTAGTGGTGAGTGAACTCTAGCCTATGGGACTAGAGTTCAATCTTGCAAGACCCGGAGCATTGCCATGGCAATGCTCAGAATCTCGCGAGAGTAACCCGGCGGAGCTGTAAGATAGAGCTCCTCCGGGTCCTCTCCTGTCTCTCTCCCCAGCCGGCGGTCGCAATACACTGCCAATGGGTTGGTGAGGGAGATCTTTGAGACACACGGGGGGGATAGTGCATTCCCTGCATAGACCGGCAGGGGAGATCCTGTGACCAACCCTGCCAGCCTCGGCACACGGTCATCGTGGCCCACCGGGCATTTGCCTGGTGTGCCCAATGGCCAGTCAGGCCCTGGGCAGGAACAAGACACATGGAGGGGTAGGGAACGAGACACATAACAGCTCTTCGAGAAGGTTTATCGATCATTGAAGAATATTTATTACCTGCGACACGGTCATTTCCATATTACTCTGCCCCCCGCACAGCCACACATCGCCAAATAAAATGTCTGTCAGCATGATGTACGTAATTTCTCCCTCGTAATGTTGAGTAGCGACCAACTGATACGGTCCTCCATGATCAATTGGATCTAGAACCACTCTCCAAACTGCCTCAGGTTCTAGCAGACAGGAGAACAAATTAAACAGTGTTATTCAATGAATCACTAATTACTAGAGAACTGAAAGCTTTCACCAAAATCCTTTAATCCCCCGTCCCGATCTTCAAATCTCTTAATAAGACTTGATACGCATTTTATAGTTTACCAGACGTGATTATTATAATGTCGATTTGCAGGATTGCGGATCTAAGAGGAATGGAAGGTTAGGGATTGTGTGTGAGAAAATACCACATGTAGGTAAGTGTGCTCCTCCATAGGGGACTAAACGAATGGTACAGACTGACGCTATCAAGGAGCATTACATCACAAAGCTTGGCTTGTCAGGTGATTAAACACTAGCTAGTCGTATTGATAAAATGGCTTCTTTAATACGAAGTACTCCTCCGCAGGAGACCTTTTTTTTTTTTTACCGGTCGTCTGTTATAACCCTGCAGAATGTGTTCGTTAAGATTATTTTATAAGGAAAATTACCTTTGTATAAAGTGAACAAAGCTTGTTTTTTTTCTGACTTCCTGTCAAGAGTTGACATTAAAACAAACAAAAAACAGCTGATTGGCTAAAAATACCACGACCCATACTTCTGCAAAACACACGTATGTGGCAGTTTCACTTTACACTCAAATGTCTAGAAATGTTCTAGAGTATTTAAATCCCTGTTTAAGGAAGACTCGAAGATCTCTGATCAGCTAGGACAACCTGGGGCTCATCCGTCCTGAGCTATAAACGGCTAGCTCCGCCTGGCGCTTCTCTGTACTGATCTACGAGATCTGTCCGTAAAGTATCCAGCCAAGTATTATGAAAAATAGAGACATTTATTGAATTAGATACAAGAAACATTGTACACAGGACAATGACACCGCAGTCCCCTTCAAAGTCGGCACCTTGGGACCTCGCAGAGTTCTCCAAGCGTCTCTTCCACTGTTCAACACTATGCAAAATGCTTTGTTGGAACCGCCTTCAGCTGCCTCATCGTATTTACCTGAATTTCATCGACAAAATCACTTCCTTTTTAAAGGCTATTTTAGTTTTGGGAAAAGCTTACCAGACTACCTTGGAAGCATTTGTACCACACTTATTTGTGCTGAACTCATTGCATCGCACTCGGAAGCCTTCTGAATCATACAAATCGTTTACGGTGAGGAATGTTCAAGCTTAACGCAAAATTTGATGCAGATTTGTTGCTCAGCCATTTTGAATGCGACGGCCACAAAGTGCAGATGCTTACTCAACGGTGTCCAGTACCCCCTATAAGTAATCCAGTGAAGTAATCATTGCTCACGTATTCTCATTCCAGTGCACACTCCTTGGCTGCCAGGATACATCGATGTCACGCAAACCGTCATCGTTATATTAATAATTGCTGGACCTTTTCCGGACAGATCTTGTGTAACCAGCTAATTCCGCCTGGCGTTCTTTCCTGATCTCTCTAGCTGTAATAAGTTCCCCTTCTCACCCACTACGTGTTCCTAGCAGTGCTGTGTGCTCAGTGAGCGCAGATACACACCCAAACTAACCTATACGTCTTGCCTTTTATTTTCAACAGGTTATGGTCACAGTATATTTAAAAACAAATGCGATTCATTGTTACCATTTATGAAGACGGACTTTTTGGACACTGTATCCAGATCTTTGTAGAGCGATACCGTCACAGTCGCTCCAACCTCTCCGTAGCCCCAAATAACGGCTTTAGATGGCGCTTTCTGCAGGACCATGTGATCGCCATAATATGAAGCAAAACGAAAGCTACTCTCTAAAATCCAGAGAAATAGATTAGTGACCATTTTAAGGCCTGCGTGCAATTATACTGCATGTTATTTACATCACGTCATAATCCTGTTATAAAACACAGAAAATGGAAAGAAAAAAAAAGAACATTAATTCAATAACAGAACATTTTATTTCCCTTTTAGACCTCACATTAGTCTGTATGTTCTGCTTGACCACGTAATAATATTCAGCTGATATTAGGGCTTTCTTTGAAAACCAAAATATCGCCTGTGCTAATTTGCATAATTATACGTGTACAACGTCATGGTATGTTAGGTAACCTCACAGGAGAAAAAACATTTGTCACAGCAGTGTGCCAGTGTGTCATTGTGTGCATTGCAGTGTTTCATTGTGTGTATATACATTGTCGATGTGTGTATGGCAGTGTTTCATTGTGTGTATATACATTGTCTATGTGTGTATGGCAGTGTGTCATTGTGTGTATACATTGTCTGTGTGTGTATGGTAGTGTGTCATTGTGTGTATACATTGTCTGTGTGTGTATGGCAGTGTCATTGTGTGTATACATTGCCTATGTGTGTATGGCAGTGTGTCATTGTGTGTATATACATTGTCTGTGTGTATGGCAGTGTGTCATTGTGTGTATGGCAGTGTGTCATTGTGTGTATACATTGTCTGTGTCTAAAGTCACTATTGGCTCTCATGGTGTCACAGCTTTCTTCCCAAATCCTTCCCACCAAAGGGTGATACTAGTAAAAATGTTAACAGATTTACTACTTAACACGTGTACAGTTTATCAGATGTAAATAAAATATTGCTGAATATTATTTATATTCCAGAAATCATTATACGGATTCCTCTTCTGCAACTGTCACTAGTCTAATACTATCCTTACCTTTTTGTGTCATTTTACCCCACTCCCTCTAGCATGTAAGCTCATTGAGCAGGGCCCTCAACCCATCTGTTCCTGTGTGTCCAACTTGTCTGGTTACAACTACATACCTGTTCGTCCACCCATTGTAAAGCGCTGCGGAATTTGATGGCGCTATATAAATATCATAATAATAATAATAATAATAAGGCGTTGCAGGAATAATAACAGCAATGGGTCGATGCATTGCTTGAGGTAACAGTGTGAATAATATACATCTCAGTCCATTCACAAAAATGGATTGTCATTTACTGTGCAGTAAAAAAGGATTCAGAACCCTTAAAAATGATATTTTTTACAGTTTACAAGGAATACAGAATCACAAATGCCAAATCAATATATTTACTGGAAACCTATCTTCTCCCAGAGTATATTTTAAGACAAATATTAAAAATAAGATAAAAAAAAAAAAATATATATATATATATATATATATATATATATATATATATATATATATATATATATATATATATATATATATATATATATATATATATGAAAAACCTCAGATTAATATTTAAAATCAATTCAGCTTTTGATGTAATAACACTCAGGTAAGTATTTTGGGGTAAGTATCTCCCAGCGTTGCCCCCTGACTTGGGGTAATGTTTGCCCATTATTTGTGGCAGATGTCCTGTCGGTGGTTGTGGTTGGTTGGGTGAAGCTGGTGGACTGTAATGTCCAAGTTGTGCCAGTGGTGATGGAGACAGACAAAATCAGGCTTTTATTTCCCTAATTTGATCATTGGCGGGGTGGGGAGGGGGGGCTTTATCAAAGTGTCACTTTGGGACCCAAAGCAAAGGCCTTTATCAGTGTAGTTATAAACGCTTGTAATAATGAACTTTCAACAAGAGATTAATTGAAATAAATCAAATATTGAATAATTTATCATTTCACTTGGTGTCAAGTTCACAATAAGCAAACTCTGGGAGATACATTAAACACGCATGTCAAGTCTTTGTAACACTTTTTCATGTAAACTAGCCAAGTGATTTAACTTGCTTTTCCACATAATGTAATCATGCAAGATGTGCTGTCTGTAAGTGATGTGGAATTCCTGCCACCAAAACCTGTTGTTCCAGGTGCAGGACCGGCATATTTTTAGGGGGCAGGTGTCCCGCGGGCAAGAGTCTACTGCAGGACTGCCTGTAGAGAAGAATGCTGGACCAGGGAGCATGCGGCAGGTGCACACCACAGTAATCGCTCCCTTGTGGTCTGGCGCTCACTAATAAGTAAGAACGCAGGCTGGGAATCCCTGGGACTGCAGTCTGAATGCAAGGGAGCATTTACTGTGGTCTGCACCGCATAGAGGTGCAGACTGCACTCTAAGCCATCAAGGACTTTAACCACCATGGACCAGGACTCATAATGTTTGTCTGCTCTGATTTGCCCCACCTGCTTAACCTTCCACCGCGAGGAGGACAAAACAGAGCACACACCACAAACATTACACACAAACACCACAGACTTCATGCATTATGCGATGAGACAATAGTGGGAGAGACTATGGGCGAGGGAGGCGAGGCAGAGTGTGAGACTCTCGGAACTATGCACTAAACTTCGAAGTTCCACAAAAAAAAAAAGAAAAGAAAGAAACAGCAAAAAAAAGTTATGACTATAGCAGAGGTAAAAAAAATTCCAGATCAGATCGTGTTGTTGTTGAAAAACATTTCTGCTCCTCGCTGTAATTTACGTTTTGTGTATTGTTTGTTGGTTCTGTGTTGGTATGAACATCGCTACATTGCATTGTCCTCATCCTGCGAAGTTACTGTCTCTATGTAATAAACCCACAGTGATCACGGTCTGCACAGATGAGGCAAAGCTAAAAAAATTGTTTTTTATACACATTTCTACTTAAAGGGACACTATAGTCACCAGAAAAAAAACACAGCTTAATGTATTTGTTCTGGTGAGTAGAATCATTCCCTTCAGGCTTTTTGGAGTAAAACACAGTCTTTTCAGAGAAAATGCAGTGTTTACATTACATACCTCCACTAGCCACTCCTCAGTAGTTGCTAAAGGTGCTTCCTGGGGCAGTGCTGCGCAGTGGGACTGACATTCAGTGTCTCCACCCACTGCATAGAGTCACCAAACTTTCCTCATAGAGATATATTGATTCAATGTATCTCTATGAGAAGATGGTGATTGGCCAGGGCTGTGTTTGACTTGTGCTTGCTCTGCCACCTTGACAGTCTCAGCCAATCCAATGAGGGAAGTATTGTGATCGGCTCAGACCACCACGTCTGATGATGTCAACCAAGGAGGCAGATCAGGGGCAGAGCCAGCACCAGAGACTGGAAATCAAGTAAGATTTTTCTATAATTAGGGGAGAAGGGGGTGCAGATTGTGTTTTTTAACACTATAATGTCAGGAATACAGGTTTGTGATCCGGACCCTATATTGTTCCTTTAATACTATTCCATAGACAAGGTATGCGGTAGTTTGGTTCTACACTATTCCTAATTTTACTCAAAATTGATCATATAAATAATGATGGAATTTTTCGTGCTGCAGAAAGGGGAACTTTATCCCAAATTTCAGCTTTAAAGTTAAAGACAGGTTCCCTTGCAGTTTTATCCTGGATATTGCTCCATCCATTCTCCCAGGAATGCATAACAGGTGGTGTGATGCTACCCCCGTCATACTCCACTGTATAGATAGTGCTAGTGAGGAATGGGATGTGTCACACTATTTAGCAAGCCCCCCTAACACTCTGATAATGGCTGATTTCCTGTCCCCTCCCCACCATACAGGACAGTTTGAAGTGTTTCTACATTTACTCCAGTCCCGGCCATTGATCTCTCTAATATGACCGCTGGCCTCTCTTCGTCCTTGCCCACAAGTCTCCTCCTTGCCTGGTCATAGGGCTTCAAATGCTCTGAAGCTCTGTGATACACGCATACAGTGAGTTGTATTGCCATGGAGCTCTGTGATACATGCATACAGTGTGTTGTATTGCCGTAGAGCTCTGTGATACACGCATACAGTGTGTTGTATTGCCGTAGAGCTCTGTGATTCACGCATACAGTGAGTTGTATTGCCGTGGAGCTCTGTGATACACGCATACAGTGAGTTGTATTGCCATGGAGCTCTTTGATACACGCATACAGTGTGTTGCATTGCCGTAGAGCTCTGTGATACACGCATACAGTGAGTTGTATTGCCATGGAGCTCTGTGATACACGCATACAGTGTGTTGTATTGCCATAGAGCTCTGTGATCCACGCATACAGTGAGATGTATTGCTGTAGAGTTCTGTGATCCACGCATACAGTGAGATGTATTGCAGTAGAGCTCTGTGATCCACGCATACAGTGAGATGTATTGCAGTCAAGCTCTGTGATACACGCATACAGTGAGTTGTTTTGCTGTAGAGCTCTGTGATCCACGCATACAGTGAGATGTATTGCTGTAGAGTTCTGTGATCCACGCATACAGTGAGATGTATTGCTGTAGAGCTCTGTGATCCACGCATACAGTGAGTTGTATTGCCGTGGAGCTCTGTGATACACGCATACAGTGAGATGTATTGCCGTCAAGCTCTGTGATACACGCATACAGTGAGTTGTTTTGCTGTAGAGCTCTGTGATACACGCATACAGTGAGATGTATTGCTGTAGAGCTCTGTGATACACGCATACAGTGAGTTGTATTGCCGTGGAGCTCTGTGATACACGCATACAGTGAGATGTCTTGCTGTAGAGCTCTGTGATACACTCACACTGTATATAACTCCTCCCAACATTTTAAAAGTTAGAATTATATTTTAAAAGAGCGAAATTTCATATTGGGGGGCGGGGTCAGGGAAGGAGTTTTTCTCAGACATTTAAAGGAGAAATGTCTCTTTTCTTGTAAAGACACAAATAAAACCCTGAAATGTGATTAATCACTGGTGTTGCCTTTTTCATGTGATGATCGGATTCTATGAAATATTTACCACGTGACACCCAGCTCAGTCCTGGCACGGATAGGGCACACGTCACAATGGGGGAGATGCAGTGTTTCTGTTTGTCATTCCCCCTGTCTGCTCTCTCTATACTGACTGCCAGATGTAAAGGGCGGAGCTTATAACAATGATTGACAGGGAGCTAAGATGGAGGTGACTCTCTCTATACTGACTGCCAGGTGTAATGGGCGGAGCTTATAACAATGATTGTCAGGGAGCTAAGATGGAAGTGGCTCTCTCTATACTGACTGCCAGGTGTAAAGGGCGGAGCTTATAACAATGATTGACAGGGAGCTAAGATGGAGGCGGCTCTCTCTATACTGACTGCCAGGTGTAAAGGGCGGAGCTTATAACAATGATTGACGGGGAGCTAAGATGGAGGGGGCTCTCTCTATACTGACTGCCAGGTGTAAAGGGCGGAGCTTATAACAATGATTGACAGGGAGCTAAGATGGAGGTGGCTCTCTCTATACTGACTGCCAGGTGTAAAGGGCGCAGCTTATAACAATGATTGACAGGGAGCTAAGATGGAGGCGGCTCTCTCTATGCTGACTGCCAGGTGTAAAGGGCGCAGCTTATAACAATGACTGACAGGGAGCTAAGATGGACGTGGCTCTCTCTATACTGACTGCCAGGTGTAAAGGGCGGAGCTTATAACAATGACTGACAGGGAGCTAAGATGGAAGTGGCTCTCTCTATACTGACTGCCAGGTGTAAAGGGCGGAGCTTATAACAATGATTGACAGGGAGCACGAGGCACCCAGCTGGCAGTTTAATTATATTCACCAAACTTATAAAACACAGTAAATATAGGGGATCAGAAACCAGACTCTTTCTAACTCTGGGAGCGGATACTTCACATTCATTAATATAACAACAACAACCAGAGAGCCATTTATAGAACAATTCATAACAATAACAATGTATCTTAGTCACACAGGTTGATTTCTAAACACATTTTATGCAGTTTAAAGACACATTACTGGGAGTATTATTGCTGTGGAGCTCTGTTACTTGGAGTATTATTGCTGTGGAGCTCTGTGATCCTCCCATAGACAGTGAGGTTATAAATAGATAGTTTGCAGGATCCCAGCCCTGTATAAGGAGACAGACCTACCTGCAGAGGGGAGCACAACCAGGACCAGCAGCACTGCACACACAGACATTGCTCTCACTGTCTCACCTCCAGGAAGTTCTGCCAGAGAAATAAACAGAGCTACTTCCAGGAGGAGGGGTCAGTGCAATGATCTGCAGCACACCTCGTACTCTTTATTACACCCTGCAGCACATCTCACATCATTCCTCACACCCTGCAGCACATCTCGTACACTTTATTACACCCTGCAGCACATCTCACGTCATTCCTCACACCCTGCAGCACATCTCACATCATTCCTCACACCCTGCAGCACATTTCCCATTACATCATTCCTCACACCCTGCAGCACATCTCACATCATTCCTCACACCATGCAGCACATTTACCATTACACCCTGCAGCACATCTCACATCATTCATCACATCCTGCAGCACATCTCACATCATTCCTCACACCATGCAGCACAGTTACCATTACACCCTGCAGCACATCTCACATCATTCCTCACACCCTGCAGAACATTTCCCATTACATCATTCCTCACACCCTGCAGCACATTTCCCATTACATCATTCCTCACACCCTGCAGCACATCTCACACCCTGCAGCACATCTCACATCATTCCTCACACCCTGCAGCACATTTACCATTACACCCTGCAGCACATCTCCCATCATTCCTCACACCCTGCAGCACATCTCCCATCATTCATTACACCCTGCAGCACATCTCACATCATTCCTCACACCCTGTAGAACATTTCCCATTACACCCTGCAGCACATCTCCCATCATTCCTCACACCCTGCAGCACATCTCCCATCATTCATTACACCCTGCAGCACATTTCATGTAATGCCTCACACCCTGCAGCACATCTCACATCATTCATTACACCCTGCAGCACATCTCCCATTACACCCTGCATTATTATTATTATTGCCATTTATATAGCGCCAACAGATTTTATTAATGACACGGAGGCTCCTATTATGCTATCTCTTTCTTACTTTAGTCCTCAGCAGCAAAGAGAAATATAAAACTGAAAGAGAAAAAATTTAGATATGCAATAATAATAATAACAGGTACAACCAGATCTGCCTAGTAACAGGGCAGCCAATCAGCTTAGTAGGAACAGTCCATAAATGCCTTGCTTAGTACTTCCACTTTCTCTTTCTTTGCTGCTGTCCTCAGACCAGCTAAGTATTAATTTCACTCCTGTATATTTTAATCTTGGATTGTTTTTATGGGTTTATCTACTGATATATTTAATGTATTATGTACTTGTATGCTGCTTTGTGCACCCTATATGATTTCTGTGTTTTGCTTTGATGTTTTTTTGGCACCCCTTTTGGGTGTCTCTGTTTCTTCCCCTGCTTTGCACGGTCTCCCTGCCTGTGCTGTACCTTTTGTGTGCACAGACAGGGACCGCGGATCACTGGGGAAGCTGTTTTCTCGGGAGCTGATGTGCTCCCTGACCGCCCTCCCTCCTCCCCTCGCGACCGTGTGTGGCGACCCGCTCTACCTCCGGCCGCGTGTGTTTTTTCCAGAGAGCTCCCCGGCCATTGTCGGGGGAGGAGCTTGGGAACGCGGCATGCACTGCACGCGGCGGCCATCTTCTTTCACACACGTGGCTGGTGGCGGATCCGGCGGTCGGCTCCCTTTACCCCTGTTTTTTCTCCACAGGTATTTGCTTTGTGGGTTACTCAACCCCTGTTCTGTAATTTAGGTTTTTACTCCATCATACTGTTATAACATTGTATTCTGAGACTGGTGGCCTGGCTCCCATAATATTTATTGTGGCTTAATATTTTATCTGTGTATATTTAAAGGGACATACCCCTTTTTATCCACAAGCTTATTTACCCTCCTGTCTATCATGCAGGCTAAGGGTGATGATTCTGGCTGTCCCAGCTACCCCACCATGGAAGCCTTTCAGGCCCCTATCTCAGGTGAAGGGGGTCTCACCCCCTCTCAGGAGTTCCATGCCCTTATTTATTCTACTATGCAGAGGGCCCTGGCCTCTGCCATGGGGACAGTCTCATCATCGCTGTCTCACACTATCCAACAGGCCCTGACTCAGCCCCTGGCTTCTCCTATGTTGGCAAGCCCCCTGCCTGCGCTGCAACCTCAGGCCAGCCGCAAGGCATATGCCAAAAATGAGCATATCTCACCCGATATGACACAGGTGGTACCTGCCCTGACTGACGTGCCTATGGCCGTCCAAGATGGCGCGTTACCGCGCAAGAGAGCTGCTGGCCGGGCAAAATCGGCCAGAAAGTGGAAAGGGGCGCGTGCCCATGACAATGACGGGTCTGATTCAGATCCAAGTGGGGAGACCGGTTCGGACACCCCCGACTACGCTTCTTATGGAGTTTTCACTCCATAATTGCCAGGACAAGATTTTGGACACTCTAGGTCCCGTGACTAAGCTTTATGAGCTATTGGAGACGGCTAAAACGGGATGCCCCCCTGGATTTCGATGTAGCAATAGGTTGGGTCCAGAGATTGATTTGCCTACTTGGCAATGCTAACACGGCTATGTCAGTCGAACGCCGCAAGGCGATCCTGCTTAAAATCGAACCTAAACTGGTTAACCTTGCGGTCAAGGAACCGGGCACTGCCGCTAAAGGCATGCTCTTTGGTGAGTCTTTTGTTAAAGACTTGGGCTCCTTTGTGCGCACCTTCACCACCCTAGATAAGGCCCAATCCAACCGGCCGTCCGCCCGGCCGTGGAAATTGAGGTCCCTCACGGACTCAAAGAGGTTCCTTTGCTGCCCCTCGGGCCTATCAGGACTACAAACCCGCTCCCTTCTTTCCCTCCCGCGGGAGGACATGGCAGTATCGGGAAGGACATGGCCAACCCTCATACAGACGCCGTTACGGTGAGTACTCAAAAAGGTTTTTCTCTCCGGGCGAGTGTGGGAGGCAGGTTGGCTTTGTTTCTCGACATGTTGGGCTTGATCACCACGGATGTGTGGGTGTTAAATACTATCAGAGGCTTTCGCCTGGATCTTTTGTCTCCCCCTATCCAGGTGGACTCACCTCAGGAACTGAGGTTGCCGGAAGATCAGTCCGGGCTGATTACCAAGGAGATCTCGGAACTTCTGGCCAAATGGGCAATACAAGAAGTCCCGTACGATCATCCGGGATTTCTAAGCAACCTGTTCCTCATCGCCAAGAAAGGCGGAGGTGTTCGGCCGGTGATCAATCTCAAGCGACTCAACAGATTCCTTCGTTACCATCACTTCAAGATGGAGGGCATACATTGCCTCAGAGATCTGCTTCGGCAAGGGGATTGGATGGTCAAGCTAGACCTCAAGGACGCATACCTGACTATACCTATGGCAGAGGTACACTGGGACTTATTGCACTTTACGTGGCAAGGACGTCGGTGGAGGTTTACCTGTCTGCCCTTCGGTCTCTCTTCAGCACCTTGGTGCTTCACGAAGGTGATGAAGCCGGTGGTGGCGTTCCTCAGGTCGCGGGGCGTACGCATGATTATCTATCTGGACGACATACTGATTATGTCCGCGTCCCCCGATCAACTTCTACCACACCTGAGCTGGACGGTGAATCTTCTGGAGAGCTTAGGTTTTTCTCATAAATTGGGAAAAGTCCATGGTGACCCCATCGCAGAAAATAGAATTTCTGGGTTTCGAAGTCGATTCGGTCGCCCAGTTTCTGTTCCTTCAAGAGACCAAGCTAAAGGCTATGAAGAAAGAAATAAGACGTACTCTACGGACCATCAGTCTCTCCGTACGACAATTGGCGAGGGTCATTGGTCTTTTGGCCTCCTCCATTCAGGCAATATTACCTTCACTCGGGCAGTTCGTACGAAAGCGAACTATGCCTGGACAGAGACTCCAAGGAGGAACTTCGATGGTGGTTGGATCATATGGAGGCATGGAATGGTCGAGCAATCTTCGGCACCGCCCTGGACATGGTGATAGAATCGGATGCCAGCCTGCATGGCTGGGGCGCTCGCTGTGGAGATGTCTCCGCAGGTGGTCCGAAATCGAATCAAAGCTACACATCAACTGTCTGGAATTGCTGGCGGGATCATTCGCTATTCGCAGCCTGTCTCCAACCCTGGGAAACTGCTGCGTCCTTCTGCGTATGGACAATGTGTCCGCGGTCAGATATATAAATCACCTAGGTGGCACGAAGTCAAAACAACTGGTGAATCTAGCGAAGGATTTCTGGCAGTTCTGCCTCCACAGCGCGGTGTCGGTCATGGCCGAACACATCCCGGGTTTGGACAACGAATGGGCGGACTGGAATTCGCGATACTTGAAAGACTCAGGAGATTGGCATCTGTTACCTTCGATCTTCCGACAGATCGACTATGGCGCCCGTTACAACTGGACTCGTTCGTATCCAGACTGAACGCTCAACTACCCCAGTACTTCAGTTGGAGACCGGATCCATCAGCCACGGCGGTGGACGCGTTCCTGCAGATATGGCCTCGGGGTCGTCACTTTGCATTTACCCCTTTCAACCTGATCTCTCGGACGCTGGCATACTTGTCCGGACAAGAATGCACGTTGGTGGTGATAGTTCCCCTATGGCAGACTCAGCCTTGGTTTCCACGTCTTTTGGAGATGGCGGCGGAGTGCCCACGGATGATCAGGATGCGATCAGAGGTGCTTCTGGATCCGGATGGGAACTTGCACGACTTAGTGGACCAGAACCTGCTCCAGCTCACGGCTTGGTTGATTTCCGGGGACCCTGGTGTGTCTCGGACGTTCCGCAGCCTACTACAAGACTCCTGGAGAATGCCTGGGCACTGGGGACCAGAACAGCTTACAAGGCTGCATGGCGTGTGTGGTCTGGCTGGTGCATGGGCAGACTGCTGTATCCCCTTTCTGCCCCTCTGAAGGAGGTGCTCAGTTTTCTGACCACGCGTTTTGAATCTGGTTTGGCCTATCGCACTATCAACGTTTATAGATCGTCCATTTCAGCCGGACATATAGGTATTGACGGATCACCGATTGGACAACATCTTTTTGTGTGCCGTTTGTTGAAGGGTATTCGTTACTCTAGGCCTCCGAAATCCAGATATTCATCGTTTTGGGATGTTAACGTGGTGCTGGACTTCTTGGAATCATGGTCTCCTAATGAGGACCTGTCACTGAAGCAATTATCCTGGAAATTGGTTATGTTCCTGTGTCTCCTTTCATGCAAAAGGGTTTCAGATGTCAGGGCTTTGGACTGGAACGCATTATCCTTCACCCCCGAGGGAGTGTCGTTTAACATCTCTAGGAGGACGAAGACGTCTTCTAAGTCAGTGACCTACCCTAGGTGTTCAGTCCGACCTGCTCTGTGTCCGGTAACTTGCCTACAAGTGTACTTGGATCGCACTCACCTATTGAGGTCATCAGATTTATCCCAATTGTTTATTTCATTTAAGAAACCGTTTCTCCCGATCTCCTCGACTACGTTAGCTCGTTGGATTAAGAACCTTCTATCCGCTGCAGGAATTGACACTTCAATATTTTCGGTCAGAGGCGCCATGACGTCTAAAGCCTCCACGATGGGATGTCGTATGGATGATATCCTGAAGGCAGCGGATTGGTCTAGAGAATCTACGTTCCGCAATTTTTATTTCCGCCTGATTGACCATGTTTCCTCGTTAGTTATGGCTCAGCTTTAAACTAGCATAATAGGAGCCTCCGTGCCATTAATAAAATTCCCAGATTTTACTAATAACATGACGTAAAGTCATGATTTTATTAATGACACGGAGGCGAGTATTATTCCCACCCTCCCACCCAGTGGGTATGGTTTGGGTTTATACTTATGGTTCAATCGGGTGGGGGCTCTTTTACCTCAAGGTAAGTGTTCACAGTTTTCTCTGACTTATTTGGATCTATGTACTTATGTGGTTCCGATTTGACGTTTTTTAGTCCTGCAGGCCAGATTGTCATGAAATGTTACATGCAGGTCCGGAGTTTGGATTTTACCTACCTTTTCTCTGTTTTACAGCTTGATTTCGTTAAGATGACGTCTATCTTGTTGGAGATTGTTCTTTCCTGATGTGGAAGTTTGGTTTGGGTCTTCGGTTCAGAAGGCAAAGAAGAGGAAGTGGAAGTACTAAGCAAGGCATTTATGGACTGTTCCTACTAAGCTGATTGGCTGCCCTGTTACTAGGCAGATCTGGTTGTACCTGTTATTATTATTGCATATCTACATTTTTTTTCTCTTTGCTGCTGAGGAATAAAGTAAGAAAGAGCATAATACTCGCCTCCGTGTCATTAATAAAATCATGACTTTACGTCATGTTATTAGTAAAATCTGGGAATTCTGTAGCGCTTTACAATATTATGAGAGGGGGGGAATTAACTATAAATAGGACAATTACAAGAAAACTTACAGGAACGATAGGTTGAAGAGGACCCTGCTAAAACGAATTTACAGTCTATAGGAGGTGGGGTATAAGACACATCAGGACAGGAAATAAGGTAGGAGTAAAGGAGAGACAGGTATGTGAGGTAGAGGTTAGTCTGGGAGGCCATAAGCTTTCCTGAAGAGATGGGTTTTAAGGCACCTTTTAAACGATTGAAGACCAGGGGAGAGTCTGATGGCGTTAGGCAGGCTATTCCATAGGAAGGGAGCCGCCCGCGAGAAGACCTGCAAGCGTGAGTTGGCCGTACGGGTGCGAGCAGCGGACAGGAGAAGGTCACAGGCAGAGCGGAGAGACCGAGAAGGGACATACCTATGTATGTGTGAGGATATATAAGAGGGGCTAGAGTTGTTCAGTGCTTTATAGGTGTGAATTAGTACCTTGAATTGACTCCTATAGCATACAGGAAGCCAATGTAAGGACTGGCAGAGGGGTGAGGTATAATAGGAGTGACTAGGAAGGAAAATCAGTCTGGCGGCAGCATTCATTACAGACTGTAGCGGGGCAATACGGCTTTTTGGGGAGACCTATTAAGAGAGAGTTACAATAATCCATGCAGGAAAGAAAGGGGCGGATGTGGGATATGTTTTTAAGGTGGAATCTACAGGATTTGGTAACAGACTGGGTGTGAGACTCAAAGGTGAGGTCAGAATCAAGTATGACACCAAGGATGCAAGGATGGACTTATGTGGGTACCACTAACTTGAAGAGAGAGGAGGATCAGTATTACGAGGAGGAAAGACGAGCTCAGTTCTAGAGAGATTGACTTTCAGAAAGCGGGAGGACATCCAGTCAGAGATGGAAGAAAGGCTCACATCATTCATTACACCCCCGCAGCACATCTCACTTCATTCATTACACCTGCAGCAAATCATTCATTACACCCCGCAGCACATCTCACATCATTCATTCTATTAACCCCTCGCTGAAATGGGGAGGCATTTCATTATAATTCGTTGAATAAGTCTTTTATATATAGATATTTCTTCTTGGGTCACAGGCTTGCAACATTAATATGCGTCTATATTAATGAAAAAGTACTAATATGCAATTATTGATGTTCTTTATAAAAAATATGCATTTATTCTACTTCAATAGCAAACAATCTATAGCCTTTGGCTGCTCACTGTAAAAAAACAAACAAACAAAAAACGTGTCCACCCCTCCCGAGTGGGGGCTTTTAAACTGAAGGGGGCACCTATTGTCCCCCCCCTGTCCCCACCCCTGAGCGGCGGGTGGGGGCCCTAAAGTAAAATAAGTAAAAAACAGAGTTGGGGAGAAGAAGCAGAGCCAGAGAAAGAAACACTGAAAGAGCGCTGAGAGAGGTAGGAGGAGCACCAGGAGAGAACAATATCTTGTAGACCGATATTGCGGAGGATGAGAAGAAGCTGTTGATGATCAACGGTGTCAAAAGCCGCAGACAGGTCAAGGAGAATTAGGATAGAATAGTGACCACGAGATTTTGCAGCGGGTAGATCATTGGATACTTTGGTCAGTGCCGTTTCCACAGAGTGCTTAGCGCGCAAACCAGACTGAAGCAAGTCTAAGAGAGTTGGACTCGAAGTCTGTCAATCTTGCATACACAATTCTTTCAAGGATGCAGTAGTGAGATAGGACGGTAGTTGGACGGGTATTTAGGGTCAAGGTTGGGCTTTTTTAGAATTGGGGTTATAGTTGCATGTTTGAAGGGTGATGAAAATAAGCCAGAGGAGAGAGAGAGATTGAGAATTTGGAGAGGTGGAGAAAGAGAAGAAGACAGAGTACAGATGAGATGCGAGGGAATTGGATCTAGCAGGTGGTGGGGCGGGAGGACTGGGCAGAGCAGAAACCTCTGTAGCTGGTACGAATGAACATAGAACAGCAGAGGGAGTGAGGTTAGGGGAAGTATTGTAAGGGGAAGAAGAAATATGGGAGATCTCTTCCCTGATTGTAGAGATCTTGTCAGTGAAATTCAATGTAAAATTAGCCAAACATCCCCATAAGCCAAGTTTTGACCACTTTGGCCTTAAATGCGAGATCCACTTTGAATTCTCACTTTAGTAAAATATCCACAATTAATGTATATTTACATTGCGTAAATTCAGTTTCTGGACATGAAGCAGATTGGAGATGATTCTCAGGATATAGAGAGTAAAACACAGCTCTCGCTATCAGACAGAGTAAAACTCGGCTCTCTCTATCAGACGGAGTAAAACACAGCTCTATCAGACGGACTGGTGGAGATTCTCAGGATACAGAGAGTAAAACTCGGCTCTCTATCAGACGGAGTAAAACACAGCTCTCTCTATCAGACAGAGTAAAACTCAGCTCTCTCTATCAGACAGAGTAAAACTCGGCTCTCTCTATCAGACGGAGTAAAACACAGCTCTCTATCAGACGGAGTAAAACACAGCTCTCTATCAGACGGAGTAAAATTCAGCTCTCTCTATCAGACGGACTGGTGGAGATTCTCAAGATACAGAGAGTAAAACTCGGCTCTCTATCAGACGGAGTAAAACTCGTCTCTCTCTATCAGACGGAGTAAAACACAGCTCTCTATCAGACGGAGTAAAACACAGCTCTCTCTATCAGACGGAGTAAAACTCAGCTCTCTCTATCAGACGGAGTAAAACACAGCTCTCTCTATCAGACGGAGTAAAACACAGCTCTCTCTATCAGACGGAGTAAAACTCGGCTCTCTATCAGACAGAGTAAAACTCGGCTCTCTATCAGACGGAGTAAAACACAGCTCTCTCTATCAGACGGAGTAAAACACAGCTCTCTATCAGACGGAGTAAAACTCAGCTCTCTATCAGACGGAGTAAAACTCAGCTCTCTATCAGACGGAGTAAAACTCAGCTCTCTATCAGACGGAGTAAAACTCAGCTCTCTCTATCAGACGGAGTAAAACACAGCTCTCTCTATCAGACGGAGTAAAACTCAGCTCTCTCTATCAGACGGAGTAAAACTCGGCTCTCTATCAGACGGAGTAAAACACAGCTCTCTCTATCAGACGGAGTAAAACACAGCTCTCTCTATCAGACGGAGTAAAACTCAGCTCTCTCTATCAGACGGAGTAAAACACAGCTCTCTCTATCAGACGGAGTAAAACTCAGCTCTCTATCAGACGGAGTAAAACTCAGCTCTCTCTATCAGACAGAGTAAAACACAGCTCTCTCTATCAGACAGAGTAAAACTCAGCTCTCTCTATCAGACGGAGTAAAACTCAGCTCTCTATCAGACGGAGTAAAACCCAGCTCTCTCTATCAGACGGAGTAAAACTCAGCTCTCTCTATCAGACGGAGTAAAACACAGCTCTCTCTATCAGACGGAGTAAAACACAGCTCTCTCTATCAGACGGAGTAAAACTCAGCTCTCTCTTTCAGACGGAGTAAAACTCAGCTCTCTATCAGACGGAGTAAAACTCAGCTCTCTCTATCAGACGGAGTAAAACACAGCTCTCTCTATCAGACGGAGTAAAACACAGCTCTCTCTATCAGACGGAGTAAAACTCAGCTCTCTCTATCAGACGGAGTAAAACTCAGCTCTCTATCAGACGGAGTAAAACTCGGCTCTCTATCAGACGGAGTAAAACACAGCTCTCTCTATCAGACGGAGTAAAACTCAGCTCTCTATCAGACGGAGTAAAACTCAGCTCTCTATCAGACGGAGTAAAACTCAGCTCTCTCTATCAGACAGAGTAAAACTCGGCTCTCTCTATCAGACAGAGTAAAACACAGCTCTCTCTATCAGACAGAGTAAAACTCGGCTCTCTATCAGACGGAGTAAAACTCGGCTCTCTATCAGACGGAGTAAAACTCAGCTCTCTCTATCAGACGGAGTAAAACTCAGCTCTCTCTATCAGACGGAGTAAAACTCAGCTCTCTATCAGACAGAGTAAAACTCAGCTCTCTCTATCAGACAGAGTAAAACTCGGCTCTCTCTATCAGACAGAGTAAAACACAGCTCTCTCTATCAGACGGAGTAAAACACAGCTCTCTCTATCAGACAGAGTAAAACTCGGCTCTCTCTATCAGACAGAGTAAAACACAGCTCTCTCTATCAGACAGAGTAAAACTCGGCTCTCTATCAGACGGAGTAAAACTCGGCTCTCTATCAGACGGAGTAAAACTCAGCTCTCTCTATCAGACGGAGTAAAACTCAGCTCTCTCTATCAGACGGAGTAAAACACAGCTCTCTCTATCAGACGGAGTAAAACACAGCTCTCTCTATCAGACAGAGTAAAACTCAGCTCTCTCTATCAGACGGATTGGAGTAGCGCGGCATTTGCTGCACATGCGCACTAACAGCTCTTAGCCTTAAATGAACACTTCAAGCACCATTTGTATTACAGTGTTCTGTAGTGGTTATGGTTCCAGGAGTACGCCACTCCCCCAAAGTAGTCAAACCACAGGCAAATTAATCCCATCAGTTGATCGCTCTCAGCCGATAAGTTGGATAATTTCCACCGATTCCGTATCCTTTCCTCCAGTTCTGGATTCTTTGACCTGGTTCTGGATCCTTGCTTGTAATTATCTCCCTGGACGGGCTGAGGTGAATGAAGCTGCTGAACTTGTTATTCCGGTAGCCAACAGTGAATGTAATCGGCCAGCGTTGCTATATCTGATTAATATAAAACCTCAATCAGCAAATATCGCGTCACGGTGACTTAGATAGAGCGCAGACACGGTATCACGGCTTCACCTACCCCTATACCATATATTCGCTTAGGGGAAGCGCCTAATGCAGACTATCAAGGTGTAATACAGGGCAGGTACTAGTCAAACTGACCCCTGGACATCCTCTCCTACCTACAGTCAGTATATTATACAGACATTGTAGGGAGGGGGCAAATCTTCCATTCTGACACTCTGCGCCTATGGCCAAAATAACCGTTAGCAAGAGAAAACCATGTGTCGGAATGTCAGGTCAATAACAGATCTGTCCAACTTGCAGGAAATAAAACCAAAACTATTTACATCACATCTCACTGAGGAACATGGAAAGGGAAATTACATTCCAAGATACACAGCCATACTGGACAGATTCTTAGGGTGAATACGGCAGGTTCTCAGCATGAATGGGGCAGATTCTCAGGGTGAATCCCGAGCGAATTCTTTGAGTAGATAGGGCAGATTCTCAGGGTGAATCAGGCAGAGTCTTTGAGTAGATGGGGCAGATTCTCAGGGTGAATGGGGCAGATTCTTTGTGTAGATGGGGCAGATTCTGAGGGTGAATGGGGCAGATTCTTTGAGTAGATAGGGCAGATTCTCAGGGTGAATCAGGCAGAGTCTTTGAGTAGATGGGGCAGATTCTCAGGGTGAATGGGGCAGATTCTTTGTGTAGATGGGGCAGATTCTGAGGGTGAATGGGGCAGATTCTTTGAGTAGATACGGCAGATTCTCAGTGTGAATGGGGCAGATTCTTAGGATGAATCAGGCAGATTCTTTGAGTAGATGGGGCAGATTCTCAGGGTGAATGGGGCAGATTCTCAGTGTGGGGGCGGGGCTACGTGGTACGTGCTTTGAGGGCACCCTGCTGATTAGAGGATTGCCTGGTAGCCCCTCCCAGGGGCGGGCACCATCGCTTGCCCCGCCCCAGGATTGCCAAGCCGACTGAGCAGTTTGGTTTATCGCGCTATCCGTACCCGTCACCATGGAAACCAAAACAAACCGGAAACGGCTCAACTGTCAGAGCGCACACTGTGGTAAGTGAGTGCAGGGTAACTGGGGGGTAACAAGGGGTGAGAGGTAAGGGTGAGCGGGGGGAGTACCAGGAGTTGTAGGGGGCTACTGGTGTTTACTGTGGGGTGTACGGGGTACCACAGGGGTAAGGTAGAGGGAGGGAGCTACTGGAGGAATGGGGGGAATGGGGAGGGAGGGCTACTGGGAGGAGGGAGAGGAGGGAGCTACTGGGGGGGGAATGGGAGGGCACAGGAGTGGGGGGCTACTAGGGGTGAATGTGAGTGGAGAGAGGGTGAAAATGGGGAGGGCTACTAGGGTGAATAGGGAGTGGGGAGAGGGGGTGCCAGATGGGAGGGAGCTACTGGGAGTGGGGGGAGCTACTAGGGGTGAATGTGAGTGGAGGGGTGGGCTGGGAGGGCTACTAGGAGTGAATGGGAGTGGAGAGAGGGGTGAATAAGGGGGGTGTACTGGGAGTGGAGGGGTGAATGGGAGGGAGGCTACTGGGAGTGGAGGGGGGTTACTAGGGGAGTAATGGGAGTAGAGGGGGTGAATGGGAGTGGGGGGGCTACTGGGGATGTAATGGGAGTGGAGAGGGGGTGAATGGGCAGGGGGCTACTGGGGGTGTAATGGGAGTGGAGAGGGGGCTACTGGGGGTGAATGGCAGTGGAGGAGGGGCTCTTCCACCTGTTGCCTCAGTGTTGCAAGGTAACCACAGACTTTGTTAAACCTCACACTGAGAGGGCACTCCTGACACCATAACCACCACAGCAGGCTTGGAGTGCTCCTTTAACAGGTGGAACTAATATTTTCACCTTACATCCTCTTACACTAGATGGCAGTAGATGTTTCTACAATAAACTGTATGGACAAGATTGACACTGTAAATTACATGCAGTTTGCAATGCTATACATTTATACCTAGAGCTTCCTGCCACTTACAATATATACAGTATTCACAATAAAAACAACAATAAAACAAATCAGCAGAGCAGTTTGCAGCTATATGGAGCCTTTGTTTCTCATTAAAGTCCTTATTAAAGATATTTTCATTGGAATCAAATTATCTGAAACTTGAGTCTATTTTATCCTAAACTATTTTGAACCCAATTGCTTTGGACTCTGCTATAATCCACGCTTTACCCTGTATAATGACTGCCCTGTAATCCCTGCTTTACCCTGTATAATGACTGCCCTGTACTCCCTGCTTTACCCTGTATGACTGCTCTGTAATCCCTGTTTTGCCCTGTATAAGGACTACTCTGTAATCCCTGTTTTGCCCTGTATATGGACTGCTCTGTAATCCCTGCCTTGCCCTGTATAAGGACTGATCTGTAATTCCTGCTTTACCATGTATAAGGATTGCTCTGTAATCCCTGCCTTGCCCTGTATAAGGACTGCTCTGCAATTCCTGCTTTGCCCTATATAAGGACTGCACTGTAATACCTGCTTTACCCTGTATGACTGCTCTGTAATCCCTGCTTTGACATGTATAAGGACTGCTCTGTAATCCCTGCTTTGACATGTATAAGGACTGCTCTGTAATCCCTGCTTTGACATGTATAAGGACTGCTCTGTAATTCCTGCTTTACCATGTATAAGGATTGCTCTGTAATCCCTGCCTTGCCCTGTATACTCTGTATAATGACTGCCCTGTAATCTTTGTATATAGAGCCATACTGGGTTCCATTGGTTTCCATGATCTGTTTGTTATGCTGTAAAAATGATGCCCTATGGTACACTGTCCTTGGTCTGTCCCAGGACCACTACGCAAGTTCTAATTTACTGTAATATTGTTATTTACAGAAAGAAAAACTCAGTATACAGAAGATGTCAGTTCCATTCTCAAATACAAATCTTCGTATCCCACGGGGCTTTGCAAATCTTCTCGAAGGGTTAACCCGTGAGATTTTAAGAGAGCAGCCAAAAGATATCCCTGTGTTTGGCGCCAAGTACTTTGAAACGCTCTTAAAACAAAGACAAGGTAAAGTGACATAACGTATACTTTACCAATGGGACCGATTCCCAGCACTTCCGTGCTTGATAAAGACCTAATTTAAGATTGTAACGTTGCTGCTGTTACTTCATTCACTGAACCGTATCCGTATAGCTGCCATCTTATCTACTTTGAGTGTCTGGATCTTATTGCAATTTTTCAATTATTATTATTATTGACATTAATAAAGGGCCAACATATTCTGCAGCACTGTACAATTGGGGAGAAACAGTCCTGGCATAGCCTAGGAAGTATTGGGGGGGATTTCTCAAAGAGTTTTCTGTGAATTTTTTGTTACATTTATTAAATTTGTCAGTTTTTTTTTTTTTTTTTATCTGTTGCCCTAACCATTGATTTTAAGCATGGTAAAGGGATAATTTCATCAGCGATCTTGGCCGACTGGCAGACATTCTATATGACTATCTGTCTGTATTTGGCATTCACACCAGTTAACTCACAATCCTAACTGAAAATATATATATTTTATATTTTTTTCCCTTTCTTAGAGTCTAACTACGACCCAGCTGAATGGGGAGCGTCACTAGATGACAGGTTCTACAACAACCACGCCTTTAAGGCAAGTAATCACTCCTGGGGTATCTCCGTAGCCCTTTTCTCATAGCAGAACAGCATGTTCTAGACTGCTTAGTCATATTCATATTGTGGACACAGAATGTTCTAGGCTGCTTAGTCATATTCATGGTGGGAACACAGCATGTTCTAGGCTGCTTAGTTGTATTCATAGTGTGGACACAGCCCATGTTCTAGGCTTCTTGGTCATATTCAGATCCTAAAAAGACAGGATGGTTCCCACTCTCCTCGTTACCCCATGTGGCGAACATAACCCCGCCACGGGCTCCTGGAGGAGTCTGTTTGCCAGCCTCCTGCCTCAGGACTATCGGCTCTGCAAAATACACTTTAAAAGGCTCTGTTCATGTGACTTGGGATTATATTGTTCGGGAACCGAACAACCGCATGAACCAGAGACCACCCGTGTGCTTGTTAAGCCCAATTGACACCTTGTAACGAGTTCCACCGCAGTGTTCTAATTGTTCGTCTGGGTGGCTGCAATTCGTATGAACGGCCACAAGGTGGCGACCATCTTGTTCACATGAACGCAGGCAGCGGTGTTTGGTGTTTGAGTTCATGGAACTGAAATCGGACACTGAAACTCCCGAACATCGCTGGACTTCCATCATCGTCTGCGTTCAGTTGTTTACAACTTAGAAGGGCACTGTTCAGTGGAATCGTTCCCAAGAACAAGGTGAACAAGCTACACATGTTAATTATGGATTCAGTTCAGTTTTTTATGCACTTTTATACTCCCGAAAAAGACCAACCATTAGCCCTGATTTCATGGAACTGTTTTGGGCATAGGACCATGGGTGCGGTTGGTCAAATAATTTACTTCCGTGGAAAAACTGAACCGATCTGGGTGATTTTTGGATATGTTGGTCACCCAGATCGGGGCTATCCGAGAATGTTGGTGGGGTTTCTATGGATTTTGGGGGTACTTTTGGGATGTTTATAAATTGTATGTTTTTTATACCTGAGAGATAATTTAATTATACATTTGCTTCTCAGATAATTATCTCTCAGGCACAAATGATCATGGGAGGGATTTCCCTGTATTCTTGTATTGGAAACCCCTTGCAGGGGCTTTTGCATAAAAGGCAGTGTGTGTGGCCTCCAATCAACCAGTTCACCCCCGCATTCAGTCTCGACTAATGTCTGTGGGGGAAAGCTATACTTGCTATACTGCTCTTTGTATTGCTATACAGCTATACTCTCTTGGAGGAGAGGTCTTCCCACTGGGAGCTGGATTCAGGTGTTGGTCCATGGTGGGAAGGGACAGCGAGACCCTAGCCAAGCTGCAGCAGCTAAGGGGACTACGGTGCTTATAGTACTGGGTGGTACTAGGAAGCAGCGATTGGTGGAGATACGCCACACCCCGTATACTGTTACCCCCATATATTCCCAAACTCCCCGTTACTCCATATATTCCCATTCTACTTGTCACCCTGTATACTGTAGCCCCATATTTTACCACTCTCCTTGTTACCCCATTTACTGTTACCCCATATATACTCACTTTCCTTGTTGCCTCTCATACTGTTACCCCATTTAAACCTACTCTCCTTGTTACCCCACATATACCCACTTTCCTTGTAAACCTCTATTCTGTTACCCCATATACACCCACTTTCCTTGTTGCCCTCTATTGTGTTACCCCATATATACCCACTCTCCTTGCCGTCCCACATACATACTGTCATTTTTCCCTTTATCTGCAGCGTGGTTCCCATTTCCTATAAGGACAAACTACAAGCTGCATATTACTTGTTGTCTGAGTGAGAACATTTACACTACATTATAACCTTTTCCTTAATTGACTGTCTCATTTAGAAGATGCTGCATTTTGCAGAAAATGATCTATTGTGTATCTCGCCGTGATAATGTTTTGTGTGATTTTTAGCATCCTGAGTTAAATACCGTGACTTCGTCCTCTGAAGGAGTAAGGAATGGCGCAAGCTATGGGATCCCTGTCCCGGCAAGCCCACGAGATACTGATCTCTCCTTTGAATCATTGGATATAGAACAAAAGGTACTACTTTCCCAAACAGCCATCTTTAATGCTCAGATATTACAGCAACTGTTGGGCTATTGAAAGTTTTCCATTTTGTTTTTAGTAAAACGATGCAATTCTGTTTTGACGTGCTGCTCTGAGTATGGTTTATATTGCTCTCATTTTAGCATGTATTAAAATACCCACGGAATGGTGGAACATTTAAAAAAAGATTTAATTCAAAATATTAATCTCGATATTTTACACATTATACCAATGTGTCATATCTTTTGCAGTAACAATATGAATGAACTGCTAAATGTTCCAGTTTCGTGTCTCCTGCTCCACATCTGTGCACATCAATACCACAATTTGTGTCCAGTAAACCGCAGGTTCACCACCCGGTGCAATAGTAATGCAAAATGTTATAGGAATAAATATAATTGTACATATACCCTCAAAGAAAATGTGTATGTATTTAGTTTTGTATATTTTCAATGGGAGTATATTAAATTTTGGCTTGTAATGGTTACAGATCTAGTACCTGCAGCTACTGTCAAGCCCTCCCTTTTTAACACTGCCCAGACTTTCTGAGGCTGGCCAATCACAGACTTCCCAATACAGATCAATGAGAAGTCTTTGCAAAGCAAGTGCCCTGGACAATTTTTTATCTCCACTGAGCTCACCAAAGCATGAAGTAACCGGACCTGCAGTGTAACAAGGCTCCTTTTTAAAAGTACCATTTTCTGTTAAAATTGGCATATTAATGAAATGGAAAAAGAGGGAACACTCTTTACACATAAAGAATTAGAAGCTTGTTACTGCTGTAGAATAGAGAAAACCTCAATGAACATAAAAAATACAGTTCTCAAAACATATACGTTTAGTGCATTTTAAATTCATGGAGCTCTGCAGAGTACCAATAATAAATATATATATTTTAGTTAATACTTATTTTCTTTTATTTGGAGACATCTGGAGAGATCAATAGAAATTATCTGTAATGGGATAATTACATCTGTAGAGTACAGCACTTACAGCAATAGGTGGGTGTAGGTAGTTCCAGCAGTAGTATAAAGGGACACTATAGTCACCCAGACCACTTCAACTCAATGAAGTGGTCTGGGTGCCAGGTCCCTCTAGGGTTAAACACCAAAAGACGAAAAAGATTTCAGATCTAATGGGTGTTACCACCCCTTAGTTCTTCTATCTTTATGAGTGCAGCGCTGTGTAGTATGTGAAAACACAGTGAGTTACCTGTGATTCAAAGGCAATTATCCTTTATATTCTCCAATGTAATATATATACAAAAGAAAACAGAAATATATACAGATAATTGTGCAGTATATCTATTACTTTAGTGAAGTGTTTAGTGGGTAACATATATATCTCCACTCACATTTTTTAGAGCCTTTTCAAGTGAATTAGGCTCTAAACTTTCGTGCATCTGTGTCTTTAAGGGTAGATCACACGACCCCTCTCTCCAGGTTAAGTGTGTATTTTTTCTCTCCCCAGCGTATATATGAAAGACACAGAATTATCCAACTAAGTGTAGCATCCTCTGCAATATTTTCATATAAATAACAAATTGAAGTGCTCACCTTATTTAGAGCCTTTTGGTAACTGGCTCTAAGTATATAGGCCTAGTGTCAGTTTGTGGGGTGACACTGCCCCTTCCCTGGAATCACTGGTGCTGGATACAGTGGATAGTATAAAATAAGGGAATTTATTACAATATATATAAAAACAGTATAAAAATATTTTTCTAGAAAATAAAAAATTGGATAAGAACAAATTATTTTCCTGAACCACCAATACTTACAATAATTTGTTCTTATCCAATTTTTTATTTTCTAGAAAAATATTTTTATACTAAATATATGTTTACAAAAAGTTTTATACAGCATGCATTACTGTACTATATGAAATATATAGAAAGGTGGTGCAGTGGGACAGCATCTGAGCACCATGTAAATTATGTACCATCTTCCTTTTAATTTCTTTAATATATAGGGCACAACGAAAGGGACATTCATTTATACTTCAGCTAATTGCTTAACGTTTAATTAGTGTTCTTACTGTTCTCATGCCAACGGCCCTTGATGAGTTTTATTGGTGTAACTGTCCACTGTATGAAGGTGGCATGGGAAAATCTGGTTATTAGTGGCTACCAAGTATGGCCATGCTTGTTGGCACAGAGAGCTTCATTGTTCAGCTGGTCCTGCTCGGTAAATAAAATCCCGTGCATTTTACACTTTAACACACTGCAGTTCTTGGTATAATGCATAGAGACGACCTATGTGTGTTCTGTATGTATTACCACCAGCTTTACTTCTTAAATCAGGGATTATCACAGCTCTTCGTACAAATGTCAGCAAAATTCAAATCTCAATTCTGTGTAAGAATTATAGGTAATAGGAAACTAACATGTTTCTGTTATATGTGTAATATATATATGTATGTATATATATAGTTAATACAATGTTAAACAAAAATCTGCACACCAGTCAAGCCATAAGACTTGCTTTTCCCACATATTCCCATATATATATATATATATATATATATATATATATATATATATAATTACTGTATTTTTGTAAATAGTGTAAAACACTAATAAATGACCTTTTCACACTTTCTAACTACAGGATGAGAGTGGGAGTGATTTAACACAGGAGATGGCGGCCACAGTAATTCAGGCTGCATACAGAGGCTATCTAGCTAGAGACGAAATTAAGAAGCTGAAGGAATCTGCTGATCAGAAGTAAATTCAGCTAAATTATTTTACCACTAGACGACTGCAAGGCAGAGGCAGCTGGTGTTTATTCACCTAATATCCACTCTCCTAATTACTGCGTCCCTGTGTGTACTGAATAAACCAGGCCTAGTGACTGTTATATGTACTCCATACTGCGCTTATTCCTTGCACTGTAACTCCCTCTGGCGTATCAATTTGCAATGGAAGCTCTCCCTTCCCCCTGGCAGGTCCCCCCAGAGTTCCAAGCGGCCCCCTGGCGTGTCCCCCCCCCACCCCAGATTTCCCAGCGGAAGCTCCCCTTCCCCTAGGCGTGTCCCAGATTTGCAGTGGGCTCCCTTCCCCTGGCATGTCCGTCCCATTCCCAGCAGAGCTCCCTTCCCTGGCATGTCCCCCTCCCAGGTTCCCAGGGCTCCCTTCCCAGTGTCCACCCCTCCCCCAAGCGTTCCCAGAGGAGGCCCAATACCCTGGCGTGTCCCCACCTCCCCAGAGTTCCTAGCGGAAGCTCCCCTTCCCCCAGGCATGTCCCCCCAGAGCTCCCAGTGGAGGCTCCCCCTCCTCTTGCGTGTTTCATGTCCTTGCAGTGCGTGTCCTCACAAAGCATTTTTCTTATCTTTCCAAAGCATATTCCAGCTCCTTGCATGTCCTTAGAACACTTTCCATGTCTTTCTTTCTGTCTATTGTCACATAAGGCTTTAGAAGGAACATAACTCTCAGGTTATTCACTATAGTGAGAATTCAAAGTGAATTTAACAATTTAGGCCAAATTAGCCAAACTGGAATTATATCTAACTTTCTGATCATTTTTCCAATTTAGCTATTTTGGCCTTAAATTTCAAATTGTCTTTGAATTCTCATTTCACTGAATATCCCTTTAGTTCCATCTCCTCATTCATTAGATTGCTGGCCATACATAGTTATGTCTAAAGTGGCTCATGTTTATTGCTTTCCAAAGTAAATGAATTCCTTCAATCACAGAGCACAATACTATACATTGTCAATAATTGTCTTGTTTTTTCATTTCCCTGAAATCCAGTCTTGGATACTCAGAGTCAGAGTCTGTATCCCAAGATCATCAAAAAAGTTCTCCCATTCCTGACCCGACAGAAGGAGCTGCCCTTTCAAGCCAAGAAGAAGAAAGCATTTTATCAAAAGCACCTATTGAGCCAGAAAGCACAGACACCTCCGTTGATGTTCACAGTGAGATGTTAACAGACCTGGCAGGTGAGACAAAACAAGATGAAATTCGGGGGAGTGAAAGAGAACATGAAGACCAAAGCGGTGTTGAGGAAAGTAGTGGAATTCAGGCCGACATTAACCAAGTGGAAGATTTGCAACTACTGGAAATTCTGGATGCTGCTTTGGAAGAAGCTGGCGGTAATCAAGAAACAACAATAAGGGCTAATTCACTAGAAACAGAGCAACATGCACTCACAAGCGAGGAGGTAACAGAGGACCTTACCACGGGGCAGTACGAGGCTCATCTGGCAGAAACTGTTACAGACGATTCTCAAACACTTCATGATGATTCAACACCGCAAACGTCTGCGGTGGACAGGAGCAGCGAAATGAATGAGAATATTGTTAAATCCGAAAGCACAGAAGACAATTTTAACAACAAGCCCTCAGATTCTATGGATGTGTCTGCCACGGAAGAGGTAATTTTACAATTCAATTAATGTGGTGTATTTTTTATTTTTTGGGGGGTGATATATTCACTAAGCAGTTTGTTGACAACTGATTTGTAAAACTGGGTCCTAAATGAAGTTGTAGAGAAATCTTCTGCTCAGACAAGTTAGAGATTTACTCCAATTTGTCTATTTTGGCCTAACTTTGAGTTTCAGCTTCCCAGTGCTCCACAGCCAAATCATTTTTTTTACTAAGATTTGTGCTTGATTGGACCACAAAAAAACCACAAAAAAAAGGTTAACATATGACATAACACAAAATCAAAACATAATTTAGACACAGCCATAACTTTTATAATGGTACACTAAGCAGAAGGCAATAATTAGTTACAATTACTAATATTAATTTAGTGCCATCTAAATAACTCAAGTGGTCGCGTTGTTTAGAGATACCCCAATTCTTACTAACAACCTCATTTGCTCCATATACTATCTCCTCTTTTCTTGCTATAGTGCCAGCATATTCAGCAGCGTTGTACAACAGGAAACAAGACAAAACATTTAAAGGAACACTATAGGGTCAGGAACACAAACATGTATTCCTGACCCTATAGCGTTTAACCCACCATTTGGGTGGCTCCCCCACTTAAAAGCAATTAAAACTGACTTTGGCCCCCTTGGTGACATCATCAGAACTGCTGATTTTTACCAATCCAATGCTTTCCTTGGATTAGCTGATATCGGCAGGGGGGCACGGTCAAACGCTGTTTTGGCCAATCAGCACCTCCTCATAGAGATGCATTGAATCAAAGCATCTCTATGAGGAAAATTCAGCGTCCCCATGCAGAGCGTGGAGACGCTGAACGGCAGTGCTGCCTACTGCACCTGAAGTGACCACTTGGAGCTGTAGTTGTTCTGGTGACTATAGTGTCCCTTTAATTGTAACAAAACATGTAGCAAAGTGCCCTGCCAAAACTAGCTTAGGTTAGATACTTGTGCTGAGAGGGGGGTGCTTCAAGTAGTATAAAGGTGGGTGGGCTAAGCAGCCTGTGTTTCCCCAGAGCAGTTTGTTGCACAATGAGTTGCTAAGCAATGTAGATGATCTTAAGACCCTAGCCCCAGCCATATCCCATTATTCATTGAAACCTTGTAATGGCAGTATGTACTGCATATTACTGTCTGAATCTGCCTTCTTTTTGTAAAATATCTCCTTTATTTTCCTGTGCTGCAAACCATCAAGTTATATAACAGCAATATGTTCCTTCAATTCAGTGCCGTGCTTCCTCTTTTATTAATTTAATTGGCAGCAGAGGGAATTAAGGTGGTGAGAGACACAGCTAAATTTGGGAAGTGTTACATGAGTGTGGTGTTATGAACATACTGAGAGGAAAATGCTGACAAGCTGTCACTTACCCTCTGATACAAGCAGGGAAGGTAAAATCTATATATTTATACATTATCTGCACAGGCAGAGAAACAGCTTCATATTGTATATAAGTTAATTATCCTCCTGGGAATCGCCAGTATTTTTAATTTAAGATGATGTGCCTCGTACATTATTACAGCAGATTCTCTCTAGATCTATTGCTGGTCTCTTAGCGTCGCTACCTGTGCCTGGGATCTGCTTACTGGAATTCTTAATGCTTGCTGATTTGATTGAACCTTCCATGGGTGACTTCACCATTCTGAACAAAATCTAGAACATGGATGCAAACAACGTGCAGTCGGTGAATTAAATACTTTTCTCCCCCTGCTTTGGGGAGTTTTAATACCAGAACATAAAGAACCATATTTAATGACTTGCACAAATTCAAAATGTTTCTAAAAACAAAACTATGTTTATTCATTTCCCCTCCTTTTTTATTATAACCACCACTTGTTTTTAATAATGAATGCCCGAGGCGAGCGCTGTTTGCGTTCCCCTGTCTTCCGAATATGTTACTGCGATTGCGCAATCGAAATTCCGTTTCTGGTGCGAATTCCAATTTAAATGGTGTGCATACCTGTCTGACAGAAAGAGTGCTTGTCATTACAGGAATACCGGATCACCAGCCCCCCACACGGTACTGTGGTTTTTACGGTAAAGAATAGTCTTTTTTTTTATTTTATTTTATTATGTTTTACAGATGTCTAGTCCTGTCTCACCAGATAAACCTCAGTAAATACTCGAGACTATCAGACTTGCAAAACTAAGCATATAGCTTGTAATTCATGGGGAAGGTGAGACTCTACAGAAAAAAGGGAAGGGTTTCACAGTAAATCCAAGATTTTCAAGCCTCATAAATTGGGAATGAAAAATCCCTGAGAAGAAATGTGCAAGTCGCACAGTTATCCAAAAAAAAAAAAAAAGTGGCTGGGCTCAAGGATCCAATGGACAAGTGAGCAGTGACGTCCTGCAGGAAAAAAATTCCAAGAAGCAGCTTGCCAAAGTAAAGGCAGCATTGTGGTTGCAAATCTTGATGATTGTCCCCTATAAGGAACAGACAAAGAACTGAATCATCTCATGGAAAACTTCAGAATGGCTAACAAATTATGTGACCTGACAGAAGAGGCTCTGAAACTGTCAGCCTGGATTTTGGGTCTATCCTCTATTAATGATCTGGCTAAAATCCTGGAGCTCAGATACAGCATCTAAATCAGCTGTATGCAAGTTAATTTTTGAAAGGCACAAGCTGTTTGGTTCTCTGCTGGAAGAACTGATTAAGCAAATGTCTGACACAGGAAGAAAGTTCTCCCTCAAGATAAAAAAAAAACCCCCACCCCCGCACACAAAGATCATACCGATATAATGATCAGTTTCCCAGCTTCTGTAGGCATCCGCAGGATACCTGGTCCAATGAGAAACCGTCTCATAGCAGGCAAGATAAAAGGAGAAAATTATGACACCACACAAAGAGTGGGAGGAAGATTACAAGCGTTCATTCGACAATGGGAACAGAACACTCAAAACCCTTGGGTGGTGGACACCATAAGAAATGGGTCCAGAATTAAATTTCTAGTTGTGCCTTCTTCCCAATTCCTTTGTTCAACTTGCACTTCTCAAATAAAGATGGATGCCCTGTTAAGCGAATCTCTGGTTCTGTTCCAGAAAGGCATCATAGAGAAAGTTCCCAAGAAAGAACAATTTCAAGGAGTCTATTCAAGAAGGTGAACGCATGCATACAATACCAGAGATTTTGAATGGAGATTATCTTTTCTGTTACCCACAAGCTATACAGAGGGAACTTAAAAGGACGCATATGTTCATGTCCCGATGGCATTCAGCTCAAAAAGGTACCTGAGATTTGCGATCAAATCAGAAGAGGTTTTGCACTTCCAATTCAAAGTTCTCCCTTTCGATATTTCCACTGCTTTAAAAATAGAAAAGACCATTTTAATCATCCTTTTATTTAGATGAATGGTTCCTAAAGCCCAATTCGAGGCTGAAAAGAAACACCCAAGTCACACTCCAAACCTTGCAAGAACATGGATGGCTGGTAAATTGGGGAAAAAAAAATATTGTATCATATTTTTAGGCCTAGAAGTAGACTTCAGGTCAACTTTCTGCTCTGAGAACCAGTTCAGTTTGTTCTATCAGAAAGGCAATGAGCACACTAGGAATTCTCAGGTCATGCATTACAGCAGTGAACTGGACAAGGGCACGAATGAGACTTACTCAATGGGAAACTCTTCAAGCCTGTTCTGGGGTCCTAAAGGACAAAGATTCTACTATATCCCAAAAGGTTTAAAATTAATTAAAGTGGAGGATTCATCCAGAGTTCCTGGATCTGGGTCTTTCTACCTGCAAAGATTTTCTCTTACAATTATTACCACAGACGCCTCAATTATCAGTTAGGGTTCTCCTATAAATACCTTATTCTGGCAAGGCAGATCAACTACAGAAGAGGCTCAGCAAGCCTCCAACTTCGGGGAACTAAAAGCAGTACTGAGGCTGCTACTGTCTTTCTTTTTTAAGTCTTGTATCATAGGAAACCTGTAAGGATACAATCGAAACAATGTCACAGAGGTCACCTGCCTGAACAAACAGGGAGGAACAAGACTGCCTAATAACTCATGTCTTTGTGCATAGATAATGTCGTGGTTAGAAAACTATTAGAAGTCATTTTAACCATCCACATCAGAGGTGTAGACAACGTTATAGCAGACGACCTGAGCAGGGCACAGAGGATGCAAACAGAGTGGTCTCTATATCCGTTAATGCTTGGCAGAATAGCAGAAAAGCTTGGTCAACCAAAAATGTATCTCATGGATGATGATAAGACTGAACAGAAAAGTAGCAACATTTGCCTCCCTATGCCAGAAAGCACACCCAGACTTTCTAGATGGGATTTCTAATATCTGGGACTTCGACCTAGTATACATTTTCTCTCCAGTTTCTTTAATTCCATGTATTCTGCAAAAGATAAGGTCAGATAAGACATCTGCGAAAGCCCTCATGCCATATTGGCCAAACCGAATTTGGTTTTCGAAACTAAAGTAGATGACGCAGTTGAGTTGTGAGCTTCATCTCAGGGAATCAGTATTGGAAACAAGCACCTCCCACAGGAGACTCTTCAGATGTTCCGTCTGATGGCATGGCTGCTGCTAGGTTAATCCTTAGTAATCATGGGGTGGAGAAATGTACAATGGATCCTACTCAATTCAACCAGTATACTGACATCTAAGATTTACTTATGAATCTGGAAAAAGTTTCTTGTCTGATGCAGCAAACACGGCTGCTTACGTTTAACTCCACCAATCCGAGTCATTCCTGGTTTTCTGCAAGATGGCTTTTCATTTTGATTCAGTGTGACGACTTTGAAAGTTCAGGGGTCATCCTTTAGCCATTTTATTCTGATGGATCTGGCTTCTCGTGTTCTGATTAGAAAACCTTCTTTTTAATAAAGTCAAATGGCTTCAAAAGCTTCCATGGAGGTTCTTTTTCCTGACATAAGATCTGTTGCTGGTACTCCACACCCTATGAATCACATTTTGAACCACTGGATGAAGTTTCCTCTAAACTGTTCTACTTGAAAATCACTTTACTTGTGGCTATTACATCTAACAAAAGAGAGGCGAACTTCTAGCCCATTACTTCTCTCCAAATTTCCCCACGTTCCATCATGATAAAAGAGTACACCATCTAAAACCTTAATTTCTACCAAAGTGTCTCTCCAAAGCCGACATCAACCAACCCATTTTCTTCCCACTCTGTGCCACTAATTCTCTTCTGCTGCAGAAGCCAAGTTGCACTTATTAGATGTGAAGAGAGCCCTCTAGCATAACTATTGACAGGTGGTTAACCAAAACTATCAAGGTGGTTTATAAAATGCACAATCTGCCTTTTTCCACTCGTATGAAAGCCCATTCCATGAGAGGTATGGCTATTTCCTGGGCAGCAACAGCATTTGCCTCTCCTGAGGACATCTGTCAGGCGGCGACTTGGTCATTAATCAATATCTTCATCCCTTCTTACAGGCTCGACATCCTTTCTTCCTCAGAAGCTGCTTTTGGGCGTAAGTTGAGTTGTCTGCTGCTGCTTCCTGACTTCCCATGCGGCTTGGCATCTTGCTATATCCCTACTGCACTGACTCTATTCGCCAGGAAAACCAGAAATTTTACTTACCGTAAATGAGTTTTTCTTTAGTACAACAGCAGTACAGATTCCCTGCCGTATAATAAAGTATTTTTTCTATTATCTAGTTTTTAAGCTATGAAGGAGTGGGTTTTCTCTACTAATTTACGTATTTATTTATAGTGGCTATTCGTCCACCTGAAAGTCAATCATCCCTCCTGTACTGCAACTATTCTAAGGAAAAACATGATTTACAGTAATTTTTCGATTTATTTCACGTCCACTGCAATATATACAATAAAACAGGATGGTTTCTTCTGCATGCTTGTCTGTGATGCTCTGGTGCTGATGTGTCTACATGAAGTATGGAGGTAAAACGAACCTCTAACTCATCCTGAAGACTCCACGATTCACTTATCTTTTAGTAACATTTCAGGTTTGCATCCCCTCAAATCAACGCAACCTACTTGTGTCAACATCCAGGATGCAAGGAAGCCACGAACATCTCCCTCACGCCATTCATGCTCAAATTAAGACCCTGCCCTTTTCAACCAAGTGCCTTTTTATGATACGGGGATGTCACTTGTCATTTCCAATGCTGATACTCCAGCGCCATTTTTACATCATTGTTCACGTGTCTTTTGCCATCACGGAAATGAGGCCGATTAATCACAATACACATAGTTCTATAAAAGCTTCCACTTGCTACCTGACCTTTTGTCTTGTTGTTGTTTCCCTTCTGGTGAGCGCGTTCATATGAATATTTGATTCCTGGTTTATTGATCTTGGCTTGTGTCGACTATTCTGCTCCCTGTATCCATGACCTTGGCTTGTTTATTGATCCTGTGTACCTGTTATCCTTGACCTTGACTTTGTTCTTGACTTTGGGAGACCTGTTGCCAGATCCATAGTGCAACTTTGAGTTAGGGATTTGCTCTTGGCTCCTTGGCTTGGCTCTCTGCAGGAGATCTGCTCTTTGCTCCTTAGTGTGACTGTCGGTAGGAGTTCTGTTCTCGATTCCTTGCTGTGGCTCTCAGTAGTAGTTCTGTTCTTAACATCTTGGTGTGGCTCTCAGCAGAAGATCTGTTTCCGACTTCTTGGTGTGGCTCTCAGTAAGAGATCTGTTCTTGGCTCCTTGACGTGGCTCTCCGGATCTGTTTTTGATTCCTTAGTGTGGCTCTCAGCAGGAGATCTGTTCTCGATTCTTTGGTGTAGGAGATCTCTGGCAGGTAATGCCATGCCTCAGACCCCTTTGCCTCTACTTAGTACATGAAAAAAAGATCTGTGCACATCTCAAGTACACTATTGAAGAGGGAAGCACTCATCTTCACACACTACTATTAAATGGGAAAGATACCAAAAATGATCTGCTGCTTACTAAACTTCCCGTAAAGGAGGGACAGGGGGTGTCTAATATTCCCATACTGATATTGGAATGCTCAGATTCCCTTTTTCTTTCTTTTTTTTAAATAGGTTTTTTATTTTATTCTGTTTGTAGTGTTTTGTTTTGTACGTGTTTCTCAGGACGTGGATACTGTGGAAGTCTTGTTACTGTTTGGAAGTTTTCTGATTGCATTCGCTTGCCAGGAGAAACGAGTAGGAGGAACAATTAGCATTTTGAAATGAAATATGAAGGACATGGTGCATCCATTTAATACTCTTGATATTTACATCCTGTATCCTTGGCATTCACTGAATGTTCAGTTGTGTTTAACCCTGTGAGTGTGGAGTGTAGGGAATGCACAGTTTATTTGTATAAATAACATTTTATAATGGCTTCATCACAGCATGTTTTGTGTGTGGTAATGTATCCATTACCGACCGAGAGAAAAACTCACACAGAAGACCAGCTCACACAGAGCTCCTTATCGTGACAGACAACTTACAAAAAGCTCTTAGTAGAAGCAGTCGGCGAACACAGAGCTCCTAGTGGAAGCAGATGGTTCAGAGGGCTCGCACAGAGCTCCTAGTGGAAGCAGATGGTTCAGAGGGCTCGCACAGAGCTCCCAGTGGAGGCAGCGGGCTCGCACAGAGCTCCCAGTGGAGGCAGCGGGCTCGCACAGAGCTCCTATTGGAGGCAGCGGGCTCGCACAGAGCTCCTAGTGGAGGCAGCGGGCTGGCACAGAGCTCCTAGTGGAGGCAGCGGGCTGGCACAGAGCTCCTAGTGGAGGCAGCGGGCTGGCACAGAGCTCCTAGTGGAGGCAGCGGGCTGGCACAGAGCTCCTAGTGGAGGCAGCGGGCTGGCACAGAGCTCCTAGTGGAGGCAGCGGGCTGGCACAGAGCTCCCAGTGGAGGCAGCGGGCTGGCACAGAGCTCCCAGTGGAGGCAGCGGGCTGGCACAGAGCTCCCAGTGGAGGCAGCGGGCTGGCACAGAGCTCCTAGTGGAGGCAGCGGGCTGGCACAGAGCTCCTAGTGGAGGCAGCGGGCTGGCACAGAGCTCCCAGTGGAGGCAGCGGGCTGGCACAGAGCTCCTAGTGGAGGCAGCGGGCTGGCACAGAGCTCCCAGTGGAGGCAGCGGGCTGGCACAGAGCTCCCAGTGGAGTCAGCGGGCTGGCACAGAGCTCCCAGTGGAGTCAGCGGGCTGGCACAGAGCTCCTAGTGGAGGCAGCGGGCTGGCACAGAGCTCCTAGTGGAGGCAGTGGGCTGGCACAGAGCTCCTAGTGGAGGCAGTGGGCTGGCACAGAGATCCCAGTGGAGTCAGCGGGCTGGCACAGAGATCCCAGTGGAGTCAGCGGGCTGGCACAGAGATCCCAGTGGAGTCAGCGGGCTGGCACAGAGCTCCCAGTGGAGGCAGCGGGCTGGCACAGAGCTCCCAGTGGAGGCAGCGGGCTCGCACAGAGCTCCTAGTAGATCCACCCTTGCTGCCACGAGAAACCAAACATTCATTAACTGCTTCCTACGCTTAATTTGCCAGCTTTGCTAATATATAAAGATTTCCTACGCACAAAGTGAAGACAGGAGAAAGTGCATTTTTTAATAGATAACCTTAAATGTTTTACATAATTGTGTTTCGTTTACACATTTCTCAATATTTGCATCTGAACGTCTGACTCATGAGCTGCTCTTTGCAGATCTGATGCTTCCGTAGTCAATCACACAGGACTGTTTGGGTGTAATGAAGGTAGAAATATTTAAATTACTGGCATTTAAAAGACAGTTCTGTCTTCGTATAATCGTATAACAGTTTCAGTAGGATTGAGGCATTGAGAATTTCTCTCGCTTTCAGGCAGTCCTGGGGTTCTAAGTAATTAATATCTGATGCTATTGTACCGTCTGTATACTGTGTGCTTACATATTGTACCTGTGCGGTCTGTATAAAGATAATGTGTGCTGTGCGGTCTGTATAAAGATAATGTGTGCTGTGCGGTCTGTATAAAGATAATCTGTGTTTATAGAGACTGCACAGCACACAGATTATCTTTATAGAGACCGTACAGTACACAGATTATCTTTATACAGCCCATACAGCACACAGATTATCTTTATACAGCCCATACAGCACACGGATTATCTTTATAGAGACCGCACAGCACACGGATTATCTTTATAGAGACCGCACAGCACACGGATTATCTTTATAGAGACCGCACAGCACACAGATTATCTTTATACAGACAGTACAGCACACGGATTATCTTTATAGAGACCGCACAGCACACGGATTATCTTTATAGAGACCGCACAGCACACGGATTATCTTTATAGAGACCGCACAGCACACAGATTATCTTTATACAGACAGTACAGCACACAGATTATCTTTATAGAGACTGTACAGCACACAGATTATCCTTATACAGACCATACAGCACACAGATTATCTTTATACAGACCATACAGCACACTTTATAAAGATAATCTGTGTGCTGTACTGTCTGTATAAAGATAATCTATGTACTGTACTGTCTGTATACAGATAACCTGTGTGCTGTACTGTCTGTATAAAGATAATCCGTGTGCTGTACAGTCTTTATAAAGATAATCTGTGTGCTGTTACTTTTAATTTTATAATCTACTGCTGTACTTGGGGAACATCTGTATTAAAGGTTAATTTGCTACATAACACAGATTTGCCGGCAAATTAGTTTATATTTTACTTCCCATTATACTCTATGGGCATTCTCTTTAGTCATTCACCATTGTCATTCTATAGAAAACATTGATAATCCCACCTAATCTCAATTTCAAAAATTGACACTGAATCTGGAGAGTATTTTAGCAAAAGATTTATTTCATACGTCTAATAGTTTTGTCTCTAATTGAAATATTTTGTTTCCATTATTCTCTATGGGCATTTCTTTTACTTCCATTATTCTCTATGGGCATTCCACTGCCTTGTTAAAGTCTATGGGCATTCCACTCTGTCATTCCTTTTAGTATGTCCCATAAAAAGATCCCAATAACTACGTGCACGTATTGTTATAAATTGTCTGCGGCAAAATTCCGGAACTTTTCTATTTCGTCGCTGGTTCCTTTTTCTAGAAGGAGTCGTTTTATAAATAAATGCGCTTTTCCTCATGGGAATTTCCATTTAAACCCCCCCAAAATACTTTTTATTTCTTTCTTTTAAACCCGCATTAATGTTCCATTAGTTTGTATTTCCATATAACCTATAGGACATGGTGCCTTAATACATGTCAGAGGTTCTCACAGAGGGTGTGAGATTGGGGTGGGCAGCCAGCCTTTTAAAGATTTCCCACATGCCACCGTGGATGAAATGAGCCAGCTGCTAACAGGCACGGGGAGGTATTATCAGGGAGTGCGTTACAGAGCGTTCCAGCCTCCTGTTCTTCTCTCTGCTCATTTCAATCTTACCGGCCTCCATGAATAATGCTAATTTCGCAATAAGATTTTCTCAGTGTGACTTTCGGCTGTAGAAGCACTTGCTCGCTTACAGGAGAAATTCCAATTTCTGCACTAAAGGAACCCACACTGAACCCCTTACTCTGAGCGCCGAAGTCATGGACTGCTGTCATGTATGTACAATGTGCTCATTTTTTTTTATTTACTATACTCTGCTAATTACATATATATTTACATCTATCTTTGGTAGGATGCTGTTCTAGGTATCTCTCTGTATTACGAATATTAGAACAGATGGGTCAAATAGTCTGTTTGAATGTGTTCCCTTATACTGAGTGATTTGATTCTGGATTTTATATATTTTTATTTAATCTGCTTTATATTAACTTTAACTTCATTGCTTTTAATTTCATATGGAAAATACTTTTACCAATTTACCAACTATTTAGCAATTTGTAAATACATGCAAGATGCTGAATAAGAATAATTTTTGGAAAAGTATGCTATCGAGAGGATCTTTAACAATCAGAATTAACCATGAGACCAAAAGTGGAGTCTCCAGATTTGCCCCAATTCTATATCTTTTTATTTTGTGATTTTTAAAAAAAATTGGGTTCAGGGATACTTTAATGGTAGGACAGCGTGAGGATATTTGGAGGAGCAATTCCCAGAATGCAGAAGGGATGGATTGTACGCTGTGTGTGAAGATGCCCATCACGTAGTATGAGGTTTTATAAAATGGAGTAATATACAGATAATATATATAATGTATAATATATATATATATATATACACACACACACACTGGAAAGTCATACTTCATATACAAGTCGTGTAGTGCTAACGTATCATTTTATTCCGGTCTCACATTTTGCAGGTTGGTTTTCTAATTTGCATTGATTTTTACAGATATATTTAATTCTATAATGGATATACAATTTGTTTTCACTCCTGCTATAAAGTGTGTAATTTAATGGATCTCTCTGTTATGCATAAAATAATCACTGCTCCCCGAGGACAAGAGTTAGCATTGATTCCGTGGTAAAATGGTCTACTGACCCACTTATTGCCCGTACAGTGATTTATTGCTCATTGGTTATTTTCTGTTTATTCTTGGTATTATGGAATACACAAGGTGGCTGCTTTCATTCTTATTGGTCTGTAGTCTCTGTCTGTTCAATTAGAGACCAGGATAATCTCCTGAGCTTTGTAAATGAGAACATTGTCCACAGCCAGGGTTTGCCAGTGACACAATCCATGTTTAAATATTGTTTACAGTTTAAGCAGCTATAAGCCTTTTCACTCGTGGCTGGGACTCTGTTAGGTCACAAGAAAGTTCACACAGGCAGATACAGCAGAGATCAATGTAGTACAAGTTGAGGGTGGGCTCTGATGTAGAAGTCAGTGACAGGTAGAACATGCTGAGGGTGGGCTCTGATGTGGTGGTCAGTGACAGGTAGAACATGTTGAGGGTGAGCTCTGATGTGGGGGTCAGTGACAGGTAGAACATGCTGAGGGTGGGCTCTGATGTGGTGGTCAGTGACAGGTAGAACATGTTGAGGGTGGGCTCTCATGTAGTGGTCAGTGTCAGGTAGAACATGGTGAGGGTGGGCTTTGATGTGGTAGTCAGTGACTGGTAGAACATGTTGAGGGTGAGCTCTGATGTGGGGGTCAGTGACAGGTAGAACATGTTGAGGGTGGGCTCTGATGTGGTCAGTGACAAGTAGAACATGTTGAGGGTGGGCTCTGATGTGGTGGTCAGTGACAGGTAGAACATGTTGAGGGTGGGCTCTGATGTAGTGGTCAGTGACAGGTAGAACATGCTGAGGGTGGGCTCTGATGTGGTGGTCAGTGACAGGTAGAACATGTTGAGGGTGGGCTCTCATGTAGTGGTCAGTGTCAGGTAGAACATGGTGAGGGTGGGCTTTGATGTGGTAGTCAGTGACAAGTAGAACATGCTGAGGGTGGGCTCTGATGTAGTGGTCAGTGGTAGGTAGAACATGTTGAGGGTGGGCTCTGATGTGGTGGTCAGTGACAGGTAGAACATGTTGAGGGTGGGCTCTCATGTAGTGGTCAGTGACAGGTAGAACATGGTGAGGGTGGGCTTTGATGTGGTAGTCAGTGATAAGTAGAACATGTTGAGGGTGGGCTTTGATGTGGTAGTCAGTGACAAGTAGAACATGTTGAGGGTGGGCTCTGATGTAGAGGTCAGTGGTAGGTAGAACATGTTGAGGGTGGGCTCTGATGTGGTGGTCAGTGACAGGTAGAACATGGTGAGGGTGGGCTTTGATGTGGTAGTCAGTGACAGGTAGAACATGTTGAGGGTGGGCTCTGATGTGGTAGTCAGTGACAGGTAGAACATGTTGAGGGTGGGCTCTGATGTAGTGGTCAGTGACAGGTAGAACATGTTGAGGGTGGGCTTTGATGTGGTAGTCAGTGATAAGTAGAACATGTTGAGGGTGGGCTTTGATGTGGTAGTCAGTGACAAGTAGAACATGTTGAGGGTGGGCTCTGATGTGGTGGTCAGTGACAGGTAGAACATGCTGAGGGTGGGCTCTGATGTGGTGGTCAGTGACAGGTAGAACATGTTGATGTGGTGGGCTCATGAGGGTGGGCTCTGATGTGGTGGTCAGTGACAGGTAGAACATGTTGAGGGTGGGCTCTGATGTGGTGGTCAGTGACAGGTAGAACATGTTGAGGGTGGGCTTTGATGTGGTAGTCAGTGACAAGTAGAACATGCTGAGGGTGGGCTCTGATGTGGTGGTCAGTGACAGGTAGAACATGTTGAGGGTGGCCTCTGATGTGGTGGTCAGTGACAGGTAGAACATGTTGAGGGTGGGCTTTGATGTGGTAGTCAGTGACAGGTAGAACATGTTGACAGTGGGCTCTGATGTGGTGGTCAGTGACAGGTAGAACATGTTGAGGGTGGGCTCTGATGTAGTGGTCAGTGACAGGTAGAACATGTTGAGGGTGGGCTCTGATGTGGGGGTCAGTGACAGGTAGAACATGTTGAGGGTGGGCTTTGATGTGGTAGTCAGTGACAAGTAGAACATGTTGAGGGTGGGCTCTGATGTGGTGGTCAGTGACAGGTAGAACATGCTGACGGTGGGCTCTGATGTAGTGGTCAGTGACAGGTAGAACATGTTGAGGGTGGGCTTTGATGTGGTGGTCAGTGACAGGTAGAACATGTTGACAGTGGGTTCTGATGTAGAGGTCAGTGACAGGTAGGTAGAACATGTTGACAGTGGGTTCTGATGTAGAGGTCAGTGACAGGTAGAACATGTTGAGGGTGGGCTCTGATGTAGAGGTCAGTGGTAGGTAGAACATGTTGACAGTGGGTTTTGATGTAGTAGTCATGGGTAGGTGTGTTTGGATGTAATGTTGGCTTTTAAATGTAGATGTACATTTGTGTCTAGTATTTGTGTTTGAAAGAAGGGGTGTGTTTGTATATAATTTGGGAGTTTGAATGCACGGGTATGTTTGTATGTAATATTTGTGTTAGATTGCAGGAGTGTGTTTGCACGTTGTTCAGTTGTCTGGATGCATGCATTTACACTGCCATATACATACATACTTACACAGATATACATACACATTAATACATAGATACATATAAATACGCTGACACACCGACACATACACACACGCATACACTGACTTATATGCACACACAAACGCACATCTGACACACAGATAAACGCCTTGCACACACCATGATACACAGTCACACACAGATGCACATCCTGACACATGTGCAAGAACACACAGAAATACACACCGACACACAGATACAGTCACTCACAGATACACGCACAAACGGATAAACCCATACATGTGATCTTTTTTTATATCTGCAGCCACCCTCCTGTTGGCTTACCTTTTGTATCCAGGAGGATGGCTTGCTTGGAGTTCTGGTTCTGGCTGATGGGAGCGAGGGATCTGGAGCAGCTCCTGGAGTTTTGGTGTGATGTTTTTCTCACATTGCCCTAGTTTTTCCATTTGAATGTTTATTCTGAGGACTCCAGTGTCCAAGGACACGTTTGCTCCACATGCTGCTAAACATTTTAATTAAATATCCTGAGCTGCATAATGTGCCATTGTAATTTGAATTGATTGTAGTTGTTTAAAACGTCACTATAAAGCCAGAATTGCTGCTAGCCTTTCCGCTGCCTCCACATCATATAGAATACCTGAATCAGACCTTAACTGTTCGTTTTATTTCTGTATATTTGGGGCAATGTCCGCAATATGCCCTTAGCTGACGTGCTGGCAGACATAAATCACTCTGTATAACCTACAATCACAAAACAGTGAGTTCAAGATATAATCAGCTTTTATTCATGAAAAATACCAGAATTCAAATTTCTAGAATTCAATGCAATCAGAGCACAAAGGACACGTAATTAAGGTTGTTGTGCGCCTTTCTAATTGTGGGAACGCGAAATGCTCGCCGAGCCTCCCAGGTATCCCGTGTATAAAAGCATTTAGCACATTCTGTGTCAAATCTCAAATCAATAACTGACTCGCTGAACAAGGAAAGGGGAGAGCAGCTTGTGTTTATTGTAACAATGGTGCATATTTATTTCCTGTTTTAAAAGCAGGAGCAGGGTTGAAATCTCTTAAACTGGAAATTTTTGGAAATACGTTTAACAAACGTGGAAGATTGAATCACTAACAGAAAACCCGGGCGGGATTTTCTAAGAGCAATCACCATGGAAACCGGTGGAGTTGGCAAGAACCTCCCTTTGGTTTCCATGGGGATTGCTTCAGTCTTAAAAGTTTGCAAAATGTGAGCGTTTTTCTCGATGTACTTCATTGTGTGTTAATGCAATATCTGCTCTTGTTCTAGAAGTGAAACCCGCCAGAATGCAGAACATTGATATAGATCAGCCGTGTCAGTAGGAAGACAATCTGCACTGTGTACCCACTAATACTTTCTGCTATTATTTGTGTAATGTCTGTTTCTTGATAGTAAAACCTTACAAATGAATCAACACGTTTTGAATTTTTTGTATAACCTGAAAACTGAATGTTAGCGGAAAAATTGCAATCTATTGCAGGCAGTCAATAAGCTAATCCCATCCCATTGAAGGATGTCTAATGACAGACACTCGAGGCATTAATACAGGCCTGAATGTTGCATATTAAATAGTTTTCCACTAAGTTTCCTTCACTTTGCTAGCGTTGGTTGGAGTGAGGGAATGAGAGCTATTAGAAAACTGTAAATATTCCCTTTAAAACAATACTTTACTTTCTTTTGATCTAATGTCGTTGCTGGTTTATATATTAATTTGAGATAAATAACCCTACCTTGCCTTCTCAGGAGCTCTGTTCAGACAGAGGTTGTATGGGTTCTTGAGATCACCTACAAGATCTTTATGAGATCACGTAAAAGACCAGCTGTCAAGAACCTTGTGCATATCTCTTTTATGGATACTGGTCAGTGTGGAGGGAGAGGGGATAGCATTCAAATGTTACTGATATTTTTATATATATATTCTGCATGACAATGAAAAGACAGGATCATTCGTACTGTACAGGGACAGACATGTAATAGTAAGTATCCCTTGTTATATCCCTGCTAGGATTTGAACACAATACAGTAAATACTCCCCCTGCAGTGAGAGAGGGTGCATGTACCATTAACCTGTATTAACTGGTAGGAGTTTCACTGTGGCAATAGACTGGTCCTCCTGTGGGTAGAGGGGGCTTCCTCTTACCAGCGATGTTCACTGTATCTAATACGCTGTGTCCTGCTCTAGATTTTCACCGACAGTGAAAAGTATACGTTCTGCTGACCCAGATTATGGGGTACACAGTAGTAAATAGTTGGAGTTAAAAGGATTTGCCTGTTTGATATGAAATTCCTGTGTTGCAGTAAAGAAATGTTGATTAATGTGGATATTTACTTTAAACAATGAGTCAAATCCATGGAAGGCAACTGTTCGAGAAATCAAACGATTGTAATTAGGAAGAGCTAGGGCCATTAGAACCTAATTAGTGGTGAGAGAAAGCTGAAAGGAGAGCTTACCTTTCATGTATCATTACCCACATCCTTACATATTCCCTTTAATGTAAAGGAGTGTCTAGCTCTTAGTGCAGGGAAATCTCTACAAATTCACAGGAACGAGTAAGAAAAAAGCCAAATTGATGGATTTGTCACTTACCTACTGTGGAAGGCAATCGGAGAGTGTGTGTGCGTGTTTCACTTCGTGCATGCTACTTAGCAGGCCAAAATGTTACTCACTGCCTCTTCTTGTAACTGCTGGAAAGATACGCAGCCACCCTGTACCACAATGACCCCATGGTATCCGTCAGGTCCAAGCCTGGTGCAAGCTGGGCCTAGCTTACCTGGGTCCTGTTAGTATCTGACGTATCTCCAGCTGTACTGCAAAAGGCTGAGGAGTCCATAAAATCACTTTCTATCTCTACATTTACAAGAAATGTGGCCAACACAACAACAGAAACCAATAACACCAATGTAGTGCAATATTTACAAGTTAAGCACCTAATGAGAGCGGTCCAATACAGCATTAAGCTCACTGTAACTTTAAATTGAGCTTTTAATTGAAATGTTTGTGAGCATTGCCGTATAAGAGGTGAAACAAGGAACTTACTTGTAAATCTGTCAGTCTTTATGGGTGCATGCAGGATTTCAATACTAACTGAATGGGGTCTGATTTTAACAGGAAGGTTTATACATTATTTAAACTGCTGATTACACTCCCACGCAGATACCAGCACTGCAATGTTACAATACGCACACTATGGTAACTTCTCAAAGCTGAATTTCCATTCACCCATTGCCAGTCGGCTAGTGGAAATTTTGAGAACTGAGATATACATAAACCCATAAATAAATAAATAAATATAGATCAATGCATACATGTAGTGTGTAAATCTTGTGCAGTTCCATACAGGAATCTGCTCTGTACGATCATATTTCATGAAATAGATTAAAAAGAGAAAGTGGGTGGGTTGTGCTAAACACCAAACATTTATTAAAAGTTGCACTACCGAAGGCAACAGAAAATTGTGTTAGGCTTGTCAGTAATAGCAGAAAAAGAAAAAAACACACTGTGGTACTCAGCAGAAGTGGCCAAAATAGAACAAAACGTTAGCATTTAGTAATTATAAAAAAAAAAACCAGAGTGAGGAAGATAGACAGATCTATGAGATTGTGCAGAAAGAGGCTAAGCAAGTTATAAGAGCTTCCAAATCACACACAAAAGAGAGAATGGCACAGTCCGTACAATAAAAGGGGATTAAACATTTTTTCTTTTATACATAAATGAGAAAAGGGAAGTAAAACAAGGATTAATTAGATTAAAAACAAAAGAAGGAAGATATGTAGAAGAAGATAAAGGTCTAACTGACTGCCTCAATGAATATTGTTGTTCAGTATTTACAGATGAAAATGAAGGAAAGAGACCTCCGTTACGTAAAATGACAAATGAGTCATTTGTTACATGTGAGTTTACAGCGGAAGAGGTTCTATTTCAACTGTCAAAAGTAAAGACAAATAAGTAGATGGGGCCTGATGGAAAGTTATTAAGAAAGTTTCGTGGTGCATAAGCAAAACCATTAACTGATTTATTTAACCCCTTAATGACACCTGACATGTATGACATGTCATGATTCCCTTTTATTCCAGAAGTTTGGTCCTTACGGGGTTAAACGGATACTATAGTGCCATAAAAATATAAAACATAAAAATACCCAGAAACATTATAAAAAATATATCATAACCTCACAAATAATATATTCCCATATAGCCCATATCTGAACACCCAGGTTTTTCAAATAGCGCTCACATCCATGCAGTGTTGGGGAAATGCCACCATGTTAAAGTTCTTACCGGCCTCGAACATGTGGTCCTATGCCCAAACAGTTCCAGGGCAGTGCTTTGGCCAGTCAACTTTCAGGAGCTCCTGCGTCCGAAATATAGGGTGCTCTGGCTGGCTCTCAGGTAGCGTTTGTGCCACTTTAGTCTCAGGCACATTCCCTCCAAAAAGCGCTCTCCTGGCGTGTTGCAAAGTCGTTCAAAACCCCAGACCAAGTTGTTCGGGAGCCACACGGTCACCTCATGTCGAAAACAGTTCCATAACATTCGCTGCTAAATATCGCTGAGGACAATTTGTGGGTTTCTTCATGAGAACTGCCGGCAGGAAGCTAGTGTTTGGTTCCATTTGAATGAAGGGAAAGTGACAAACCAGGGGCACCCAGGGAAAGCTTCTAATGGCAGCTGGGGAGGTTTAACTCCTGAACAGGGTCTTTGTATATGGCCCATAGTCCTTGGGCAGGAGGCTAGCTAGCAGGCTTCTCCCGGAGCTCGTAGCATAGGCACGTTTGCCACAATATACTACTTAACCCCAGTGCCTTTTCCAGAGTGCTTAGCGCGGAAACCAGACTGAAGCAGGTCTAGCAGAGAGTTGGACTCGAGGAAGTCTGTCAATCTCGCATACACAATTTTTTCAAGGATCTTGGATGCAAAAGGCCGTAGCGAGATAGGACGATAGTTGGATGGGGAGTTAGGGTCAAGATTGGGCTTCTTTAGAATTGGGGTTACAGTTGCATGTTTGAAGGGCAATGGAAATATACCAGAGGAGAGAGAGAGATTGAGAATTTTAGTGAGAGGTGGAGAAAGAGAAGAAGACAGAGTACGGATGAGATGCGAGGTAATTGGATCTAGGGAGCAGGTGGTGGGGCGGGAGGACTGGAGCAGAGCAGAAACGTCTTCCAATGTAGCGGGTGCGAATGAACATAGAACAGCAGAGGGAGTGAAGTTAGGGGAAGTATTGTAAGGGGAAGAAGAAAGATGAGATATCTCTTCTCTGATTGTAGAGATCTTGTCAGTGAAGTGAGTTGCAAAGTCTGAGGCGGTCAAGTTAGTAGGTGGAGGAGGAACAGCAGGGCGAAGAAGAGAGTTAAATGGGTGAAATAGTCGTTTGGGTTCGCGGGAGAGTGTGGTTATGAGGGTATTGAAGTAATTAACTTTTGCAGAGGAAAGAGCCAAGCTGTATGAGCTCAGCATAAATTTATAGTGGAGAAAGTCAGATGCACAGTGAGACTTTCTCCAACAGCGTTCAGCAGTTCTGGAGCATTTTTGGAGGTATCGAGTGAGCTTGGTGTGCCAGGGTTGTTGTTGGGGGGCCTGCGGCGTTTAAATGTACAAGGTGCCATGATGTCTAGTTGAGAGGAGAGGGTGGAATTGTAGAAGGAGGTTGCAGAACTAGGACAGGTGAGGTTTGAGATAGGTAAAAGGAGAGTTTGGAGATTAGTGGAGAAATGCACTAGGTCAAGACATTGGGTACCTAACCCGTCTCTGTGTTATAATATATACTACCTAACCCCTCTCTGTGTTATAATATATACTACCTAACCCCTCTCTGTGTTATAATATATACTGCCTAACCCCTCTCTGTGTTATAACATATACTACCTAACCCCTCTCTGTGTTATAACATATACTACCTAACCCCTCTCTGTGTTATTATATATACTACCTAACCCCTCTCTGTGTTATAATATATACTGCCTAACCCCTCTCTGTTATAACATATACTGCCTAACCCCTCTCTGTGTTATAACATATACTACCTAACCCCTCTCTGTGTTATAATATATACTACCTAACCCCTCTCTGTGTTATAATATATACTACCTAACCCCTCTCTGTGTTATAATATATACTACCTAACCCCTCTCTGTGTTATAATATATACTACCTAACCCCTCTCTGTGTTATAATATATACTACCTAACCCCTCTCTGTGTTATAACATATACTGCCTAACCCCTCTCTGTGTTATAATATATACTACCTAACCCCTCTCTGTGTTATAATATATACTACCTAACCCCTCTCTGTGTTATAATATATACTACCTAACCCCTCTCTGTGTTATAACATATACTACCTAACCCCTCTCTGTGTTATAACATATACTACCTAATCCCTCTCTGTGTTATAACATATACTACCTAACCCCTCTCTGTGTTATAATATATACTACCTAACCCCTCTCTGTGTTATTATATATACTCCCCAAGAAATGAGACTCTAATTACATTAATTTTGGTTTTCCAGAATGAAAGCCTTAGTAAGCAGCAGGATGAGGCTCTTGACATCCCCCTTGATGACCCGGACGCTAATGCTGCAGCTGCCAAGATCCAGGCCGGGTTTCGAGGGCACATGACAAGGAAGAAGATGAAAAGTGGTGACAGGGACATTAAAAAGGATAGCAAGGAGGCCGGCACCTCACAGGGGGCCACCGAAGGAGACTAAACCAAACTGGAGTGAGGTAAATAGAGTGCTTCAATCATCCACAATAGACAAAATTAGTGATTATTTTTTTTTAAAGGGTGAGGATCATTTTGTTTATTAATTGAAGTGTCCTTCTTACTGTTTATTTTCACTCGCCCTCCTGTGAAGTTATCATTACTGAGAACTCCAGTATTGGAAGCTTCTGATAGAATAGCTTTGGGACACTGCGCATGTACGGCAATAATCACGATCCCCCAATTCTTAATCTCTGTGAGCTCAAAGTGAGTGAGACAGGGCAGCTACAATCTCTTACTAAAGAGATTTAGGAACATTTAAACTTGATTTCAGAACTTTTATAAAATTAGACCTGAAAGAACCTAATCAAGCTGAAATATGTTATGGACTGAGTGTCCCTATAATGGTAATAAACTAAACAATGTACTTATAGGGGCATGGTTTATGCACCAAAACTACTGTGTTAAAGAAACAATATAGCATTAGAAATACAAACCCCTGTCCCTAGTTAGGGGCTGGCAAGTGCAGTGTTAGTAATACCTCGGAGCTGTGTGTTCACCTCTGCTGTGGCTCTATTAACCCTGTGCTCAGTCCACAGAAGTTTCCTGGAGATCTTAGATAGAATGCGTGCTTTCTTTGTAGTACATTCATTGTTGGTGTTAATGGTAAGTGTGATATCCAATGCTGAGGCCGGGTGTGAAGAAACTACACCTTTTGTTTCATTCCCTTTGATTTTTCTCGTTCAGTAAATAAAACTACTGAACACTGACCACCCCCCTGGCTCATTAACTACAAAACAGACCGCAAATTAAGTGCTCTCTCTGTGTGGTCGCCATTCGTATAGCCGAACGCCATGTGCAGGAGAAAACAGCAGCCTTCTGGTTTGCATAAAGGAGGCAGCGGGACTTGGTCGTTGAGTGTCTGGAACTAAAATTGGACACTTGACTACCTGAACACCTGCTTCCTTTCACCAACTAGCCAGGAGAAAGCTATACGGTCGGTTTGTTCACACGAACTAGGGGAACAAACGCTACCTATGAGCCAGGGGAACCGTTCGTGGATTTGTTCGGTTTTTAGACTTTTCTAAATGGACACAGCCTAATTTCATGGAACAATTTCTGGGCAGGAGCCTCGTGTGCGATCGGTCAACTTAAGCCTCCTATGAAACTCCCGAAACCCTGAACCGATCTGAGTGTTTTTTGAATCATGTTGGTCCCCCAAATCAGGGCCATCAGGGGATATGACTTTTGTGGGTTATTCATGGAGTTTGGGGTACTTTTGGGATTTTGTGAAAATGTGTGTTTTTTGTGTTTGGAGATAATTGAGTTTAGTATAGTGTTGACTCCATTATCTCACCAGTACAGGGGAAGGATGATATTATTGTATGCGGGAGTGTCCTGGACCTGAGAGTTAATGCAACTGCAGAATGTATTTTGTCACTGTCCCCTCTCAGGTCCAGTGTGGAATGCCCCTGGAATACGTCAACGTAAAGCTTGTACATTTGTAACTGCATATAAACCGGGTGGTTAGCCTGAATAAACCATTCCTGTTGTACCCTTCATCTAGTTTAGGCTGATATTTGGGTTTCCGTCTAATTTGCTTGGGGAATATACTTGGATGCTGTACTCCGCCTGGAGAACGTTTGAATCAACACTCGAAGCTATAATCACTCAGCTTCCAGCAATTCGGGAGGAAATAGACAAACGGGTATCTGCAATACCAGCGTTCGTTACACCGGGGTCCCTGAAAGAACCATCCACCACATCAAACCCTGTCTCTGTGTCGGCCAACAATCGGATTAGCTATAAAATATCAGAGATATAAAGGTTTCCAGTAACAGACGGTAGAAGGATTGGTAATCCATTATTTAGGGTTGTCCTCTATTGCAGAGGCACAGCTCATGAGAACACTAAAAAGGCCTCTTACCTTGGTTACAGTCTGGTTTTCTGGGAACCTTCAATATTTAGCCATTATTTGCAAGAAGACTCTCTAGCGGCCCCCGGTCCTTTTGCCGCTCAGGAACCACTTAGAATATAAAGAGACCTATTTCCCCCCAGTAACTGGACGAGACACAGCTCTGGAGGTACAACACTGACTGACTTAGTTTATTAAGTCACTCATGGTTTTACATGCACAGATCCCTACATGGGGTCTCCAACACTAAAACAGGGGTTTCAATCCCAAGAAGCTTATTGGGGGGGGGGATTGGGTTGGAAGAGGGACACATTTCACTTCTATACTTTACAGAGCTGCTGCCCCCCCACCCCTCTCCCCCTCCTTAGCTGCATATAGAGGCACAGTACACGAAAGGCATAGAAATACATTGGGAAACACAGAGGGACCACACGATACAAGGGGAAACACAGAGGGACTACACGATACAAGGGGAAACACAGAGGGACCACACGATACAAGGGGAAACACAGAGGGACCACACGATACAAGGGGAAACACAGAGGGACCACAAGATACAAGGGGAAAACACATGAATAAGCAGTGGGCATGGCACTCAGTGACGGCGGTCCGTCACAGACTCAATAATTGATGCTTTTACTTTTAAGATGAGTTGAGGACAATAATTATCACACGATATGTGAATGAGAAGTAGAAGTTACTACCATCCAGTTCACTGCTCTTCATTTTATTGACTTCAGAAAGGCCGTGCCAGGAAATGGAATAAACCCTCAGAGCCATCACGCTCCTACCTGACCAGGCTGATCTACTTGCATCTTTTAAATTGTACGTGTTGCTGAACTTGACTTTTCTGCCACGTTTTATTATTTCTCATTAGTGCTCATTCACTGCTCAGGAATGCTCCTGCGGTTTATGTTCTTTTGTTTGAAGGCTCCTGACGGCTATTATTTATATTTTGGATTGTATTCTCTGTAAAATTCTGAAGTCGGAAGCCGTCATGCTCAGAGTCTGACCTTAAAGTATGTGCAAATCTCACCAAATGCTGCACAAGTAATTATTAATATATATATATATATATATATTTTTTTTTTCATTTTAGTTTTATAATGTGGTTTTTGATCATAAAGAATCATATGGGGTGACAGGGTTATTATCACCCTGAGCAGTTGTACTCTGCAGAATTCTCTGTTTGCCTGATTTAGTAATTTAACTGCAAACCATCACAAGCTCCTCTGGGAACAGAATGGGAATAAAGTCTCGGATGGTGCCACAATCCCAAGGTATCTGCCATCTTTCTTACAACCTCTGAGGCCCAAGATGGTGGCAGCACCATCGGTAGCAGATGCTTTTGCCTGAAACGTGATGGTGTATATATAGACTTTATAAATTTTACAGGATCATCTCCCAATGATTTTACGGTCTGTTTTTCAATCTAATGCAGAGAGGCTGTAATGGTGACCAGTGTCGCTAATATCCGAAACTCGCCTTTTTGAGGGTCTGCTGTACTAGAGAAGAAACAGAAAGGATAGCGCATACTTTTAGGGGATGCACGGACCCCGTTTCCTCCAAAATCAGCAAAAAGCTAAACGTGATCCCACTTACTTAGAATGTTTTGAATTATTTAGGTGCTCATCAACAGGATTGTTTGACTTTCTAAAGATACCACACTGACACAGTTGTAGTAAACCGTGAATACACAGGGAGGAAAGGGGAGGACTTACCCCCCTTAAGTATCAGGATAAAGTGATTTAATAATTAAGGATTTTTAACAAGTTCAGGTTTTTAGAGAAGTTAGTTGGCTAATTTAATCTGTACTACTTCCCAGAATGCTCCAGCGATTCAGTAGAATTATGTTCACTTTGTAATAGGTACCCAGCTTCCAAGGGTCTGTTGGAGGCAGTTTAGTTATGGCTAGGGTACACTTGGATGACTAATGCTAATTCTGAGCATATTAAATGACTGACATCAGCACACATAGCATGCTGTTGACAGGCGTCCAATGGTGGCATATTTTACCTTCCATGCCACCCATGCTCTTCAGTCAGCCCACCCTACCTGATGTCCCTCTCCAACATTCCATCCCCCCTACAGCAATGGGGAGTAAGGTTAGTGGAGGGTGATTGTGCTGCAGGGAGAATTTTGCCTCTGCGTGGTGTTGAGGTGTGCTTTAGCTTTTTTTCTCAATTTGGGGGGGCCCAACAGCACATCAAGGTTTTTTCCTGGGTACCCTTTAACGATCAGTAATTTTGTTTTGTAAGAATGTCTTATGATTTCTTTATATATTCCTTCCTTCCATCCAATCTTCTGTTCTGATTATTTCTACATAAAATTTGTAGTAATGTAATAAAATGACCAAACCAAACTGTGTAATATTTGCACAGAAACAGCTAATTAAATAGTGTTGCTATGAAGGAGACTAAATTTGGAAATCATGTATTTGTGACCTGTTGGGAACTAAGATTTTCCTTGATAATTATCTGTGCAAAACTGGGACACATATCTTTCTACTTCTAACCTTTAGAGACAAGAAATAATTTTAATTGACAACATTTTCATTTAATGAACAGTGTTGTGATGCTTTTTATATTAGTGATAATGGTTCGACATTCGAGCAAGCAGAAACCCAGCTGCAGTTTTACTGGTAGAAGAGACAGAAAGCATTTGGCGAAAAAATACATTAATTTAAACATCTGAAAACCAGAACACTGTCACGATATTCCATTCCATAATATGTAATACCGCCATGTTAGATTCTATATTAATATGACACGGTACATTCCATAATATATAATAACGCCATGTTAGATTCTATATTAACGTGACACGCTACATTCCATAATATTAAATACCGCCATGTTACATTCTATATTAACGTGAAATGGTACATTCCGTAATCTATAATACCGCCATGTTAGATTCTATATTAATGTGACATGGTACATTCCGTAATATATAATACCGCCATGTTAGATTCTATATTAACGTGACTTGATACATTCCGTAATATATAATACCGCCATGTTAGAGTCTATATTAACGTGAAATGGTACATTCCATAATATATAATACCGCCATGTTAGATTCTATATTAACGTGACTTGATACATTCCGTAATATATAATACCGCCATGTTAGATTCTATATTAATGTGACATGGTACATTCCGTAATATATAATACCGCCATGTTAGATTCTATATTAACGTGACTTGATACATTCCGTAATATATAATACCGCCATGTTAGAGTCTATATTAACGTGAAATGGTACATTCCATAATATATAATACCGCCATGTTAGATTCTATATTAACGTGACTTGATACATTCCGTAATATATAATACCGCCATGTTAGATTCTATATTAATGTGACTTGATACATTCCGTAATATATAATACCGCCATGTTAGATTCTATATTAATGTGACATGGTACATTCCGTAATATATAATACTGCCATATTAGATTCTATATTAACGTGACTTGATACATTCCGTAATATATAATACCGCCATGTTAGATTCTATATTAATGTGACATGGTACATTCCGTAATATATAATACTGCCATATTAGATTCTACATTAATGTGACATGATACATTCCGTAATATATAATACCGCCATGTTAGAGTCTATATTAATGTGACATGGTACCTTCCATAATATATAATACCGCCATGTTACATTCTATATTAACGTGAAATGGTACATTCCGTAATATATAATACCGCCATATTAGATTCTATATTAACGTGACTTGATACATTCCGTAATATATAATACCGCCATGTTAGATTCTACATTAATGTGACCTGATACATTCCGTAATATATAATACCGCCATGTTAGATTCTACATTAATGTGACATGATACATTCCGTAATATATAATACCGCCATGTTAGAGTCTATATTAATGTGACATGGTACCTTCCATAATATATAATACCGCCATGTTAGATTCTATATTAATGTGACATATTACATTCCGTAACATGTAATACCGCCATGTTAGAGTCTATATTAATGTGACATGGTACCTTCCATAATATATAATACCGCCATGTTAGATTCTATATTAATGTGACATATTACATTCCGTAACATGTAATACCGCCATGTTAGATTCTATATTAATTATTATTAAGTGCAGTTCACTTTTTCCTATTGTGTGTATTTAAAATTACACCTCATGTCATGGTGGGGTTTTACCATTGATTTTTAAAGAGGCAAAATTATATTTGGATCACGTGCATCAAAAGCCATTTTTATACATGAAAGCACCTTACTAGCTTTTGCAACGGCAGACCAGCATTGTGTACTGTTTCCTAGTTTGTTATCAATGTGTATAAGTGGAATGTGGGTTCCTTATCACAAACTATATCACTTTGTATTTCTTTATTGGATCTCATCTGCTGCCTTGCCTGCCCAGTCCCCCAAATGTTTAGACTGTATTTTTTTTACCTAGTGTTTTGTAATTTGCGAACACCGACAAATGACTTTCAATGTCCACTTCAAGATCATCTATAAATAGATTAAAGAGTAATGGACCCAGGACAGATCACTGAGGCACTCCACTTACCACTTTTTTGTCCAATTTGAAAATTTTCCATTTACAACTGCTCTCTATCCAAGAACATGATTTGTGATCTAAACCAACTTTATTGGTAACCTACTGGTAACCTTTTGTGTGGAAGTATATAAAATGCATTAGCAAAATGCAAGATCATATCTACTGGATTACCCAGATCTATATTTATACGAACTTCTTCATAGAATGCAGTTAAGTTAGTTTGGCATGACATGTCTTTCATAAAACCATGTTGATTACTGCTATTGATATTTTTGTTCAAATTTAATTCTTGAATATTATCCCTTAACAGCCCTTCAAATAATTTTCCAACCATTGATGTTAACTTTTGTTAAACTCACAGGTCTGTAGTTTCAGGGTTGAGCTTTTGAACCTTTTTTAAATATAGGCACCACATCTACTTTTCTCCAATCTGGTACAATTCCTAAAAAGAAAAGAATCCTGAAAAATAAAAAACAGTGCTATAGACATTTCTACACTAAGCTCCCTAAGCATGCGTGAGTGAATACCATCTGGCCTTGTGGCTTTGTCTGTATTAACTTTATTTAATTTCTGAAGCACTTTATCCTGTGGTAACCAATGAAGCAGTTTATCCTGTGGTAACCAATCACCTGTTTGATGCAAGGCTTTTGTAACAGGGATTTGGAAATCTTCAGCCATAGATTCTTCTTCCTTATATACAGAAGAAAAAATATTTTATTTAGAATTTCTGCCTTGTCCTGATCCTCATTGATTAACTCACCCATCACACTTTCCAATGGACCAACATTTCACTCTTGATCTTTGTTACATTTCATATTAGTGTGAGTTTGTTCAGCAACAACGACTGCTGCCATTTCATTTCATATTGGCATGAGCTGGTCGAGTGATACCGACTGCTGCCATATTGTATTTCATATTGGCGATAGCCAGTAGAGTGAAACTATATGCCGCCATATTCCATATAGTTGCATACTATATTATGATCGTTACAGCGATAACGACTGCCGCCATATTCTATTCCATATAATTGCGTACTACATTATGATCGGTACAACGATAACGACTGCCGCCATATTCTATTCCATATAATTGCGTACTACATTATGATCGGTACAACGATAACCACTGCCGCCATATTCTTTTCCATATAATTGCGTACTATATTATGTTCGGTACAGCAATAACGACTGCCGCCATATTCTATTCCATATAATTGCGTACTACATTATGATCGGTACAGCGATAACGACTGCCGCCATATTCTATTCCATATAATTGCGTACTACATTATGATCGGTACAACGATAACCACTGCCGCCATATTCTATTCCATATAATTGCGTACTATATTATGATCGGAACAGCGATAACGACTGCCGCCATATTCTATTCCATATAATTGCTACTATATTATGATCGGTACAACGATAACGACTGCCGCCATATTCTATTCCATATAATTGCGTACTATATTATGATCGGTACAACGATAACGACTGCCGCCATATTCTATTCCATATAATTGCGTACTATATTATGATCGGTACAGCAATCACATCTGCCGCCATATTCTATTCCATATAATTGCGTACTATATTTTGATCGGTACAACGATAACGACTGCCGCCATATTCTTTTCCATATAATTGCGTACTATATTATGATCGGTACAGCGATCACATCTGCCGCCATATTCTATTCCATATAATTGCGTACTATATTATGAGCCGTTACAGCGATCACATCTGCCGCCCTGTTCCATTCTGTATCAGGATGACATTGTACATTCCATATCCGTATTACATTGTAATTTGCATCCCATCGTTTATTCCGTGACCATGTAATGTAGCGCAGTACATGATACGCTTTTTCTATTTTCATTTCAGGTTTTGGAATGATACAAGGTGTACCCAGGGGCCACAGCAATCCTCGGTGCGTTTATTCACCTGTCCTGAAGATCAAGATCCTGACAGTGGCCACTGGAATGTGTAATTTATTTCTGAAATTTAATACTTTTTATTTTATTTTTTTCAGTTTTGTCTAATTAATTTCCCAGATTCCTCTCCTGTTGCTGTGAAATGTTGTGATTTAATTAATTCTCATGTTTTGCTCGAATTTGCTTTGTAAACTTGGACAGAACCTGCTTGCATGAATCCTAGCAGTCTGTATGAAAGAAAATGATTCATTTAGAAATCTCTTTACTTTAATTCTGCAATAATGAATTCTGGCGAATTTTCTGAAATCTGAATTCTCTCTCTATTTATGTACAATTTTAGAAACACAATTTTCTGTAATTTAAGCAAGAAAAAATAAAAATGAAAAAAAAATAACTTGTAATTGTCACTTATTGCAGCAAAAACCTAAATTGTTTGTTTAAATTTCTAAAAGCCACAGCATATCACTAAAATGTATGATAAAATGATTTCTGTGTATTAGATGGAAAACTAATATTCATAAAGTCTATAAAAATAATAGATGATATGATAGATAATTATAAAAGCTGATTTAGGAATTTTATTGATAGTCATTATCTCCTTGGACAATCACATAATCTTCCCTTTCAAACATGTATATGATCATTTATTCACTATCTTCCAAATAAATCCGAATTAAATTCAAAGCAAAATCAAGGCGAATGTAACATCACTGTCTCTCATTTTCTATGTATATAATAACATTTATTTAACATAAATGAATGGAGTTCCTGTTAGTTCAATACTAGATTTGTCCTCTAGGGGGCACTATGTATTTGACTGAGGCACTCTGGCCCTTTTTCATTTGCTAGAGGAGAAATGTGCTATCCCACTTACAGATATCTGTAATCACATGTAGACACATAATAAGAAAAAGATTTGTCTTTGCCTCAACCACTCCATGTGCTAACTCGTTTCAGACAATCTACAGTGGGCACGATGAATTCTCTCCCAATAAACCACCTAATCTCCCCATGCATTCCGCAGTGGGAACGGGACTTGGACACATTGTTTCCTGTCGATGATTGGCACAACGTCCAAGTTCTTGCACGCATTAAAGGTCCAGAACTAAAGAAATAACTGTTCTGGATACTATTTTGTTCCTGTGCGAGTGTTCCACCTCCGTTCTGGATCCTCTGCTCAGTGCTGGTAGAGTTCTATAGCCACGGGTCAATCTTTGTGTCAGCCAGTAAATCTCATCCATTCTTATATCAAAGTACTTCTGCCAAAATAATTCAGGAACCATTCTATTGGCTTTTATCCATCTGATTTACCAAGGAAATGTTCCCAATTTAATCCTCTATACTGTTATCTGCTAACTGGCATTGGTTTACAGATAAGGAACCCCCTCCATGAAGTTATACTTCTGCTCAATCCCACTAGAACACCATATTTTATAGAAACCATGGACATGACAACTAGTGCCGGATCCCACAACATGGTGTATGTCTGCTTTCTGTTTGTGTTCACACCCGCGTTTTTATTCCTGTAATGTGTATTTTGGCTGTGAGAGCGTTTAAATCCTGCTGAGGTCGGTGGCTGAATTATTAACAGAATGAAATGACTGGTCTTTACAGCCCATGGAACAATTACTACGGGTGTTTGCTTTCATATTTAAAGGGACACAAGGGAAAATTATGTTTTAAAGGTTGTGTTGAATAAAAATAATTTTTTTGTAAAGAAGTCAAGCAAAATAAAGGTTCTTGTAGGAAAGTCAGCAGAATAAACTGTATAAATAGTCTGCACTCGCATACAGACCGGTCTTTATTCTGTCCACCCACATACAGGTCGGTCTCTATTCTGTCCACCCACATACACGTCGGTCTCTATTCTGTCCACCCACATACAGAGTGGTCTTTATTCTGTCCACTCACAAATAGACCGGTCTTTATTCTGTCCACCCACATACAAACTGGTCTTTATTCTGTCCACCCACATACAGGCCGGTCTCTATTCTGTCCACCCACATACAGGTCAGTCTCTATTCTGTCCACCCACATACAGAGTGGTCTTTATTCTGTCCACTCACATACAGACCGGTCTTTATTCTGTCCACCCACATACAGGCCGGTCTTTATTCTGTCCACCCACATACAGACCGGTCTTATACTGCATCCACATACAGGTCGATCTTTATTCTGTCCACCCACATACAGGTCGGTCTCTATTCTGTGCACTCACATACAAACTGGTCTTTATTCTGTCCACCCACATACAGGCCGGTCTCTATTCTGTCCACCCACATACAGAGTGGTCTTTATTCTGTCCACTCACAAATAGACCGGTCTCTATTCTGTGCACTCATATACAAATTGGTCTCTATTCTGTCCACCCACATACAGGCCGGGCTCTATTCTGTCCCCTCACATACAGACCGGCCTCTATTTTGTGCACTCACATACAGACCGGTCTCTATTTTGTATACTGTATCTTTATCAATTAGCGCATCGATATTCTTATACTGCATCCTTATCAAATAGCGCATCGATATTCTTATACTGCATCCTTATCAAATAGCGCATCGATATTCTTATACAGCATCTTTATCAAATAGCTATCGATATTCTTATACTGCATCCTTCTCAAATAGCTATCGATATTCTTATACTGCATCCTTCTCAAATAGCTATCGATATTCTTATACAGCATCCTTATCAAATAGCTATCGATATTCTTATAGTGCATCCTTCTCAAATAGCTATCGATATTCTTATAGTGCATCCTTATCAAATAGCGCATCGATATTCTTATACAGCATCTTTATCAAATAGCTATCGATATTCTTATACTGCATCCTTCTCAAATAGCTATCGATATTCTTATACTGCATCCTTCTCAAATAGCTATCGATATTCTTATACAGCATCCTTATCAAATAGCTATCGATATTCTTATAGTGCATCCTTCTCAAATAGCTATCGATATTCTTATAGTGCATCCTTATCAAATAGCTATCAATATTCTTATACAGCATCCTTCTCAAATAGCTATCGATATTCTTATACTGCATCCTTCTCAAATAGCTATCGATATTCTTATACTGCATCCTTCTCAAATAGCTGTCGATATTCTTATACAGCATCCTTCTCAAATAGCACATCGATATTCTTATACTGCATCCTTCTCAAATAGCTATCGATATTCTTATAGTGCATCCTTCTCAAATAGCGCATCGATATTCTTATACTGCATCCTTATCAAATAGCGCATCGATATTCTTATACTGCATCCTTCTCAAATAGCTATCGATATTCTTATAGTGCATCCTTATCAAATAGTGCATCGATATTCTTATACTGCATCCTTATCAAATAGCTATCGATATTCTTATAGTGCATCCTTATCAAATAGCTATCGATATTCTTATAGTGCATCCTTCTCAAATAGCTATCGATATTCTTATAGTGCATCCTTCTCAAATAGCTATCGATATTCTTATAGTGCATCCTTATCAAATAGCTATCGATATTCTTATAGTGCATCCTTCTCAAATAGTGCATCGATATTCTTATACTGCATCCTTATCAAATAGCTATCGATATTCTTATAGTGCATCCTTATCAAATAGCTATCGATATTCTTATAGTGCATCCTTATCAAATAGCGCATCGATATTCTTATAGTGCATCCTTCTCAAATAGCGCATCGATATTCTTATACTGCATCCTTCTCAAATAGCTATCGATATTCTTATACTGCATCTTTATCAAATAGCTATCGATATTCTTATATTGCATCCTTATCAAATAGCGCATCAATATTCTTATTAATGATATCACATGTTCTCACTAAGCCCTCAGAGTGTCATCCACATGTATCTCCTTTAATGTGCAGTCATTCAACAAGGGGATAACACTAGCAAATTTGACCAATTCTATGATTTTGGCCTAAAATGTTCAATTTCCTTGTCAAATTGTTTATTTTGTGCAAAAACACAGTAATGAAGCAACAAAATTTCAGTGAAAATGTACAAGAATAGTTAAAAAAACAAAACAAAAGCATTAACTTGATGATGAACAATTAGTGCATTTTTGGGGGTTTGCTATATAACCATGTTCTCATCTCTGTCCTGCGTGTCATGTAAAATGGAGTCTGTTTGGGGTCCTCGACGATCTTCATGTAACACTGGTGATGTTGCATCCTCCCTTTTGGTAAAAAGAAACACGAGTTACATTGTATCTTTCTTAAAGTGTCACTCAAAGCATCAAAACCACTTTGGCTGAAATGGTTACAGTGCAAGGAATCTCTCTCAATAAGAAACCTCTGATTGGAAGATTCCCCAGCGCAGGGGGAAAAGGGGAGGGCTTGCAAAGGCTTCAAACAAGAGATCTGCAAATTTTACATGCTGTTTTAATGGAACACTAAAGGGTCAGGAACACAAACATGTAAACAGGTTTAAAACCACCATCTAGCCCCCCAACCCACCCCCTTGCTTCCATAAATATAGTTAAAATCTTACTTGAATTCAAGTCTGCAGCTGCTGCCTCTGCCTCTGATCTGCCTGCTGTCTGCTGACATATTTAGAAGTGGTTGTCTGAGCCAATCACAATGCTTCCCCATAGGATTGGCTGAGACTGTCAAGGAGGCAGATCTGGGCAGAGCCAGCACAAGTCTAACATGGCCCTGGTCAATCAGCATCTCCTCATAAAGATACATTGAAGCAAAGCATCTCTATGAAGAAAGTTCAGTGTCTCCATGCAGAGGGTGGAGACACTGAATGTCAGTCACGCTGTGCAGCACTGCCCCCGGAAGCACCTCTAGCAGCCACCTGAGGAGTGGCCAGTGAAGTTATCACTAGGCTGTAATCTAAACACTGCATTTTCTCTGAAAAAAAACAGTGTTTACAGCAAAAAGCCTGAAGGTAATGATTCTACTCACCAGAACAAATTCAATAAGCTGTAGTTGTTCTGGTGATTATAGTGTCCCTTTAACCCCTTAAGGACCAAACTTCTGGAATAAAAGGGAATCATGACATGTCACACATGTCGTGTCCTTAAGGGGTTAAGATAAACCACAATGAAAAAAATGCATCATTAAAAGCATGCATGTTTTCATTGGGGTGTATCTACTATTACATGTTTTTTAATTTTTTTATTTAGGCAGTGGAGTGTCCCTTTAAAGCTGGTGGCTGTCGGCATCGTCCACCTGGCTAATCCAATGATTGCTGTGTTAAAAATAATAATGGGAGATAAATCCTTGTTAGTGATTTTTTTAAAATCTGAACACTGTCAGAGTTTTGACCTCATTCAATTTCAAACAGCAGCTTTAACATTAAATCCCAGGGAATCCACGACATGCAGGCTAATTCACCAAACTCCAGACTGTGGGGAATTAAAATCCAAAAGGTAAAATTGGGGCTAAAATAGCCAAGGTGTGGCTATAGCTGAGTCGGAGAATTGTTCCAGATCGGCTGCTGTATCCTGTGTTTTGTCATTTGGATTCTAGTTTGCTAGAGCTCTACGTTTTTATTGAATAAACCCACAGAGATTCATTGGATTCCTGCTCACTGTCTAAAATCTCCCATCTCAGGTCCGAGGCTAGCTTTATCTAGTTCTAGATCCTCTTTTCCACTGATTGCTCCCTAAAAAAGGTTTGTAATAGTTGTAGGTATTTGTTTTAAGAAAATTCCAAGTGCTTATGGCAAGGCACAAGCTGGCATATTATGTAAATCACTCTGAGTCCCATTATACCTCGACAAGGCACAAGCTGGCATATTATGTAAATCACTCTGACTCCCATCATGCCTCGGCAAGGCACAAGCTGGCATATTATGTAAATCTCTATGACTCCCATCATGCCTCGGCAAGGCACAAGCTGGCATATTATGTAAATTCCATCAGGCCAAGGAGGGCATGGAAGGACAGCTTTGTGAAAGAAGAGGTCAGAGTGCGCACAAGCAGCGGCCATACTATGGGGGGACGTGTGTTATCTCCGCAGTGTTTCTGATCAGTACTGCCAGTGTTTACTGGGGGAGGGGACATCAATTCACACATTTATAAACATCAACACTGAATTTTTAAAGTTAGGTTTATGTTGTTTTGTGTGTGTATATATATATATATAAATAATAGATATTATCAGACCTTATTTCACTCCCTCGGTATTCTGGCCTTGGAACTTTCCTTTGTTTCTTTTTGTAGCGGAGAAAATAAATGACAATGGCGGCTATGAGGAGCAGCGCCAGGAGGACTCCTATGACAGCACCTGCTATAGCCCCGGAGTTCGAGGAGCCTGGAGAAAATAAAAGAAACATATTGAAATGTGCAAACTCTACTAATGATCCAGCTGTCAGAATAATCAATCCCCTCCCATATTATCTGCACAGCCCATCCCACACTGCATTCACAGGCCCTCCCACACTGCATTCACAGGCCCTCCCATATCTGCACAGCCCCCCCCACACTGCATTCACAGCCCCTCCCACACTGCATTCACAGCCCCTCCCATATTATTTGACGTCCTCTTCCGGCTCCGGTATCAGTACGTGATACGCCAGGGAGCTGAACAGGAGGCACTCAGGGGAGAGTGCTCCCTCGCAAGCCCGCCAGCCTGCCTGCCCGCCCGGTGACACCACTGGACCCCAGGGAATGCCCTCAGTACTCCCAAAGGTAGGGGGGCTGGGGGGAATAAATTTTAAAAGAAAATGTGTTTGTGTGTGTTAGAGTGTGTGTGTAATGGATCACCTGGCACCCCGACTGGGTACCTCCATTAAAGGATGCTCCTAGCGTTTCCTGAGGACTCCAAGCACTCTGGCAGACACCACAATCACCGAACAGCTGAATAGGCAAAAACCATATGAATGGGTTTAGACTCCTAGCAGTCAAACTGGAACAGCATACAATAAATCCTTCCCCAATAATGAGACGACACTTCACTTTGAGGGTTAAGCAGGAACTCCAGGTTTATTCACACCACCTCATTTTCAGAAGCAGAATACTCCAAATACAAACATGTCAAAATCATCCAAATTGGTCCAGTGGTTCAAAAGATAGATCGTAGTCCTTTGTGACCAAAGGAAGCATGGCTTTTCTGCCCAAAACCAGTTCCACAGAGTCTTTACAGAACAACCAATAACACGTACAATACACTCAGACACTCCCACACAAAATCCTCCCCTCTGCCTGTGATATGATTACCTTACACAATGGGTAATCTAATTATCACAGACAGAGAAATACAGTTTCATAAAACACATCACAGGGACCCCAAAACATGCAATAACCCCATAAAAAAAAAAAGTAGAAAAGTTTATCCTTGGAACCGGGGGGTCTGGGTGAACCACATATCCAAAATTCACCCAGATCCGTTCAGTACTTTGGAAGATACAGTTTAATGCAGATTCTGCAGAACATATACAGGCTAAATAAAAAACAATCACTGTATAATGTGTCCCCTGCTGTATAGTCCAAAACCACTGCACAATGTCTCTGTGCACCAAATACTGGCGAGATGGCACCGTGTTGAAAAGTCCAAACAGTGTCTGTGAGTTAAAATGGCCGCCATCCATTGTTCTCACCATGTGCTTCTGATACAGGAAATGGTGGCCACCCAGTAACTCCACAGTATGTCCCCAGATGGTTCTTAAAGGGCCAGCAGCAGCACAACACAAATCCATTATGCCCAAATCATGCCTTTAAAGGGCAATACATCCCAGGGGCCATAGTCACATGGCAGGAGGCTGGAAATCAGTCTTCTCCAATGCCCAGTGGCGAGGTCGGTTTCGCCACAGTGTGTTAGTGTGTGTATGTGTTAGTGTTAGAGTGTGTGTGTGTTAGAGTGTGTCAGTGAGTGTGTTAGTGTGTGTGTGTCTGTTACTGAGTATGTTAGTTTGTGTGCGTCTGTTAGTGAGTGTGTGTTTTGTGAGTGTGTATGTCTCTGTCTGTCAGTGAGTGTGTATGTATGTCTGTCACTGGGTGTGTGTGTCTGTCAGTGAGTGTGTGTGTCTGTTAGCTAGTGTGTATGCGTCTGTTTGTGAGAGTGTGTGTGTGTGTGTGTGTCTTACGCACTTACCTTTCTCCAGCGCCCCTTGGCGCTGGGGATCTCTACGCCCCGATCCACCTCTCAGCTCCGAATGTGCATGCGTGGCAAGAGCCGCGCGCGCATTCAAACCGCCCATAGGAAAGCATTACTCAATGCTTTCCTATGGACGTTCAGCGTCTTCTCACTGTGATTTTCACAGTGAGAATCGCGGAAGCTCCTCTAGCGGCTGTCAATGAGACAGCCACTAGAGGCTGGATTAACCCTAAAGTAAACATAGCAGTTTCTCTGTAACTGCTATGTTTTCAGCTGCAGGGTTAAAACTAGAGGGACCTGGCACCCAGACAACTTCATTGAGCTGATGTGATCTGCGTGTCTGTAGTGGTCCTTTAAGTGTATGTGTATCTGCATGCACTGGCGTACATATCACGGTCGCAGGGGTCGCAGCCCTGCGACCCCTGCCCGCCGCCATGTGTTGCGGCCCCAGCCCGCGCAGAGTAAGCGCGCGGGAGGGGGGCCACGGATCAGTTTTCGCACCGGGGCCCCATGGGTTGTGTGTACGCCACTGTGCACAGCCCCTTCCATTTTGCCTTCACATCGTCCTATATTAATGTCACATACACAATCAGGCTTATTCACTAAAGTGAGAATTCAAAGTGAATTTCAAATTGAGGCCAAAATAGTTGAACTGAATTTAGAGCTGAAGTGGAAGCCCCGCCCCATTTACCTGCATAGCTCCTCTCACAGTGCGTGCACAGCCCCGCCCCCATTTACCTGCATGGTTCCCCAATATTTCCCATATCTCTGGCAAATCTCCCCATTATTGTGTGAATTGTCCTGTTGGTGGTTTATCATTAGAATGTGCCAGGAGCAGTGCATCATGGGTGCTCACATACTATGGCATCCTCTATCTAGTCGCTATAGAAACGTACAGCTTGAAAATAAATTGTTTTAACGGTGCTTTGAGTGACGGCTGACGTGGAATTCCTCCTCAATATTATGACTTGATATCTGTCATTTCTTGTTGATTATTTTTCAACATGTCACTGGAAGATGGATCGTTTTCTTGTTGTGAAGCAGCGGACTGGCGTTCATTCCACGAAGCATTTATGTGAGGAATCGGGCAAAATGATCTCAGTAAAAACCCAAATCTAAGCTAGTGTACTTTGTTTATATTAACACTCCAACGTCAGCCCTCCATCCCCCATCATGCTCTGGGGTTACCGAGCCCGAGACACAATAAAAATCGATACTACGCGATCTAGCGCTAAGAGGCAGTATACATTTATCAGTCAATATCCCCAGAATAACGTTCTGCTCCAAAGGTTTGTTTTATATCAGACTTGTAACTGTCTCGCCCTCTGAGGGCCACATTAATGCTGCGCATAACAGTCTTAATTTTGTTGACTAACACTTTTAGTCAAATTTTAAACTAGATTAAAAAAAAATAAGATGACTAAAATAAGACTAAAACTAAAATGGCATTTTAGTCAAAAGACTGATTAAAACGAAATAGAAATTTGGCGCCAAAATTAACACTACATAGAGGGGCAGGGGAAGGGGCAAAAGAGACAGATAGAGGCTTTAACTAAACCCATTAAATTTTAGTCGTGCCGACTAAAATCTACTGGAGGTTAGTCGAGTAAAATTAGACTAAAACTAAAACAATTCTGATGACTAAAATATGACTAAAATTAAAATGGCTTTTTGTCAAAAGGCTATGACTAAAACTAAATTGAAATTTGCCGTTAAAAATTAACACTGGGGGCGTGGCCTGAGGTCCGAGCTGCATGGGCGCCTAAATCCGGAGCTCCTTGCAACCGGGCTACTAATAGCCACTTACTGCACACATACCGACTCTGAGCACCCGCAGACCCCCAGGGCTGCCCCCCAGATACCCTCCTTGGGCCCGGTGGACGGACTCCTTCAAACCCCGCTGGGGCCTACCCGCGAGGCGCACGGATCCAAAATGGCGCCCGTTTCCCCAGCCTCCTCCAGCTTAGACCAGGAGCAGCCCACGCTGGCAGATATTGGAGCAGAGATCAGACACCCGGCAAGTACCATGGTCACAAAAGCTGACCTGCAGTCTCTTACCTCTACCCTCACAGCATACCTCACCTCAGCAGTGACTGCACTGAGGACCGACATAGATGCACAGGGCAGCCGGATACAGACTCTGGAAGCACAGGCCCAGACCACGCAGCGCCAAACACCAGCTGCTGACACAGCCCTAACAAGACAGGGCAACATGCTACTGGCCCTGCACCATCAGGTGGAGGACCTGGACAACAGGAGCCGCCGCTCCAACAGGGGTATCTGAGCAGGAGGGAACCGGGAACAGCTGCCCTCAGGGAACGCAATATTCCATATAAATGGGGCTTCCCCTTCAGCATACAGGTGCGCCACCGCAATGAGGGGGTAGCCGCACGCTGGCCAGACGAAATCCCATGGTTCCTGCAGCGTCTGGATTTACCACCTATCGCTGTACCAGACTGGATCCTGGAACCACTGCATAGAGAACCCAGACCCCAGAGACCACCCCGGCGAACACGGAGGGACTCCAGGGAGAACCACCCGGGTGTCATGCCCCCCCACCTGACTAACCCAGAAGAATAGCTGGCTACAGCCGGGAACAAGCCCACCTGTGCCTCGATGGTCCAGTAGGTCAGCACATGAAGGAATTATAGTGAAAGGCGACCCATAAGCTACACCTTAGCCACGGCAGGCTGGCCGACCGGCTCGGGTGGGCACCTGGCCTGCCACTTGTAATTTTATTTTATTTTTTCCTTTTTTCTCTTTGGGTGGGGGACGGGGATAGATCTGCCCATATTGCTACCATAGATCGGGTGGGAGGCTTCCACGTCTCACTACGGTGGTCAAGATAAAGGTCTATTACTCCCTCATGTCTCTCCTTGGACCCCACTTGCCCCTACATTTTTTCCCTTTTTCTTCCCCCTGGAGTTGGTCAGGCTGTTTTGGGAGGGGGGCATGGGACGGGCATTACTAGCTTGGAGGGGCTCTGTCACATGTATACAGGCTTTTTATATACCCGACTATCTCAAGTTTAGGCCGTTATGCGACGGGTGAAATGTCATGTATGTTATGCATTTTCCCATGTGACATGTATGCACCTTCCCCACCTCAGGTAGGCAGATAACATTGGCCTAGCTCATCCCCTAGACAACTGACACCCCGTGTCATACAAAAAACACAGCATGAGCTGCTGCAGGTGACGGTGACTTGGCCCCCCCTCCCGACATCCCCGCATCACGCTGGATCTTACGACGAGCAATGGACGCGCATAACTTGACCGGATCGGATCGTTGACCCTCACAGGTAGACACCCCTATTTACAGGCTTAACCCCCCAGCCTGAAGTTACGATGTGCTCTCTCCCCGCCCCACCATACAGCAATGCATGACGATCTGCACGGACTCATACTGCCCCCACAGGGGACTGTGATATAGGCAAGGTTAGCCCCCAACAAGACCACACCGTGTCTTCTAAAAAGACGACATATGCCCCCTCATCATTGAGGTCTACTTAGGCCGACGATACAATTCACTATATACACTAATCCACGTAAGTGACATATGACTAATGATGAGGTGGCGGAGCACCCGTGGTTGCCCACGATTCTAACCTAACGCTTCACATAGAAGAGGAATCACCCAGAGTATTGATGCTTGCCGGACACACCCACTAACCACGAACATATTTGTGTGGACAAACCCTTCCCACGGGGAAACGGTAGTTGGACGCTGCTGGACTTGTTCTAGCAGACCTGACTGTCGCTTGCTGCCGTGGTCACATGAAAACTCCCTCCTAGTAGGGTTACTTGACACCTACATATAGGTGTAATCGCCGTCTCTCATCAGAGGCGAGCATTCTAATTCTCATTTACTTACTTCAATTCTAACTGAGGCAACGTCACTTGGAAGGGGAAGGAGAGTGAAGAGGTGATTGTTACCCCCTCCATTTTCTCAAGCTCTCTCTTAACACCTCCACCCCCCTTTATTTTTCCCACCCTCTCTTTTCGTTTTTCTTCTTTCAACCCCCTCTCTCGCTCCTCACTCTCTCCCCGCCCCACCCGTGTGGGACGCGATGCCGCGGAGTCGCCATGGACCCTTGCCCTCTTGCGACCTACAAGCCCAACCCATACCGAATCTTATCCTTGAATTGCCATGGTCTCAACATTCCGGAGCGCAGGACACAACTCCTACAGGACTTCTACATCAGACGGATATCTATAGCCTTCCTGCAAGAGACGCATTTCAAAGAGGGTGCAGCCCCAATGCGGAAAAGTAAGCACTATCCCAATGCCGCCTGTAGTAACCATCCAACAGCCCACAGGGCGGGAGTAACTATCCTCCTAGAGGAGAAGCTACAATTTTGCGAAGCAGACCGACTGTCGGATGCAAATGGCAGGTACCTCTTCCTTAAAGGAGATATTCAAGATAGACGATACACTTTCGCAACAATCTACGTCCCACACAATAACCAAGTCCAATACATATGCAAAACCCTCCTCAAGCTCTCCTCCTTTACAGAAGGAACCTTGATCCTAGGCGGAGATTTCAATGTACCACTACACCCTCTCACCGACTCGTCTATGGGACACAGCTGCATAACTCAAGGTGCTCTCCAAAATATACTGAAATCCTTACGGAACCTTCGACTGGTGGATTGCTGTCGCGCAATGCATCCCGACGACAGGGAATACACCCACTACTCCACGATCCATAAACGCTACTCGAGAATAGATTATATATTCATGCAACAAGAACAGTTAACGACAATTCAAACAGCGGAGATAGGAGCTGCACAATAGTCCGACCATGGACCAGTCATTCTGAAGATAGATTCCCCAAGGATGCGCCCAACCTCGTGGGCATGGAGGCTCCAAGACTCGCTACTGCTTGACATAACAGTAAGGGAACAGGTCTCCGAAGAACTCAATTCATATTTTACGCTCAACGCACAAGAAGACCACATCGCAACCACAATCTGGGAGGCGCATAAAAGCATTATTAGAGGCACACTGATGCACCTGGCTTCCAAAAAGAGAAAAGAATCTCGACGACAAATAACCGACCTTGTGGAACGCATATCTACACTCGAGACACAGCATAAAAGATCACACCTCGAGTCGACATACACAGAGCTACTGGAAGCCCGGAGACAGCTTCAAACACATATGACAACCCGTCACTACCATTCATTGCAATGCTCGAAGGCCTTCTTTTAGCAACATGCGAACAAAGGCGGGAGGCTACTGGCCAGGATGCTTAAAGGTCCTCAGGGACCAGCCCAGGTCAACAGACTACGGCAAGCTGATGGCACAATCACACAATTTCTGGATAAGATCGCCTCGGAATTTCGAACATTCTACTCCTCACTATGAAATATCCCGCAAACGACACAACCAAATGATATAGCAGATAGGAACGAAAAAATGCGGAACTACATTGAAACCTATTTGGGGACGAGACTACAACGAGGGGAATCGGAGGACTTGGAGGTACCGATAACAGAGGCGGAGGTGACGGGAGCGATCAAAGCAGCTAAACCAGGTCAAGTACCGGGCCCAGACGGCTTTACCCTAGAATATTATAAGAAATTCCAATACATCTTAATCCCAAAACTTACCAATGCATTCAACGCTCTCATCAAGGACGCTCAGTTCCAACAGGAGTCACTGGCGGCTACAATCACGGTTATCCCAAAGCCAGGGAAAGACCCTGAACTATGCAGCAGCTATAGACCGATCTCCCTACTCAATGTGGATGTAAAACTACTGACCAAGATATTATCCACCGGGATCGGAGGCCTACTGCCGAAACTGGTCCACCCGGATCAGACGGGATTCATACCCAGACGCGAGGCCAGGGATAACACTCTTAGGGTCCAATCCATCCAACACCTGACGAAGCGGTCGAAAGACAACCTCCTATTACTCTCCACAGATGCTGAGAAAGCATTTGACCGGGTAAACTGGTTGTTCCTTATGGCAGGAGATGGTCTTCGGGGAGAACATAATGAAGTGGATAGGAGCGCTATATCATTGCCCAAGTGCCAAAGTAAGAGTGAACGGTGCACTCACTGAACCCTTTCTGATCCGGAACGTAACACTGCAGGGATGTCCGCTCTCCCATATGCTCTTCGCCTTCACCCTTGAACCATTCCTGGAGGTGGTGCGCAGATCAGATGAGAGTCTAGGATTCTCTGGCAAGGGCACTACCCACAAAGTAGCGGCGTATACAGACGATCTTTTATTTATTATCAACAAACCCAATACCACCCTACCACACTTGATGTCGACATTTGAGACCTATGGGGAGATATCGGGATTTAAACTGAACACCGACACAAGTCAACATACTGAAGCGCCAATTCCCATTCAGATGGTGCCCGAACCACATGCAATACTTGGGCATAGCTCTTAACAGGGATCTGGGAGACATGTATCGGACGAAATTCCTACCCTTGCTACAAAAAATACAGTGAAACTTACAGACGTGGTTCAGCCGTATAGCGATCCTGAAAATGAACATACTGCCCCGGATCCTATACCTCTACCAAACGATACCTCTAGCCCTACCGACAGCATACTTTCAATCGCTTCGGACCGCTATGATACGATTCGTGTGGGGGTGGGGGACAGGCGAGACTCAGACAAGAAATCCTATGCCTGCCATGAGCGTGGGGTGGAACAGCACTCCTGGATCTCCGCAAATACCATCATGCTACAGTGCTACAACGGGTCTTGGAATGGCATACTCACCCAGCACACAAACAATGGATTGACCCACATGGGGTCGTCACTTCTCCCTACAGTATGGAACTCGAAGAGACCCCTGCTGACGCCCCTAGACTGCACCTCTACTGTGGCACAGATGCTAAAAATGTGGGACAGCATCAGAAAAATTCCACAGCTGTCTCCAACACCGAGCCCGATGATACAGCTACCATATAACCCCCAGACAGGAGGTGGGCTACCGCCGACATCTTGGAGTATCCTAGGTGGGGGAGAATCCCTCCCCATCTATAAGATGCTAAATAAGACAGGCATACTACCACTACGGGAATTGATAGACAACGACCAACCATCCACAATGCAAATCTTCCGCTACACACAAATTAAATATTTCTACCAAACCCTATCGCACCAAGAAGCCCTACATAGGGTCCTGACATGGTTTGAGGCACTCTGTGACCGAAGGACCAACCTAGCCAAGTCAACATCCCTCATTTACCAACACCTCCTTGTAGGTTACCTGGAGAATGCGGACACCTTTCGCCGACACTGGGAACGCATTCTAGGTACATCATTCGCCGCAACTCAATGGGAAAAGATCTTGGTCCTACATCACAAATGCTCCTCTAGCTCCAACTATCAAGAAACCAATTATAAGCTCCTATCGTTCTGGTACAGAACACCCGACAGCCTGCACAGAATCTTACCAGCGGTACCCGACAGATGCTGGAGATGCGGAGAGGGACAAGGAACGATCTTACATATCTGGTGGGAATGCCCACGCATCACACTGTTTTGGGACGAGGTCAAACAACGAACGGAGGAAATACAGGGGACGGACGGCAGATTCAACAGAGAGGCAGCTCTCCTACACTCTACAACAGACACCATCGGGGTTTATAGAAAATCCATACTCCGACACCTGTTGAACGCCGCCGAGGCTTTGATTCTGCTGCACTGGAAGCAAGATGTAACCCCAACGATTGGACTATGGATAGAACGGGTGGAAGAGATACACAGGGCGGAATCGAAACACGCCTCGTTGATAGGTTTGGAGGAAAAGCATGTTGAGAGGTGGCGGCCGTGGCTGGCCTACGTGGTGTGGCGGGGTGCGGGGGTGGGGCCCGTGAGGGGTACCCCTCTCCCCCCCTCCCCTCCAACCGCCGAACTGCACGGAACACCACAGATCCAAAAATACCACGGGCACAACGCTGGTGCTCCACGGGAACCCCCCTCTTTTTTAAAAAAATCTTTCCTCTCTCTTCCCCACCCTTTTCTGTCTTCGTGTTCTCCTTTCTACACCACTTGCTCTCTTTCCCTGCCCTCGCGCAAAAGTCTGACCTCACTGACCGTGTGCACTAGTCTCAACCGCAGCCAAACAGGAGGGTATGGCAGGCTTGGGCCTCAGGTGTTATACGGATGCTCCGCTAACTCGCTACTGCCCACTACTCTAGACTGACCCAACTGATTATACCACCCGTACGACAAAACAGGGCCTGCGCAAGGTGTACGCGGTCAAAGGAAATAAGACCCAATGGAAACCCACTATCTATCAATATTGTATGGGACGACAAGTCCCCCCTACGAATTAAACTTTCAGGTTAGCTATACCACAGACGCTATAGTGGCCCCTACCCGCCTAGAAGATACTCCTAGGCTATATGCAATCATTATGATAACAGGCGAATCTTGGCCACGTACTACATAGTCACTACCTGACTCACCCAGAGGTGACATACTCACCCCTTAATGTACGACCATAAGATGCAGACGTCTGCATATTGAATGCATGTAACATGATGTGTTTACCGATACTGATACTGTAATACCTTCTAACTGTTAATATTGTTTAGGTTTACATTCATTTATAATCATATTGCTGTTCCCGATTTTGTGAGACCTGCGTGTCTCCTATTTTGCTATCACATCGCACTGTTGTACATTTTAGATGAAACAAATAAAAGCCGTTTGAACATCATCAAAAATTAACACTGGTGCATAGATGACAAGAAATATAACACACGCTCAATGAGGACGCCAGTCACGCCACCTGTTAATAAAATGGCAGCAAGTTATTAAATTGCTGCCAAAAGTAAAGTGGGCAAATTTCTAAACAGGAGCAATTACCTTAAAAACCAATATGTCAAGCAACTATATTCCTTGTGTTTCTATGTCGATATAAATCTCTGATGCATTTTGCAGAGGATATACCGTATGCAGCGTGGTTATCGGTTTTCGTATACCGCGGTCCGGACACTCACAGAAGACTGACAGTTGTTATTTCATATAGAATTATTTCATAATGTAACAATTGACAGAAATTCAGAGTGAAGAAAGTAAATTTCATATTTTAAGGCCATAATTTTAGACTAAAGGCCGAATGGTTCTTATCTGGCGTCATATTCTAAAATGAATGAAAAGGAAAACATTCTCCATGTCAGCTATGTTTCCAGTCAACTTTTTTGGTCTAAAGTTTGAAATCCACTTTGTGTGAATAACCCTGTTAGTGTGTAAAGTGTCTCTCACTTTGGTACATAGGATTTACTGAGCTGAATTTAATCTGTGCTTCGTATGCCGAACACCCTCTGTGTATGTTGCAAAAATGAAAGAATATTGAGATTAAAAAAAAACACACTTGTTACTGATATGCTGAGGTCACACGTAGCTTGCCCGAGCTCGTTCGTTGCTGTGCACCTATAGCTGCCCGAGATTGACTGTGACAGGTTGGTGAGCAGGAGAGCCCCCGTTCTTTGGTCTAAATTAGAGAAATAAGAAAACACGTCCGTGAATTGTATGGATCAATCCTGCGTAAAACACAATTTAAACAGCAAAAATTATTCCATTCATTTTCTGACATTCCCCAAAGCTCATCCCTTCACCCTCAACCTACACATAGATTTTGGATTTCTTACCGGGTATTACAAGGTCCCAGTACATAAGAATGTACTAGATTTATCTGTCACCTAAGGGTTGTACATTCATGGAATAGCTTTCCAGCAGAGGGGGTAGAGACTCATTCATGAACACAATGTGGTGGAAAGCCAGAATTTTAAAATGGGGGAAGGGCAGATCGGATGGGACGATTGGCTTCTAAATTCTCCCCCAAATCATTCTGCTAATTCCTAGGATAAAGACATCATGGAGCACGTAGCAGGGGATATTCCAGGTGCTGTATTTTTCTGGAGTGCATGATCTGGACTACATCTCTCCTGTAGTATGGCTGCAAGAGCATTATGGGAGATGCAGTCCACAACATGCGGAAAGCCGAAGGTGGCCTACCCCTGCTATAGACAATGCTTGACTGGTGTGTACACTAATGAACCAGTAAACATAGAAGGAGAATGTGTGTCCCCCATCTCTGACGATCACGTCTGTCATGGGGGGAGGATGTACTGCGCCTACCACTATTGTACTCGCTCAGCGTTCTCCATTGGAATGAGTGGCAGGCTCCCCTGCGGTCCCTCCATTCTTGTCAGGTTGCAGCTCTATGGCTCTGCTGAGCGTGTGGCAACAGTTCACATTGGTTTCTATGGGGACACGTCACCCATGCTGGTATGACATCGTGCAGACGCGGGGTCTCTATGTGTCCATGTTCTGCTACTAACCCCCATTACTCCTGTCCCTTTCGATTTATAAGATTTTTATCAATTAAATCTGGCTTTAGAAACTTCGTACTTTCCATCATTCCGGGAAGTAAAGGCGTCTTAGATCCTACAAATGTCCAGGAATATATTGGGGGAGGGTTTCCCCCAGAGGAGCTGCATTGTAGGGTGACATCGCTGCCAGCAATGGGGCTCCCGGACATCTGACAACTTGGGGAGCCCGGCGGAGCTGAAAGCAGAAACAATTAGAGTTAGTGTAGTTCTAGGTGTCAGGGATTAGGAGTGGTTAATGAATAAACAGGGAAACAATGACATTTAATCCCTCAGGAATGCACCCTAAAAGTGGATCAATCAGCGAGAAAATTTTGTTGGCTTCTATGGTGTTTGCTCCACTTTTAGCATATTACCCAGAGCTGCTCTATATACGCTGGGTCCATGTGTGATATTGTTAGATGTTAGATTGTAAATTTCTAGTCTTTCTTTTAACTAATTTCCAATGAACGTAGGTTACAGAGGGGGGTGGAGCAACAAAATCAAAGGCATCCAAAGGTAGCCCTATATATCAAACAAACCACAGCCTTCTATAAAAGATTATCTGAAACAAAATAAAAAATGGCCACTAAAAAGATACAAAATAGCAAACAGATGAAAAAAGAAAAAAAGATGGAAAATAAACTAGAAAAATGCCTCTCCTTTCTCTCATCACGTCCCCCAGGTAACAAATCAAACCTGTCGGAATCCCTTTTGTTAGATAACCCACTAGAGGGAGACATCAGTAAACAACAATGTGATGAAAATGAAGAACCAAGACTAGAAGGAAATGACTATGACGACTTACTCAAACATCTAGACATACAATTCGGGAAAATGAAAGAAGAGATTCAAGCAAATACTTTGACTCTTGGTTCACGAATTCAAGGTATTGAGGAAAAACTAGACCTGATAGAACATAGGGAAAAGGTCCTCCGAGAAGAATATACGGTACTAGAAAGCAAAATGGTTGAGAACAAACTGATAGACCTGGAAGACAGGTTAAGAAGAAATAACCTAAGAATCAGAGGAATACTGGAACAAATATAATAAATCTCGAATCAAATGTAGAAGGTTTTATCAAACATCTGGAGGTTGATTGGGACTCCAGATTTCCTATTTGCTGATTGATAGGTGTCAGAGTGAATAAACCAAAAGGGGTCCTAGATCATCTGCCACGAGATGTAATGATATGCTGCGCCTCTTTTAAACTCAAGATACAAATATTAAGAGCTACAAGAGAGGGTAAATGTGCAAAAGTGTCTCTGAAAATATTTCAGGATCTGTCATGGCAAACCAGACACAAGAGTAAAACCTTTACAGGTAGCATCACTTTATTGAGAAACAACGATATGAAATATCGATGGGGTTTCCCCCCGAAAATCATTATACTACACGATGGTAGGTCTATTCCTTTTAGCCAAGCAGAAGATCTAAAAAGCTGGATAACAGCAAAGAAAATTGGAAGTGGCACCAAAAATCCATAAAAAAAACAACAAGGCCTTAGCAAATTAAAATAAGGAAAGGAAGAAGGGAAAGATGGAAGGGAAAAGGTGAGGAAAAGAAAGAAAGTGAAAGGGGGAAATTGGCATTAGCGAGATTTAACTCCTCGAATAGAGAAACCGAATCAGAAAAGGCTGCGGAAACAAAAAGAGATTTTATTTTTAAAGGTGGATAACTTTGATATTACACAAAATGTAGACTAAACACAGGAGAATAAACTATGATAAGGTGGATAGAAGGGCCCCTTCTTATACTAGAAATCACACAAACTATTTTATTAAAGAAAGATGTCACAACTGTATGAAGGAAGGATGAATATAAAATACACACAGGGAATGAGTTAAGAAGGGTAAAAGAAAAAGAGAGAGACTATTTTTTTAAAATCTTTTTTTTTATTATATTTTATTTATTTATCTTTCTTTTTGTTTAAGGATATACAGATGCCAAAAATTCTGCCCGACCAACTGAAACTGCTTAATCAACCCATAACAGAAGTAGAGGTTAGTAAAGCAATAGAAAAACCTAAAATAAAGACCGCTCCAGGCCCGGACGGCTTCACAAATACATTTTACAAATTAATGAAAGATCAGATAAAAGGAGAACTTACAAATATTTGTAACCACATAATGGGATCAGGAAGATGTGCTGGGGAGTTACTGAGAGTGAATATAGTTCCAATACCAAAAGTGGACAAAGACCCTGAACTGATAAGCAACTATAGATCTATTTCGCTGATTAATACAGATATCAAAATACTATCCTCTATTCTTGCTGAAAAACTAAATATAGTAAAACCACAACTAATTAATAACGACCAAGTAGGATTTATATCAGGGAGGTCCCCAATTAATAACCTAAGGAAAATAATAAACATACTAGAAGAAACAGAGACAACTGGAATCCCACTCTTGCTTTTATCATTAGACGCAGAAAAAGCATTTGGTAGGGTGGGATGGGGTTTCATGCTTCTGACTTTAAAAAAATTCGGCATTAATGGTCCAATACTACATGCTATATTCGCCCTCTACAACTCTCCATCAGCTAAAGTCATAGGGTCTGGATTTGTGTCATAATACTTTAATATTAAAAATGGGACAAGACAAGGGTGTCCTCTTTCCCCTTTACTATATATAATGGTGCTAAAAACTCTAGCGATTTTAATGAGACAAAACCAGAAAATCTGAGGCTTTAAGGACCAGGTAGGACAATTGAAATTGAATATTTATGTAGATTATATTTTATTGACGATAGAAGAACCAGAAACATCAGTCCCAGAATTACTGAAACAGATAATCTAAAGTTTCAGGATATAAGATTAATTTAGACAAATCACTTTTCATATCTAAAAATATGGATAAAACGTCTACCGATTTTATTGTAAAAAATATCGGGATCCCGGGAAAAAAAGAAATATTTGGTTATAACTATAACTTTGAATCTAAAAGATCTAATAGAAGCCAACTTTTTACCTTTACTAAAACAAACTAATAAAAACCTAAGGGATTGGAGAGGAATGGGATTCTCCTGGTTGAGTAGAATCAATTTATTAAAAGCATACATTTTGCCAAAATGACTGTACCTTTGGAGAATGATCCCTCTCAATTTTCCAGAAAAATGCCTATCATTATTAAATTCAGCTTTTCTAAAATTCATTTGGGGGTGGTAAGAAAGCAAGGGTGAAAATGAGACATGGTATAAAATGTATATCACCCACGCTGTGTGCTGTATGTATTTAGGGGGCTTTGTAGTATACTAACAATATATATATTACCCACGCTGTGTGCTGTTTGTATTTCGGGGGTTATGGAGTATACTAACAGTATATATTACCCACACTGTGTGCTGTATGTATTTAGGGGATTATGGCGTATACTAACAGTATGTATATTACCCACGCTGTGTGCTGTATGTATTTAGGGGGCTTTGTAGTATACTAACAATATATATATTACCCACGCTGTGTGCTGTTTGTATTTCGGGGGTTATGGAGTATACTAACAGTATATATTACCCACACTGTGTGCAGTATGTATTTAGGGGGTTATGGAGTATACTAACAGTATATATTACCCACGCTGTGTGCTGTATATAAAAAGAGAATTTTTTTCCCCCTATGAACTTAACCTGATCTTACTCAGAACTGTAAGCTGGACGATCCCTGATCCGGTTCCGGAGAAGTCAGGCGGGTTATTCACTTCGCATGCGTAAGATCCGTTATCGGACGCCCTGATATTGCTTAGCTGGATTGAAGCGTCCCCGCCGGTTGGAGGATTATGGACAATGGTCAATCTATCAGCTTGGGATCCAGGTTTATAGGAGCCTCCGTTTGAATAATAATAATATATCTGAAATGTTACAGGATAAGCGCATCAGATATAAACACCTGCTGCTCCAACAATTCAATGAGAGAAACTGTGCATAATAAAATCACTGATCGTTAAACAAAGCCCTTTCCTTGTGTGTAACACCCTCTCTCATTCTTACGGTATAGTGGGAATCGCTGAAGTTCAAAGAGAATTTTACATTTTAAGACAAACTGGCTGAACATAAAGAAAAAAATTTCAGTGTATCTTTTGTGGCTTGAATTGGAAAATTTATTGTAAATTCACATTTTAATGAAACACTCTGCCTATATTTCTCATCTCACATCACAGTGTACCTGTTTAGGAGGGACAGACCCGATATTGTTCCCAAATCCCTCTTTTCTAGGAGCTCCATATTGTTGGGGTGTCTGAGTGTATAACAGAGCTCCACAGCAATAATACTCCCAGTAATGTGTCTGAGTGTATAACAGAGCTCCACAGCAATAATACTCCCAGTAATGTGTCTGAGTGTATAACAGAGCTCCACAGGAATAATACTCCCAGTAATGTTTCTGAGTGTATAACAGAGCTCCACAGCAATAATACTCCCAGTAATGTGTCTAGTGTATAACAGAGCTCCACAGCAATAATACTCCCAGTAATGTGTCTGAGTGTATAACAGAGCTCCCCAACAATAATACTCCCAGTAATGTGTCTGAGTGTGTAACAGAGCTCCCCAGCAATAATACTCCCAGTAATGTGTCTTAGTGTATCACAGAGCTCCACAGCAATAATACTCCCAGTAATGTGTCTGAGTGTATAACTGAGCTCCACAGCAATAATACTCCCAGTAATGTGTCTGA